AGCGATCACAAGGCAGCAGGACTGTCGTCTCCCGATGCCCACGACTCTAGCAAGGCCAGCAGGAAGCGCAAGTCTTCGGCCGATGTTGATGACGATGAGGAGGAGGATGAGGATGGCCAGCCCATCAAGAAGACGGCCCATAACATGATTGAGAAGAGGTATCGCACCAATCTCAACGATAAGATTGCCGCGCTTCGAGATAGCGTTCCTAGTCTGAGGATCATGTCCAAGAGTGCCAGGGGAGAAGACACCACCGAAGATCGCGAGGAACTTCACGGCTTGACGCCAGCCCACAAGCTCAACAAGGCTACAGTAAGTCGTCAAGATGAAGCGTTCTGACAAGACAACTAACTGACAATCGCAGGTTTTGAGCAAGGCCACCGAGTACATTCGCCATTTGGAGAAGAGGAATAACCGTCTCTGCGACGAAAACCATGCCATGCAGAACAGAATCGCCGCCTTTGAGAAGCTTTTCATGGCTGGCGCGATGAATGGTGCCATGAGCCCTCTCCAGCAACCGCCGACTCCTATGCAGTACCCCCAGGATCAGTACATGAGCACCCCTATCGGAACGCCGCGTGGCGAGTCTGCACAAGGCATGATTCCTGTGCCTGACGACATGAAGCGTATTATTTCTGCTCAAATGGCGGCCGGCCAGCCTTACCCCATGCCACAGCAAAACTACCGCGGAAACCCTAACGTCATGCGACAACAACAAATCCAGCAACAGCAGCAGCAGCAACAGATGCAGCAACAAGGACGATGGGGCAACAGCAGTCAGTACTTCGGCAAGTTGATGGTCGGCTCGCTGGCCGGTCTCATGATTGTCGAGGCTGTGCGAGAGAATGAGCAGAGCAACGACACGCCCGAAGGCCGCGGTCTCTTCGCCCTGCCCATCCAACTGCTCAGCTATCTCGGATCGACTTCTCACATGCACATTGGCGGCTACTACATCTCTCCTGCCCAGATCATCTCGCATCTGAAACTTTTGTTTTTCCTTGGCACTTGCTTGTGGGTCTTTGTGCCCTCGCTCTTCGTTCCATCTGAGGGGAAGCCCAAGAAGGCGCAACGTCTTCGGGAGTCGCTTCAGGCCGCTGGTTCCGTGGCATCCCCGATTCACGTCCGTCGCCAAGCTTGGTTGACTGCAATTCAGACCGTCTGGGTCCCTCAGCACAACTTCTTCCTCGAAGCTGCCGCTCTGATCATGAAGACGATGAAGCTGAGCATGCGCAACGCTATCGGTGTCCACGGCTATCAAATGCTCACCGGTCTCACTGAAGAGCAGGAGGCTGCTCGTGTCAAGGCTTGGTCAATTGCGTTGGACGCCCAGCTTGCAGGAGGCGATGTTGAGATCAACAAGAGCCGACTGACCCTTACCCTCCTGGCATCAGGCACCCTTCCCGATACCCCTTCCCGACTGATGCTCAAGGCTCTTCACGTCCGCGTCCTTCTTTGGGATCTCGGTGCCAAGGGACTCCACAACATCGTTGCCAAGAAGGTCGCCCGCTCCCTCTGGAACGAGGCAAGAAACCAGAATCGTGTTCTTTCGCAGCTGCGCCGTAACTCTGAGCAGGTCGACGATGATCTCCCCGAGCACCTGGCTGCCCTTATCGAGCAAGAATGCGACGACGTGCTCAACAACAGCGTTGTCCAGCGAGCCTACAACCTGGCGTGGAACTTGTCGACTACCGAGGGAGTTACCGAGCACAACGACGGAATGGACACCGTCGTCGACGACCAGGCCGTCCGATCCCCGCTGGATGCCGTTGCTGCCTGGTGGTCGAGCCAGACCATTCAGCGTGCTTTGATCACCAGTCTCGAGGCAAGCAAGGATGATGGTGATGCCCCGAGGGTTGTGTCAACCTGCTTGACTACCGCCCTCAAGACATCTCCTATCGGCTCCGGTGTGCAGGCACGCGCTCTGGTGGCCCGCGCCGTGCTTGTTGACGAGAAGCGAGGAGCCAACATTGCCGCCGCTCTCCAGAACATTAAGCCGACCAGCGAACAAAAGTCCCTCAGCAAGATTGCCGCCATCATCGACTCGTCGTCTACCGCCCAATCGCCCGATGTCCAGATGGCGCTTGACTGTGCCATGGCTATTGCCCACCTTCAACGTGCCAAGCTGGCCGCCACTCCATCGCAAAAGGGATTCGGAATTATCGAGAAGATTGCCCGCCCCAGCGCTACCGCCAACATGTCTCTCCTTGGATGCACCGCTCTCTTCAAGCTCATGGAGGAACTATACGCACAACAGTCGTCCTCTGACAACTTCAGCACGTCTCTTGAGCGCGTCGCCGGCAGTCTCCGTATCTGGATCGGCAGCGCTCCTGGCGAAAAGTGTGGTCTCGAGCAGGACGTCCGTCACAAGATGGTGGACCGCTGCCTCAGCATCACCAAAAGCGTTGTCGGTATGGAGACTGACACGGGCTACGGTAGCATGAGCGAGTGTGAAGAAGATGGGTGCTGAGGGAGGTGTATGTGTTGTGGTATATCTAAAGGCGGTGGTATCTCCCCTTATTTACATACTTAGTAGATGCATCTTATTTCCTTTCTATTGTTGTACTTTCTATGGATGGGCATGGGGCTCGGCGTCACTATTGGGGAGGACGTATGTCTTGGACTGGCGTTACTTTGCAAGGGAAGCAACGAGACTTACGGCTGGAAAAGGATGGGACCAGCGGATTTTGCATGAGCAGAGACGGGACGTCGCATCTGACTGAGATTGAACTCTCGCGCGGACTGTCACGGAATGGGACAGAACAAGGAGACGGACGGTATGGTCTGGGGATATATACAAGTCGGCTCAAAAAGTTGCGATGGAAAACTTTCTCTTTCTCTATAATATGCGGGCCATGGGGCCTGCCATTATGTAGAATCAATATCGACGATATGTTCGTTGCATACAATACTGATATGTTATCTGGAGTTTGTTCGTGGGTGACGGTGAGCTGCAGCGGGGGGGATGGAGGACATCCTGGAGCTTTGCCCCATTCCAGCCAGCTGTCTCCGTGAGGGTTGCAACGAGGGGTGTGTCACTCCGTCATGGAGGGCATAGGCGACTTTCCTCTTTCAATAGGGCGCGTTGTTACTACACTCTGCCCATGTCATCGAGCATCGAGATGAACCAGGGAATTTGATGAGAAGTTGAAAGGAAAGCATGCGATGTCTGGTGTTTTGAAGACGACGCTGACGTTTATGGTGTCTTCCAGGACCAAATGGAAAGACTTTGGATGGGACTGGGCAGTGTTTAAGAGGAGACGCTTGGGAGAGGGCAAGGATTCGAAGAGAGATAGGTAAATCATACGGTAAGGGATGAGATGGGCCGAATTGGATGGAGAATCAGTATTGGGTAAGTACTCTTTCTGCATTCGCACACCTTGGAGCAAGGTAATTCGGAAGGCCAAGTACATCGAAGGGCTGCAAGTTTATCGGTGTCTCTCGGTGCGGCAGTCGAGGAAATGAATCCGCTTTTTGCTCCCTTGGGCACACGGCAAGGGCCCTGGGCTTCAGGTGATCGTGGGTACTTTAGGTACGTCTCCACCTTTCAAAGGTGCATGAGACCGGGACCCCCCAACCCGGCCAAAGATACCGGCACGTTAAACACGACAACAACACACTGCACACTGCACACGATGGACCTTGGCACCCACCACACACCTCGCGCATTCAACAAGGGACGGATGTCTAAGGGAGGGAGATGGGCGGTCACACAGTTCGACCTGCACTAGACACACTAGAGACTGCTAGCAGCAACGGTCGCTAGACTTATCGGATCCGAACCGTCAAACCCAACGTCCGTCCGTCCTTTTCCTTGTTCCGCCCGGCACATGATCGCCTGAATGGGAACGGCGACAGGGCCTTTTGCCAGGTTATCGAGGGAGGTTGCAGCAATGGCCTGCTAGAACGGGTCTCGAGTGCCGCCCGACATGTGAGTTGTTATCGGTCCCTTGAAGAATACGCATAGCAAATGGATATCTGACTCCCATGTCTATCAGTCTATCTACAGAACCATGCAGCGGTCAGCAGCAATATTGGACTGCCAAGTCATCCCTCGCTTCTGATTCATCTCGATATCAGAGTTGCCTTGTCATCCCAATTTCAGCATACCCTGAGGCTGAATTCGACAACCAAGTCCACGGCGCTGACAAGTGCCAAAGCCGGGGAAATGTCTTGGAGGCGGGTGCTTAGTCCTGTTGTTTGCCACGAGCTGGACGCTTATTCGAGCGAAGCATCTGCGAACACCCCCGACAACCTAGCTTCTCATCCTCCCTCTCAGCATCAAATCGGAGCCCATCCTGCCGAGGGGAATACGCCCTCCCTCGCGGTCATCGCCCTCCAAAACTCCAAAAAGCTAGCACTGGCCTGCCCAATGGCGATAGCAACTGACCCCAAATTGCAACTCCCCGCATCCTGATGGCAACCACACCACAATCTCCAAATCCAATCAGATATCGACATCACCGGGCGCCATGTGACGCAAGATTGCATCTGGCAAGGGCAAATGCTCATCTCTCAGACTGGCTCGTCACTTTTCTAAGAGACGCGAGAGTTGACCGCTTGCTACCTCGCGTGCCTCGCTCCCTTCACTGGCCCCCTCGGGCCTTCTCTTGCCCTCTCCGGTCTCTCTAGCTCGCTGCTCTGCCCTGATTTTCCATCGAGAATCGAGTATCGATGCCCCCCTGGCCTCCTCACTTGGGAATACCACCTGCCAGCTAATCAATGTTGCGCAGCCCTTCAGGAGACACGGGCAAATCATCGCGCCCGAACCATCGGCATACTTTCCCCTTCCCGTAGGACCGGCATTATGATGGCCAGGTACCCGTTCTGTTTGTTAGTCAGAAGCTCGGCTAGCTCACAGGAGCTCCAAAGAACATGGAGGGGAAGACAATGTCCACGAGCCACGAGCTCGTCGAGGCGGGCCATAAAAGAGCGGGTGACACGCCATGTTTGCCCGCAGTTCTCGAGCTTGGAAGCTTGAGTTCACAGACTGATTGCCCACGATGCCTCGTCACTCTCGTTCTGGCCTTGAGATGCCTAGACGCTCGTTCTTCGCCGTCTTTGCTTTGATTTCGTTCGTGCTGCTCGTCACCATTAGTCTCTCCCAGCTAGGAACTCGACAAGGTGCCACCCTCAAGTTTGAACGCAATGCCGACGGAGAGTGGCATGCCAAACCCAAGACGCGTGCCGCGGCGGGCGACAAGTACCTCCTCGGTGTTGGCAAGGCTGACATCACCGGCCCTGTCGTCGAGATTGGCTTTGCAGGGTACGCTGATCTGAGCCAGGTCGGAACTGGCTTGAGACAGCGGATCTACAGCCGCGCTTTCATTGTTGGGGATGTGAGCAAGCCGAGCGATCGTTTCGTCTATCTTGTGCTAGATACACAGAGTGGTGACACGGCCGTTCGCAAGGGCATCCTCGAGGGCGTTGCAGCCCTTGGTTCGGGATACTCCGTGTATAACAAGAACAATGTTGCCGTGACCGGTACTCATAGCCACGCTGGCCCAGGAGCTTGGTTCAACTACCTTCTGCCGCAGGTCACCAGCTTGGGTTTCGACAAGCAGAGCTACCAGGCTATCGTTGACGGTGCAGTTCTCTCCATTAAGAGGGCGCACGAGTCTCTACAAGAGGTACGATGGTCAGCTTCGAGAGACTTGCCAATCGACTAACACTCCCAGGGATACCTCGACGTCGGAACCACGGAAGTAACTGACGGCGCCATCAACCGCAGTCTATATGCCTACCTTAACAACCCCGCGGCAGAGAGGGCCAAGTACAGCGCCACCACTGACACGACATTGACCCTCCTTCGCTTCCAGCGCGCCTCCGATGGCAAGAACATGGGTGTACTCACTTGGTACCCAACCCATGGCACCTCGATCCTCCAGAATAGCACGCACGTAGCGGGCGACAACAAGGGTGTCGCGGCATATCTTCTTGAGAAGGACCTCGCGAGTGACGCAAGCGCCGCACCTGGCTTCGTAGCCGGCTTCAGCCAGGCGAATGTGGGTGATACCACGCCCAACGTACTCGGTGCCTACTGCGATGACGGTTCTGGCCAGCAATGCAGTCTGGAGAACAGCACCTGTGCCGATGGCAAGAGCCAGTCGTGTCACGGTAGAGGCCCCGCGTTCCAGAAGTTGGACCTGGGTATTTCGAGCTGCTACGAGATTGGACGTCGTCAATATGCCGGTGCCAAGTCTGTCTATGTGAGTTGTAGTCCTGATGTGGGATCCAATATAGCTGATCGATTCTCCTTATCAGAATGCCCTTGCTACGACTTCTACTCCTGTCACCGGCACCAGTGTCAAGTCTTTCCACTTCTTCCAGGACATGTCATACTTCAAGTTCCCACTCGCAGATGGCACCATCGGCCAGACATGTCCGGCTGCCCTCGGCTACTCCTTTGCCGCCGGAACTTCGGACGGCCCCGGCGCCTTCGACTTCACCCAGGCCGACTCTGGCACCCCCGATGCCAACCCTCTTTGGGCGGTTGTCTCCGGTCTTCTCAGAACACCCAGCGCCGAGCAGGCTGCGTGTCAACAGCCGAAGCCTGTCTTGCTAGACGTTGGTGAGATGAGCACCCCGTATGCTTGGAGTCCCAATATTGTAGACATTCAGATGCTTCGTGTTGGACAGCTGGTCATCGTCGTTGCGCCTGGCGAGGCTACAACAATGAGTGGGCGGAGATGGAAGGCTGCTGTCAAAGAGGCTGCGAAGAGTATTCTTCCTAATGATCCTGTTGTTGTCCTTGGTGGTCCCGCCAACACCTATGCCGTGAGTCTTGCGTAGCTTCCCTTTTTCGGGTAGTCACTGACAGTTTCTAGCACTACATCGCCACCCCTGAAGAGTACGCCATCCAACGCTACGAGGGCGCCTCAACCCTCTTCGGCCCCAATACTCTGCCAGCTTACATCAACCTCACCGTCTCCAACATCGACTACCTCTCCCCCTCTTCCACATCCACACCCGCAGCAGGCCCTTCGCCTCCAGACAACCGAGCCAACTCCCTCTCCTTCATTACTGGCGTTGTCGTAGACGGTGCGCCAGCAGGCCGCTCCTTCGGACAAGCCATCGGACAGCCTTCGGCGTCGTATACTCGTGGCGCGGTAGTCAATGCCACGTTCCAAGCCGCGAACCCGCGGAATAACCTCAGGCTTGAGGGCACGTACGCCGCGGTTGAGCAGCTGCAGAGCGGGAAATGGGTGCAAATTAGGACCGACGCGGACTGGTTCCTTGTGTATACTTGGACGAGGACAAATTTCTTGCTTGGGTACAGCGAGGTTGTGATTAGTTGGGAGACTGGAACGAGTGATGGGGCTGGGCCAGGGACGTATCGAATCAAGTATTATGGTGACTCGAAGCCGTTGATTGGGAGCATCTCGGCTTTTGAGGGGACGAGTGCCAACTTCACGTTGGTTTAGGGGAGTGTAGGGGGGGCTGCTGATGATTATTATGGACTATGAGGATTGGTTTTCGTAGTGATGAATCGTAATGTCTTTTCCCGATGGTCGCCGATTGCCCTCCATCGTTTTACTCGAAGCTGCCACCGGAAGCTCGTGGTCGTCAAGAAGTCAAATGCCGCGAAGTATGACTTGGGCCTGCCCAAGTGTGATTTTTCCCTCGGGAATCGGCCCGCTGCCCAGGCTGACTCTAGAGTATTTGAGGCCTGTTGACTCTTTCCAAAGCTCGTTGGATAGCCCCCTCGGCTTGCACGACCAGGCAGTCACGTTCAAGTACGTACTTCTTCATATATCGAGCAGGCGGCCTATCATCACTTAGGTAGCCTGCCTGCAGTCGGAACCACGAGGGCTCCTCAAGGATAGGTACATAAGCACCTCCCACCCCTTCGCCTGAAATCATCCAACGGACTACACTCTCCATCAGCATCCACCTCGCAGCCTGATTGCAATTTGTTTCTGGTGAGTCCACTGCCGGTTTCATTTCCTTTCAAAGTGAACTAATGGTTGACCAGGCACTGGACCATTTCAACTTCAAGCAGCTCAACATGGATTCCGAAGAGTCTGAAGGATCTTGCTCCTCGATAAACGGTAGCCTCTGTGACATGTGCTATGATGCTGTTGTTTTTGACGACAGCGACGACAAGTTCTACGAGGGCACGGACTATAACGATGAGCCTACCCTGCGGCATTCGGAGGCGCAGAGCGATCCAGTCCTCTTGAAACCCACTCTCTATTGGGAAGACACGCTACCCGACTTGCCCCTGATGGCTGAATCCGCTGCTGATGGGTGCCGTATGTGTGGTTTCCTTCGGGAAGAGCTCATACGACAGAAAATATGCCACGTTGGCGACATTCGTATCGGTGCGGGATATCTGTTTGGCGGACAGGGATGGGAGGTCGAGATCATCGACACAGATCCTGGCTTGGCCTTCTGGAGATGCGAGGTCTTCGCGGTCGGAACAACGACCAATGATATGGTCAAGCTTCACCGAATTACAATTCTCAATTTTGATATCGAGTCTAGCAACCGTAAGTTCTTCAATAGTTCCCGCTTTGACTGGACTCTGATGCACGTGAAAGGTGATTTGCGCCGATGGCTGAGGGTGCACACGAAGCCCGCCCCCGGACCACTGGACTCGGCCAGTGTTGAATGGCTCCAGTCACAGCTGCAACAATGCGACTATGGCTGGGACCTTAGAAAGCCAGAGGTGCCATTCTTACCCACCAGACTGATACATGTCGGTCAGAACGAGGATGACGCACCTCGACTTGTCATCGTTGAAGACATGCTCGAATCTGGCATGATCGATGCTCTCAAGTATGCGACACTGAGCTATTGCTGGGGATCCAAAGAAGACGCTCTCAAGCAGACAAAAACCACAAAAGACACCATTTTGACCCATTGTCAAGGGATGCCTCTTGGATCCTTAAGTCCTGTCGTACGCGACACCATCAAGGTCTGCAGGGCGCTCGGTATATTGTATCTCTGGGCTGACGCTTTGTGTATCATCCAGGGAGACAATGTAGACTGGGACCGAGAGAGTCAAATGATGGGACAGGTCTACCATTCTTGTTATGTGACAATCTGCCCTCTCTCTTCACGATCTTGTCTTGAGGGCTATCTCGAACCAAGGTCGCAGGGCTTTGAAGTTGAATTTCAATCCTCGCGCCACGGACACATCAGGGGTGTCTACAGACTTATTCTCTCATCCACAAAGGTCGACGCAAACATAGTGGAGAAGTTTGATCAAAGTCCAGCAGTATGGAAGGATCTCAAACAATCCTCTTGGGATCAAAGGGGCTGGACCTTTCAAGAGAGTATCCTTTCACCCTGCATGATCTTGTTCGGACCCAATATGGGCCATTTTGTTGACGAAAGTCTAACAAGGTCCGAGAACGGACACATTGGCTACAATATGATCCACGGTCAACTGCAAGTTATGATACGGAGAGCTCTCGGAAAACCTCACGAGGGACTGGATCGCTCGACGAATACTAAGACAAAAGTATACCAAAACTGGGCTGCTGTGCACGAGGTCCAGCAAAGAGCCTGGACGTATCCCGAGGACATCTTCCCTGGACTCGCCGGTATCGCTCAGGCATTCGCAACACTTATGGGCGACACATATCTGGCAGGCTTGTGGAAAGAAGATCTAAATTACCAACTGCTTTGGTACATACCGCAGCCACCACCCGTCGGATTGGCGTCACTTGTGCATAGTTTGCAGCACGCAGAACCGTACATCGCACCATCATGGAGCTGGGCTTCCCAAACCGCGTACCAGGACAACTTGGCTAATAAAACATTTGAATCGCATCCAGAGGCGGCGAGAAGGAAGAGGTGGACGCGCATTGTCGAATCTTCCAAGACGATGCCTTGTCACAACAGGCCGGACTTTGCGCTGATAGATTACGACATGGATTCCCGAGGCAGTAACATCTTTGGGGCTCTCACTGGGGGATTTCTTCGATTCAAGGGTAGGACGTGCCCGTTTCCTTCGAACGTCAGGAGGGAGGCCTTGAAGCACGTCCATTCTCATTTATTTTGCGGGAAATTTTCAGGCGGTACAGGAATTTGCATGCTTGACTATGATATCAGCGACACCTTGATACAAGCGCCAGAGAGTATGCGATTGTTTTGGGTATCGAGCTGCTGCTCGGCAACGTTGCAATGGGGGCGCATAAAGTTCTTTGAGAACTGCAGCAATCAAGACCTTGACGATTGGATGCAAAGGGAAGTAGAGGTTAGCGGTACATCATTTTCCAACGGCTATGAGGATATCGATGTGTGCCGATATTGCGCTGATCCGACGCACAAACGTACGAAATATGGCCTTGTGATCCATCCTGCGGAGGAGCCTGGATCGTATGTGAGGGTTGGAGTCTTTGTGATGTTTGCACATAGGGGGGGGATGGATCTCTTCAAGGATGAGGCAGAGGAGATAAAACTCATTTAGTTTGACTCCTGTCTTCATATACCTTCGAACATACTATCAAGATATTTTTCAGACTGGTAAACCTTTCTTAGATAAGAGGACGTCATTGTCAGGTTTCTACGGCAAGAGCCTGGCTTCGTTGCAGGAAGATTGTTTGATCTTTGCACTTTCTCGAAGGACACCGATTAGGTGATGTCAAAGTCTGCGCGATCCTTTGCTCTTATTGGAATATCTAGATATCTTAGCTTACTCTATTTGCCTTGCCACAAAACCGGTGTTACTGAGATTTTTGCGTAATTGAGTAAGTAGTCACCCAAAGGCTGAATATCAATGTTGATGAACCAAGATCATGTAATTCCTTTGGCGCTCAACTCATGCGTCGTTCCATTCTGGGGGACTTGAGCGATTGACTTATTTATTGAATGCTGAGAAATGCGACATATTCACTGTAAGAGTCTTGGAACTCTGTGTTGTAAAAACTCGCAGCTCTCTGTATGTCCTTGGCACTTACATGCATCCTTTCCTCACTTTTCTCTTTCCCCTTCTACCCTTTCCTCCATCACATCTCTTGAGTACTCGTACAAACAATCCTGCGAGCCACCAAGAGAAACATAGCCTGGGGCCAGAACGAGCATTCCTTGGTGTTGGAAGTTGCGAGTGGCCGCAGGGCTTCCTAAATCAGCATGCTTCACTAATACCTCATGGATCGCGCGGCTTGCTGGCATTCCAAATAGAGTCAGCTCTATTCAGCTTCTCGCAGCCTGCCTAGCTAGCGTCCTTGTGCCGCCAGCCCTGTCTTGTCTGGAAGATGCTTGCTTCTTGAGAGAAAATACGCTAAGGTATCTGCGGCGAAGACCGAGATCGGCAGATATGCTACAAAAAGGGGGCTTCGGGGCCCGGTCAAAGTTGACTGCACGCACGCTTTCTAACGTTGCAACGTGAGAACCCACTCCTCCTACCTGGTCCCTTGCTCAGCACGTCACTTGCGGATAGGCTAGAAGAGAGCTAGAAAAAAGTTCCTACACTACGGAAGCTTAACGTTCTCAATTACTGAGAACATCAGTCGTCGCTATTTCATATTGTCGGCGGCAGGCAGACTCACATCGAAGAGTGGCTTATCTTTGTCTTGCACTTCAGCCGTACTGAGGCAGTTGCCTCAGATGGAGTTAGCTGTCTCTAGAAGGGGCTGAGGGTTGAGACAATCTGCAGGCCTTGGGAAAAAGCCCCGCGCTTCGTGGAAATTGACCATCGACAGGACCACCGACAGTTTTTCTGGTGAGTGACCTGATTCTGGACCATCGAATAATAGACCATGCGTACGGATACCTTATAGCGCGTGAGCAGATTCACAAGCATGTTATGCACGTGGCGTCGAGAGCGCCGACACCCTGGCCGATTGACGGCGGGAATATCTGCCCCCCTTGCCGTAGGGAGCAATGGTCGACCATGTTTCAGTCACGAGGCTGATGAAGAGCAAGTCCTCTTTGAGAAGTTACTTATGACCTGAAAGCCCCCAGTGAATTTGCTCCTGGTTTGAAGCTTCTTCTCCCCTTTGACGCACTCCGCGGAGTAGATGTCGAGTTCACTGCCCCGGAACCCAGCCCCTGTCCAATTTCTACTTGTAACCAAGGTTCAAACCTTATTCCTGCTGACAGGTCCCTCCCGGCAATAAGCCAGGCCGCCGCCGAACGAACGGAAACATGCGGGCCTCCTTCGAACACAATGCCTATCGATACCTGATCTGCAATCTGCTTCTGCTGCTCAGCGGCTTCCGTCAAGCGCACGCTACGTATTACCTCAACCAGGCCGACGGGTACGATTCACTGCCGTCATGTGCCGAGCCGCCCATCAGCTCGATTGTCCGGGACATGGTGGCGGGGTGCGGTGACGGCGGGAAGACGACGTCGTATAGCTGCTTCTGCACGGCGAGTTCCGACAGGTTTAGGGAGATTATTGCGACGTCGGTCGCGAAGAATTGCGGACGGTCTGGGGTCGAGGTTGAGAGTGCGACGAGCGTGTTTGATGCGTATTGTCAGATGGAAAAGACTGACAAAGTCACTACTTGTGAGTGCTGCCCTGATTCGATCATCGATTTGGTGTGACTCCATGCTGATGTGAAGATATTCAAGCTGCAACTGAAGTGACCTCAACATCTGCAACTGCGACCTCGGCGGTGGACACCGCGTCTGCTTCACCAGTTAGCTCTGGTGGCCTCACGAGTGTTGCGTCACCGACGTCGTCTTCATCACCGGCTACCTCAAACCCCACCAACTCTGGCATATCCACCGGTGCGATTGTTGCCGTGAGCGCTTGTACTTCTCTCGTGGCTATTGCCCTGTGTGCTGCAGCCTTCTTCTTGTGGCGCCGGCGACAGAAGCGCTTGCGACCTGGCCGGGATGTGCATGGCCCTGTTTACGAAGTCAATCATCCGGGCGAATTGGATGGGAGTCAAGAAGCATCTCATGGCGCGGGGGAGTACTATGCCAAGCCGGAGTTGGAAGCCAGGAGCGCTGTGAGGGAGATGTATATTGAGCCAAAAGCTAGGAGGCATCAGTTGGCTGAGCTACAGTGATGTGCGTGTTGATGTCTGGAGCTTGAGTGAGTAAATGGTCACCAACGCAACTCCACCTGATTATTTCTCAGTATACCCGAGTAGACTCGAACAAAAGTCACTCACATGGTATTGTAAAATTCACTTGGTGCACTGAATTTGACCTGGTAGACTTGTGGCCGAATTCACACAAGGGCGCTTTGAAGACATTATTACATTATTAGACAAGCTACTCTACAATTACTTTAACGTGATTAGACAGCGAATCCACCAGAGTTCTTCTGTCTCGGCTCGCCAGCTGCCTCGAACGTGCCGTTCGGCAGCAGCCTCACACCCTGCGCTGTGCTACCGCCGGGTGCAGCCCAGGTGACATTCGTGCCCAAGCTCGCAAGGTAGCTCGTGGTGCTGTTGTCGTAAGCGTACTCGAAAGCAGCCGTGTTGGGGGTCAGCTGGTCGTGGAAGCGAGGCTCGGCGAGGGCTTGCGACACGGTCAGGTTCCTGTCGAGGACGTTGTGGATGTTTTGGATAGTGGCGGTGATGATACGGCTACCGCCGGCCGAGCCGATAACGAAGTAGAGTTTGCCGTCGGGGTGCTCGACAATGACGGGGGAGATGGAGGAGAGGGGACGCTTGCCGGGACGGACGTAGTTGGCCGGGCTGGGGACGAAGCCGAAGGCGTTGCTGGAGCCGGGAATACTGAAATCGTTCATCTCGTCGTTCATGATGACGCCCGTCTCGGGGACCATGAGCTGGGAGCCGAAGAGGAGGTTTACAGTCGTGGTGAGGGAGATGGCCATGCCGCTGGCGTCGGCGACGGCGATGTGCGAGGTTCCCGGGGTCTCGAGGGACTCGATGCCCTCTGGGTTGTAGTAGGACACGTTATATGTGCGGAAATCGGAGATCTTGGAGCGGATTTCGGCGCCGACCTCGGGGGAGATCATGCTCTTGGTGTAGGCCGAGAGACCGTCGACAAAGGACGGGTCGCCGAGCTTGGTGCGCTGGCCGTAGGCGAAGCGCATGGACTCGTCCAGTCTGTGGACGGTGTTGTTCCGCGAGGCCGGGTCGCCGAACCCTTCGTATCCGCTGACGATGTTGAGAGCGCTGAGGGCGACGATGCCGCCGGAGGGGGCATTGCAGGCCGTGAGCTTGTAGCCCCTGTACGAGATCTGCGCGGGCTCTCTGATGGCGACGGTGTAGTTCTTGAGGTCGGCCATGGTCATGGTGCCGTTGGACTTTGACAATGCGGCAATGGTCGCATTGGCGATGGCACCGGTGTAGAAGGCGTCGACGCCCTCCTTTGCGATGACCTCAAGCGTGTCGGCGTAGCGCTTGCGCGTGATCGTCTCGTTGAGCTTGAGGAGGGTGCCGTGCGGCGCAAAGTCGATGGCCCATGACGGATCATCGGTCAGGAAGTTGCCATTGGGAGTGACTGACTTCATGTATCTGACCAAGTCCTCGTTGACGCGCCAGCCGTAGCGGGCGACCTTGACCGCAGGCTCGACTACCTTTGACCAAGGCAGCTTGCCGTACTTCTTGTGCAAATGCTCCAGCCCGCGGAGCTCACCAGGGACACCGCTGAGAAAATCGCCAGGTCAATCTTGGTGTCGCTTGTTTGCGCTGTCGCAGAGATTCAGCTTACCTAGCGAGACCTCCGTACAAGCTGGCTCTCGTGTTGTTCGTGTACATGTTCTCGTAGGCGGCGGCCGGGGCCGTCTCTCTGAAGTCAATGAACTCGTAGGTGCCATTGCTCGACCTCACGAGCATGAAACCGCCGCCGCCGATACCGCTGTGGTACATGCCAACGACACCGACACAGAGGACGGTGCCGACCGTCGCGTCGGCAGCATTTCCGCCTCTCTTGAGGAGCTCGGTGCCGATCTTGCTGCAGATATCGGACTCTGAGGCGACGGCGCCCAGCTTCGGGATCGTGCTGTGGCTCGGGGCCGCGAGGGCGGGCTGGGTGGTGATGCCGAGCAGGAGCTGCGCGAGAGCAGCAGAAGTCAGGGAGAACTTCATGATGAGCCGGCTGGGGAGGTTGAGCAAGCTTCACAAGGTGTCTCGTCTCCTTCACAGCTCGTCGAGAAGGAACAGTACGGTGTACCTGGTTGGTCTTAAGGGAAAGCAAGCAGCAGTATTGGAACCGGAAACGGCCTGGCAGAACCGAGAGAAGCAGGATACCAGCGAGGTAACCACGAGAAGAAGCTGCCCACGTTTAATATGAACGGAAAACTTCACACTCTATGGCGCAATCGAGCAGACTCTCCGACTTCGCCCACAAATCAAGGAGGTTATGGACCCGACAGGTTGGGGGGGAACGTGGAAAAGGCTCATGGCTTCATTTCGGTAGCCTGCAGATCACCAACGGCAGCCGCTGTACCCTATCGCAATCGTTGGTAATGTCAGATGTGCCCCGTTTCCGTAGATAGGGAAAACCCGATTGCGGAATCGAAAGATGCTGTGTCAAATCGTCCCACGTTCTATCTAGCTTCCCCGCGTGTGTGCCTGTCCGCCTCGCCGTTCAGCAGCAGGGCCCGGCCCGGTTCGTGACGTCGAGCTTCAAAGTTCGGTGAGCTACCAAGGTGTTACCAGTACTGCAAAGCATCAGCAACCTCTGGAGTCCTGGACTCTGTACCTAGCCACTAGCGCGGGCAGTCTGCAGGAAACCTGCATGGAAGCCAACATGGAGCCAAGAAACAGCGAGTCAAGTGCGTGAGTGGCTGGGAATCGGCGTGCAAACAGTAAGTCAGAACTGTCAGTATCCAAGTCTTCATTGGTTATCTGAGGGGGAAGACCGAGAGAGGGAAATGTTTTGGAGAAATATCGAGCGAAATGCCGGGAGGAATCCACTCCGCAAACAATCGGGCGGGGTTCACCTGAGTTCTCCTGCCAATTCCGGATAGCTCACGGCAACCCCGGTATCGCCGGGAGGGGGCATCCCAGTTCACCATGGGTCGGATGGGACAGGTACGCGGCGCGCCAAGATAACGAAGCTTACAGTTTATCATTGCTTGAGCTGGCAAGTTGTTGGTTGCACGCGCGGTTCCATAGATAAACTTATTACTATATTTCGATTGTTGTCATTTCATGTACTCTAGTATCTATAACTGCACTTATCTATGTGCTCCTCATACGATGATGGCACCAATGACTTCGCTATACTCAACTCTCTAGCAAGTGCCAATCTTGAATAGCAGGCTAACAAACAAGTCAACACCCCATTAACCTCACAGCTGAAGCTTTTGAGATTGAGTCTGAATGTTTTCATCACTTTCGCAGTAATATAAGCTTAGTAGATTTAACTTAATCTGAGCCATGATTTACCGCCATTACTGTTTGCAATCGCGATACACAGGTGAACGGACTCCACACAAGTTCCGAGAAACCCGCATTTGAAGTTTACCAAGAATCTAGTAACCATCAGCCGCACGTGTGTAACGAAACTACGCGGCCGCAATTGTAAAATTGTCTCTAAATATCCTGGTAGAGTAGGTCGCTCTGCAAACAAATTTTAGTGACATGCTCCTCTGACTGATCGAACGACCCAGTGCGCCCTCATCCTACGAGCTGCCTCACATCCCAGCACTCTGTGGTTCTACCACCCAATACCACCGGTGATCACAAGCTTTCCGAACTTGGGATGATGACGGGGCAATTATGCTCACCCAAATGAAGACAATGTCCGCTGAATGTGACCTAAAGGAGGCCCCGCATTGCCCTAAATGAGTATTTTGGGAAACTTGAAGAGATTCTGACTTAAGTATGACGATTAGATGTTTTGAGAAACAGTACATGGCTAAACGAGACCAATTATTCACTCTGCAGGAAGGGCATGATTGTGGGGGGAGTTAAGGTTAGGTCCGCATATTAACTGTCTCCCAGCGGACCCATTTGGAAGCTGTTGGCTAGCACGTCAAACCAGGATGAGGTCGCGTAAGAGAAGATACAGGTATTGCTTCGCTTAAAGCTCTCAAGTCAGAATAGAACAATATCGAGTTGATTGTTTGAGAAGAGTCTTTGGTAAAGATTACGTATCGGAATCGGAGAAGCCCGTCGTTGAAGCTGTGCTTCCTGGCCAGACTTGCAGATCCTGATCATTTTGCCTTCGCGCATCCATAAACTTCTCAGTATGGGACCCGAGATCCTTAGGGTGCTCTTGGGGTCTCCCTGAGATTTGAACTCAAGCCAGTCTTTGGACGAAAATCGACTCTCCTCTATCCCAAGTACCGAAGCAGTGGGTGACGTCGAAGTTGAAACTTGTTGAGAAGCAGAGCGGTTTTCGAGTTGGTTTGGACATTGACAATTTCTCGGTACTTAGTAGCTAAGTTTGTCGGGAGTATTTACTAGTACTAACAGTGACAAAGATATAACTAGACGAGACGAACCTGATTGTCATTGAACCAGGATATCCTACATCAAAGGAGCATACTGCAGGTGACTGGCTTACGGCTACAATCATGAGTCAGCAATTCTTACACAAAACTACACAGGCACTCTAATATCTTTACAACTTAGACCGACGTATGCTACGGAGATATTGCAGCGAATCTAGGTAAGTTGACTCGAGAGCTATCAGGAACTTCGACATATACCAGTAATTACTATATTTCAAGATAAACTGCAGTGGACAACCCATATAATTTGAAGGTCCTTCGTTTGGATATCTACATATCTCGGAAACAATTATGTGTGCTCCGTTGAGTGCATTCCAAAAGCTAGTTGAACGACTAAATATATTGTTGAAATGCATCACCAGTCCTAGCCTCAAGCCATGGCTGAAGGCCCAAACACATTTTCAAGCCTTGACACACTCGACAACTTGTAATTTCTTATCCATACCATGCACCTTTACCATTCTCAGTCCCGCACGGGTGATGACGTCATTAAAAGCAGTGGCCGTTCTCTCCTTGCCAGCAATATTCAACATCGTAAAGTCCAGCATGCATTCCGAAATCGGAGGCGGATTAGGTATGACGTTGTCGGCAATGAGAAGCCTGCTATCGGATGCCATGGCCTCAGCGAGGTGTATTAGCATGTTGACACAAGTCTCATCGCCATAATTATGTAGGCATCGACGTATCCAATAAACCAGAGCGTCTGTGAGAAGCCATGAGTCAAGGTTTCTGTGAGTTTGGACAGGATAATGAAGTACTGACGCTTGATAGGCTGCCTTGTATGAAAATCGTGGATTTGTAACTTGGCACCTTTCAGCCACGGATCATTCATTGCGGCTACATGATTAAGCACGTCCTCTCTATCCTCGAGAACGACGCGTTCCGTTGGGATGAATGAGTTTTCCTGCAATATGGCCTTGGTGACGTGGCCATTTCCGGCGCCAACGTCCACAAGTACTGCCCGTTGCTCGTCCATGTTTCGGATTTTCTCCTTGATCCAACTGAAGTTGTACGAGCCGGTGAAAGGGGCCGCATATTGTGCCATTTGCATGGCTTTTTGGAATTGGTCCCTTCTCTTTGGTTCTTGGTAGTAAACTTCGTACGGCGTCATCTCTGGCTGGCCAAATCCAAAGGCCAGTGGTGTTCGGATCTCAGAATGTGGCTCTCGGCGGCCGTACTTCGCGAAGTATTCCGGCATTTTCACGGAAGGCACAATAGTTTCCTCATACCTAGACCCCTTTTAGCACTGAAAGAACATGACTCAGATAAGGTCTACGTGAGTTCTTACCAGAAACTAAACACGACTGTATCCGGCAAGCCTGGAAGATAGCGTTTGGAGATCTCGGTATGTGCCAACTCCTCTTCACCTACTTGTATCAGTACTCCACGCGCAATCAGATGCCATGCAATCCGTTCTTCAATGTCATTAGCATCGGTATGCCGCGCAAAACGGAGCCCTTGGTTTTCACTTACGAACCAAAGACTTGTCAGCGTTGAGCTTCTTGGAAAGTTCTTCATACGAGATAGTCCCACTTGGAGGAATTGCTTCAAACGCGTTCCAGTCAATGAAAAGCTTCATGGCAACGAACTCGCCGAAGCCATTGACCCTTGTAGTCCAGTCGGGCATATCAGGCCGGGCAGCAGCGATGACCCGTTCCGCAATTTGTGTAATCTTTTCATTCATCTCAGATTGCTTCAATGGGGATTCAATGAGAGCAGACAGCTTTCCTATAAGGTCAGAAAGCAGCTCAGTGGTGGAAGACATCTCTGAAATGTTGATATATCAAGAGTGAGCAACGGGGTCGCAATTCTAGACAGCAGATCCTATGGCTCATACTGCCGAGTGTGCACTGGCTTTATACAGCCCAAGTGAGTTGATATAGAGTTCTCTACCTCTTATAAATCAACAAAGTGATGGTGTGCGGCTCCCGCGTCTTCGTGCTTCTCGCGTTTACGAGAGGAAACCCCCGGCCACTCCGAAACCGATGGGCGCAACAGATGAACTCAGTATAACACGAAGTGGGTGTCCATACTGAAATGCATATTTCCGAACCAAGTCAGGATCTCATTGCCGGGCCCATGGGTGTTCGATATCGAGAGCAGCATCACAGCGATGATGGGAGCGTACGTTCTTCTCTCGATATGTGGTCTCGATAGTGTAGAAGTTCATAATTTCCGTACTTAGCAACTTACAGAAATGTCTCTTCGAACTTCCTCATACACCGCAATCTTAAATCACACGCTTTACTTCTATTACGAATACACCATACTTAGAGTCGTGATGAATGATCAACCGGCAGAAATCGTCATGTAGAGGACTTGAAAACACTATGCACAGTAGGTATGACCCATGGTAATGGTGAAGCACGCTCCTGATAGGTCATGTTAGTGACCCCGGCATATTATTTTCTACTTCGAGGATGTGAACATGCATGATGAAGTAGCAGAATTGGCTTTATTCAATCTCTGTTCTCAATCCCTGCGAAGGCATCCACCCATAAGGTACTATGAAAAAAACGAATACAATGATCACCCAATATTCCACTCACCACTGCATTGGAGGTTGATGGGAGCTTAAATAGGTGATTGCGTATGCCAAGCTCGAATATTGAATCAGACGAAGCATAACCCAATGTTGTTTCTCATGGACCCCGCGGATTTGCCAGGAATGGTCTCCTCAATGAGACGTCAACATAAACCTCTGCTCATAATTGTACAAGCTGAAACAGTATATGCGATGTAATACTGCAGCAGATGCTCGAAGTAGAGCGTTGAATGCGTGAAAGATCAGATTAGATCAATGGGCCGAGTACCCCCCATCGACGCAGATGGTTTGCCCTGTGACAGTAGCACTCGCATCACTCGCCAACCATATGGCAACTCCGGCAAAGTCCTCGGCCTTGCCATTACGTCCAGTCATTGTCCGCGCCGCATGTGTCTCCGCCTCCTCCGTATCCGAAAAGACCTCTTCCGTCATCGGAGTGTCCACGAGTCCCGGCGCAATGGCGTTGCACAGAACCCCGCTCGGCGACCAGGCCTCGGCTTGAGAGCGCGTAAGCGACACCAAACCACCTTTTGCTACACCATAGGCACCGCTGTTACCAAATGCGCGGAATGACTGCTGGCTGGCAAGATTGATAATACGTCCGCTTCCGCGCTTTGCCATTCCCGGGCCGAACGCCTGGCCCAAGGCAAATGGGGCAGTTAGGTTCGCGGCGATGGTGTAGTCCCAGTCTCCTTGTGTGATTCGTGACAATGGCGGGCGGTTGTTGACACCTGCTGCGTTGACGAGGATGTCTGGTATGCCGTGCGCGGACTTGATGCGAGCGCTGGCGTGGTTGAGGTCTGCTAGGTTGGCGAGGTCTGCCGTGATGGACGTCGCGGGGACACCAAGCTGTGTGAGCTGATCGACTGTCGCTGCCAGAGGTTGTGGCCTCCGTGCAATGAGTATAATTTTTGCGCCGGCTTGACCTAAGGCGAGGGCAATTTCTTTTCCGATTCCTGAGCTGCCACCAGTGACAACTGCTGTTCTGCCCGCCAGACTGAAGAGGCGGGTGAGGTAGGTTGGTAGAGTGCTAAGATTTCTCGCCATTGTCCAGAGTATTCTAATCTTACCCGTTCAGTGACAAAAGAAATCAAAATCAAAATGGAACATGTAAGATGCAGAAGTTATCGACTTTATGTGACAGTAAGTACGATAGAAGGTCAGCCTTTACTGTGAGTTCCAGTGGATGTACATGGCATATTCTTGAAGTGTGACTCTAAGTCAAGTGTGTGTGACTAACCGACCCTTGCAAGTCAATTCTGGGGTTAGTGCTTCGAGGCGGGAGATTTCACATGCAGCTACCGGCGTTCATAAGACACTTGGAGTGAACTAGGACGCCTGCAACACCCGATACTCCAACTTTTAAGGTGAAAAATATCGCACGTGATGGACATCGGTTCGGAGCATGATGAAGAGTAGCAGTTCCGATTACTCAAGCCCTCGACTGGCGAGGTTGGCTTGCATGCACAAGTGAGATTTTGCTGCCAGTAGCGACCCCGACACAACGCACGGCGGAGGCTGAGAACAGCATGCACGAATAGGTTCCTGGGAAACCCCATTGCAGCAGCGAATGAGAAGGGTAATTGTATCATGAGAAAAATTTGAAGTCTCCAACCCGTCAAACAGACATCTGTATATTTAGTCTAATTTTCAAAATGCAACATAATTCTCCAAGCGCAGAAATAACCGCTTCCTAAGATGTAAATGAGAAGCTCCAGGAGATCGTGACTTGGCGCTAGGCTAGGTAGTTCAGGTAACGTTGTCAAGCGCAGTGGCACCTGTCAAGCTAACTCCGTTGCTGGCTCCAGATGCGGGGGTTGGCTCAATTGCATTAGTGCGTGAGATTTCGGGATCTCTTTGATCAGTTATTTCTCCGGATGTTGACTTCAACCTGTGTACCGAGATTCACCATCCAAACACAGAAGTAGGCTGTTGGAACCGCTCTTCGAGTACCTCGTTTGAAGTCTAGTACCTATAATCCATCCTTGTCGCGAGGCACAGGCCTAGACAAGACGGTGTATGAGAAATCGGGAACATTTCCACCTTGAACGCCCGGAGAGACTTGAGGGGAACCGCCGCAGAGAAGTAGGAAACACTGTCCGGGATCTTGCCAGCAGGTCGCTCGAAGATGAAGTAAAGGGGATGGCTGGCTTTGAGTAACTAGCTGAACACATACGTCTACGCGACGGCACATAACATAGTTGAACGAGGAGTTCCACAAGCGCGTGTAAGATTATGTTGTGATTGTATGGAGTTTCCTTATTGGATCTATCATACTGGATGTTGTTATCCAACCCTACCCCAATGTTATGCCCTCGAAACATTCGTCTCTCATTAATCGTCTAATCGTTAAGCATTCCCATCATTTTCCATAGAGCCACATACTAACCAGTACCCTGGACCTAGAACGGCGGCAGGCAGTTCAATGCAATGAACTGATTCTTGGGACTGGCGTAGAAATGGAACGCAAACAGCCACAAGTATCCGATCGACTTCCCAACTCTTCCACTCATCTTATGATAGAACCGAGGGAAGTAAGTCTGAAGACAATAGAGGAAGGCCGTTTCCATGATCATCGCGATGTAGTTCAACATCCACCACCAGACCTCCACACCAACGTGACACTTGATTCCGCAGATATACTCAGTGCCAGCATGGAAGATACCACTGAGGAAGAAGATGAGTCCGTTCAGGACCCAGCGAGTCTTTCCCCGGAAAGGTCGCTGACCTACGCCAAGGGCAGTCAAGATCATCTCCCCCAAGCCGTTGGTGGTGCGGTAGATGAGTCGATCGAAGTATTTGCTCCAGAAGCGCCGGAGATTCCAGCCTTCGCGGATATCGCCGAAGACCGGAGGCCACTCTTCAGGTTCATCAATGTGAAGCGCTACGAAGAAGAGGGCGACGGTCGAGTGAATGAAGGTGTACCAGTAGAACGCGCCCCAAACGCCCTCGAAGGCGAAGTAGCAGCGGATAACCACCTCCCGTAGGTCGGTCTCATTCCGAAGGAGACGGCGGAAGTAGGAACGTTTGTAGGGGGCAATGTCTTCATGGGAATACCAGGCGTAAGTGTCCCAAACGTAGTCCTTGACACGTTCCAAGACAAAGATGAGAGCGATCTTGGCTATGGTAGTCATGATCCAGCGGATTCTTGGGCTGAGAGAGTTCCAGAAGCGAGCAAAGGGCTGGCTGGTTTTGTTCCAAGCGTTATGGCTGACTCGAAGTACAAAGTCCCGGGAATCATTGATCCGTTCGAGCAAACTTTTGTTGTTGTTTGCCTCAGCCGAGCTCTCATCCAAGTTTTTGTTGTTGATGGTGGCTTTCTCGGCGGATGCCTCTTCGATCGTAGCTGTGATGGATGCCTCTGCGAGCTGCCTCTTGCGCTCTTCGTCTGCCTTGATCAAGTGGAGGACAGGAGCCGGACGACTGGTGTTGACAAAGCGTGCGTTCCACATGAGTTTGTAGGTGGCGAGGATGCGTTGTCCCCAAGGAAGTTTCTTTTGCTCTTGAGTAACGGCGATATCTTCCCACAGCATCATGACAGCTGCACCCATGTTTTGAATGACGAGTACCTGAACAAGGGTGATCTTGACAGCGTATAAGATTGGTAGGATGGAAATTTGTTGAATGATAGCGACTGCCAAGGCGAGGGACGCACCGACGAAGGCTGTGCGGTATCGGCCAGTGGAGTTGAAGGCGATAGCGAGGGAGGCCAAGTTGAGAATATAGGTCAGAGCTGGGTAAAAGAGTATATCTGTCTGAATCTGATATCTCTGTGATCGGATATGGTCGAGAAAGTGATCGACCAAGGATTCCCATATTCCAATGGGCTCACCGTATATGTGATCCCAGTCTGAATCTGTCCAATTCCATTCGGGGCCAGTGTAGTTCCATAGGCTTGCCAGTTCCTCAATAGTAGGTGGCATGATGTCCATCTTCGGAATAGAAGCTATAGTTGCATTGATATCCATGGCGAGACTGTCGTCCAGGGGTTTCCAAAAACAAGGGCAGAAATGTGCTTCAAGTCTGTTGCTTGCAGGCAGACTTGCGTGGCTCAAACGGATATCTCAGGGCATGGAAATGTGAATGGAGGATGGGATGAGCATTGATGTGCGACTGATAAAGGATGGGAAACCGCTTCTTATAGGGTCAGAAACCTGGACCTCTTTCTTGGAATGCAAGAGAGTTTGGCCGTTAGACGGCGCTCAAATGTACCTTACCCTACTGGCTGGTAGACTTCAAACCTTCAGTCTACATGTATGGCTTCATCCTGACCGGGAGTTTTGACTGGAGATACATCAGATGGATATGGATCCAAGGGTAGCTCCGATAGGATTGAACAGACTCAAAACACCTTTCAGTGATGTACCTATCTCCTATGGATCCATCATCTCACTCCTTACTTGCCACAGTACTTGCCACAGTGATGCATTGAAGGGTGCTATGTCGTGTCTGAAGAAGTCAGACATGAATATCAATAGACATTCGAGCATATGCTGCTTGCTTTCTTTCCTGAATTATCAAACCACCCGACACAGTCTTCCATTCTCGTGAGGGAGCTTATCTTCGGTGAAAACTTCCCAAAACTCACTACCGACAGCAGTCGCAGCATAGAAGACATCCTCAGGGTCCCATTTACGTTTCAGCTCCAGCAGACGAGGGTATTTGCTGTCGCCATAGAACGACTGTTGGAAATTCGGCTCCATCCTGTCCGACTCAGCAAGGTATGAGCCAGCACCTGGAGAGACATCTCTCCACCGCTGCATATCTCCGAAAGTGAAACCTTTGCGGGCTTCTAAAATTTCCTCCGCGGTGGCATTTATGGACCACCTGACTGACTGGAGAGCGAACAAGATATTGTCGCGCCAGGCTGGGTTGACAGCGTTGTCTGGGTCATCGGGACTGATGGCCTTGATGTTGAACCCAACAAAGACGTGGTTAGTCTCGAGGGATGTGCGGATAGCTTCAAAAGTGGCCTGCTTCAGCTCTTCGCTTTCGAAATTCTTGCGGGGAAAGAGACGCGAACCGCTTTGAACGTTTACCTTCTCGATCACCTCGAGCGGGAAAAAGTCTCTCCAGGCAGGATAGAAGCTTTGGTATTCCGTGATATTAGGGTCGAACCTAATCCCGAGATCGTGGAGCTTGGTAAACCATGGGTCTAGCAAGCTAGTCACTTCCTTTGCTGTCTTGTTGGGTGCGAAGAAGGGCGTCATCTGGAAGAGAAAATTTCCAGGGCTTGGGTTGTTATGCAACAAGAGGAAGTACGAGTACGTGCCATTGTCGGCGTTGTGAATAAAAGAGTCGAAGTAGCTGCGTACACCACTCCAAAAAGTCTCGTTGGATAGACCGCCCGCCGTAGAGAATTTGAACGCCGAGGCAGTTGTGGGAACGTCTGGAAAGGCCTTGACTGTGACCGAGATTGCTACACCAAAGGTCGAGCCGCCACCACCTCGAAGCGCCCAAAATAGATCAGAATTTTGGCTGTGGTCTGCAGTCACAAGGTCTCCGTCCGCTGTCACAACCTCGAAGGCCAGGGCTTGATCTGCCCCAGTACCATATATTGAACTCAGTGGAGAATGGCCTCCACCCTGTATGTATCCTCCCATCACCCCAACAGTCTAGGAAAAGTTAGTTCTAACATCGTTCAGTAGTATCTTGGTCAACGCACCTGTCCTTCGCCACCAACAACAACTCTACCGTATTCAGACGCCACCTTGTATATCTCAAAAGCTTGAACACCGGTGCCACATTTGAAAGCAGGACCAGAGTATCCCTCGGTATCGTCGGTAATATTCTCGATGTATTCAATGCTTTTCAGGTGATGTGTCCATATACTCAATGACTCTCCACCACCCGATTTGCCTGAGAAGTCATGTCCTGTGTTCTTGACTACCAGTCTCACACCCGTCTCTTTCGCAAACTTAACGCCTTCTTGTACGTGCTTGGCAGAAGTGGCATTAATCACGTACCACGGGAATCCACCCATGGTACAGTTGCCAGAGTCGTAAATGTTGGGTGGCAAACACGTGAGACCCTGATAAACGGGCGAGAACATCTCGATAGGGTCATCAAGGTGGGTGTAGGAATTCGTCCACGTGGCCGTCATGCTGGCACAGGCGGCCTCATCGTACTCGGCGCCACTGTAGCATGCTGCTGCCTGCGGTCGTGGTTTGAGGAGGCGGTTGTCTACCCGTTCATTGAGAGCCGCCCAGGCTTCGTCAGAGGGCCAGGAGATGTCACCTGGATATACTTTGCAACGAGCCGGTGCGATGTCCGCTGAAGCCACCAGTGCGTACAAAAGTATCGCTGACAGTCGAGGAGCCATGGCTGAATCGCGTTGATGGAGCTGTCATGCATAGAAGTGTAGTAGATGCCAGTCCCAAATTTTGGAAGAAGATTCAGACACTACGCCGCGTTTTAGGAAGAAAATTCCTTAATCAAACTTCTTTATAGATTTTGAGAATGAAAAGTGCGGGGAGGTTTCTTTTAGCGTTGCAGTGAGAATGGCGAACCCTCGTCTTCGTTCCCCTGCTATGTTAAGCCAAGATGACGATCTTCACTAGAAACAGAGGGGATTTCCGTAGCATGTCAGCGTCGCACCGAATTCTTACGCTACTCACCAGCGTGAATTCGTATCCGAGTCTTGACTCGTCCATGCTGAACCCTCTAGGAGACTCCACGTCGGCAATTGATGCAGCGGTTCACATGTAGACTTCGCAAGTCGCGGGCATCCAGGCTAACTTACATCAAATTGCCTAAGAATCATTATATTGTACAGTTCTCTTGTGCTTTACATAACTAGAATTAGAGGGGGGAATCACACGAATTGCGAAAGACTTAATCTCTTCTCAGTTTTCTGAATCTATCCTAACACCGATAGACTGTCCAAATTTGAGAAAGATATTACTGCATCTGCTGCGTACTGGTCGTCTGATCTGGATCTTTTTGCTTTGTAGTCGTTAAAATCTCGAAATCCATTGCGACAGTTGGTACTAAGCCCTATTTCCTCTTGCGAAACTGATAACTCAAAAGCTGTGGCGTACATTTGGCGTGTGTTGTGGCTTTCGTAGGTATGTCCGACTTGGAGTAAATTGACAAGTCCGTGTATTTTCGCGTATGGCCGCGTATGTTCGCTCAGCTTTTATTCTAGCAGAGATCATTTCGACCCAAGAAACTGACGCTGCACTCGTGAGATGCGGGAAAATCAAGCAGCCCGAGCAGCGCCGTTGAGATCTTGGCTCTTGTTTTGGCTCTTGTTTCCAACGGTACTATTTGGACCGTTACCAAAGAATGATGAGGATTCATTCCCGTTATCGATCTGATTTTGGAGTACATCCCAGGGTTGAGCTGCTTGATTCGCTATGTTGCTGGCATTTCCGGCCCCAGGTTCACTTCCGTTACCAGTAAATTGTTGATTCGGAATATCGTTCGAGGTTTGTGTCACTTGATTCCTCGGGATCCCTAACCAAAGCGTAACCTCCCTCGTACAGACCGTGCCATGGTTGCACATGAGTGACACCTTGCCTTGCATTTTCATACATGTCGACATGACTACATTCCGTGTAAAGTCGTCTAGTTTTTGGACCTCTAGGTCCGTCAAGCCTGAGACATAGAGACCGATTTGCCCATGCATGGGGTTCAGACTCGGATCGAGATCGGTCGTGAATCCGCTAAAAGAGGCCTGTTTGAAGACGAATCGTTTTCGGATCAGGTTGGGTGGTTGCGGATTGCTGCCGTGTGAGACTACTTCGAAGAAGTGATCAGGGCGTGAAAGGTATCCCTGCAGAAAGACGGAGAATGTGTTCGTTTGAGGTGGGGCGACGGCCATTGTGTTTTTTTTGGTAGCAAATGAGGAATAAAGTCGGTCTTATTGGAGTGTTCAGATACTATCTTTCGGGGATGCGAATGGTGAAAGAGATGAGATTGCATTCGGCTGACGTTTACGAATTATATCACCCGAGTCAGAGGCTTTTATGTGATGAGAGACGCGTTACATGCCAGATAGCCTCGCCGCCTTATGTGGCAGCTTCAGGTAGTGGCGGAGACAGAACCAGCGAATCGAATTCCTTACCAAGGCACTCTGTAACCTAGATCAAGACGATGGAAGCCAAGGCTGGCCACTCAGAGCCGTGATATGTGACACGTTCGACGCATGCTTCAAGGTGGATAAGGTGGCTGAATTCGAAAAGTCAAACTGAGCCGCGAAGGTACCCTCTTTATGGCCAGACCACGGATGTAGCAATTCTTAATAGTGCATAGACGTGTGCGAGATCGATGGGGGACTTTTTTCAGCAGCAGTTCAGCCCTGAAATGAAGAGTCGTAAGACGTGCTGAAAGCCTGTGATATTTGGAGACGAAGCACGATCACGAGTTCATGGCAGGAATCGAGCCGATGTTGCTGTAGCTTGGCCCAATATTACTCTCCCGTATGCGTGTAGCCACAACCGAGAGACGGATGCATCATGTAACCGGTTTCTGGTAAATGCAAACTTCCGTGAAATTAATTCTGGAAGCCACTTCCTCAGCATGTACACTTTCCATCTGGGAAGTAGTGACTGTGACTATGTGTGCCGACTTCGAGCGATCTTTGCTACTCATAACCTATCACTGCAGCATTCCGCCAGAAAGAGTACTCCGGGATCGTCCTGATCTACAATTACATAGGCGATCCGGCGGAATACGGCATCATGTAATTAGTCTAGGGACATGCTTTTTGAAGTACCTTCGGCATTTCTTCCCTCTCGTTGGTGTCCCGAGTCCGCCACTTTTCTTTCCAGAAGGCACTCCTTCTTACTTCCAGTTGCATCTGTGCGTTTCAGGTTAGAGTATAGGGATACCCTGAGGAATCTCTGCATTGCACCTGTGATAGGGAGACTGAATCTCATTATTTGCCCATGCTAGCTTCAAACACCGCTCCCGTAGTCTCAAGGTCTCATCAAGTTATCTCTGCCCCTTCCTTAAGTGGCATCAGCCGAGTAACATAGCCACGACGGTGATGATCCCAAGAAACGCATTGGAACTTGAGTCTGGGTACGAAATTTCAGCTCTTAAGGCAAGCGTGAGATTACGCCTTCAACAATTCCTCGAACCTTCGCACCTTATGAGCTTCGTGACTTGGGTCCTCATGAATCTGCGCATGGGCTACAGCAACATGCTAGGCGTCTTGAAGCCGATTTGTATGAGCTTGAATTGTACACTATTCTTAGCAGTACTATTTCGGAAAGGAGGACACCAATCAGAATAAAGCAGGGGTATCGTTGTTTTTTGGCATGTCTGGATATCACATAGAGTGAGCGAGCTCAAGCTTAAACGAGTTGGCTTTTTGAAGGTAAGTCTACGGTGTGCAATCTTTCCACCGAAAGGTGCATTCTAGGTACTTAAGTTGCATGGGCGTTGAGTGTTGCCTTAGAAGTTGAAATTATGAGGAGGTCTCTGTTCCTGTAAAGTCTGCCACTTTGGTTGCTGGGACAATGAAGTATGACTGAGTTAGCAGTAACTATATTGTTTAGTCGTAAAGTCGCCCAATAGTACCTCCTTGAGGCTACGTGGGAGGTTAGCTGATGTGAGGTCCTGTAGATGCTAGCGCCGGATACTAGAGATGCACCCTGAAGAACTAGATCGCGTCAACCCGGCGCGCTTCGAGCCGAGTCGAAGTGGGACTGAGGAACAAGAACCTCGACATGGATAGCTCTGGAATCTTGTTGTGCCAGAACCTCACTGGAGCAATTCTTCTTAGAAATCGTGGCGAATGTTGACGGAAACGGAACCCGAACGTGTAATCAAACATTAGACAAGCCGTTGAGAGTACCACTGATTCGGCGTTGGTTTCGAGCCTTTGACTCCATTGGCTTCTGATCCAGAATTCAACGCTCAGTGGACCAATATGACCTCGCTCACCGCCGCCTTTGTTTGGGCGAGGCAGGCTCTTAGTTCCGGTGCCCGTACCGTCTCCGGGTCGGGATTATGAAACAGGGAACCTAATGGGATTACCATCGAGGGTTCTTCCAAAGAACGCGTATGGACTCTCCTACGAGTATTGGCAATAGGAAGAAATAGAACTTCTGCCTGCCGCTCTTGTCTAAGTGCAGGATTGGCAACAGCGCCCTTGGCGTCGCGATGCCAGATTGCTGGGCCGCAGCAGGACGAATAATGCCCTGATCCATCCCCGATGCGGTTCTTATGTGAATAAGCTAGCGCCCATGGTAATCAGGCCGCGAACCACAATCCTCGGATGCGATTTCCGCCGACCAAGGAGCTTTAGTATACCGGAACTTATTCTTTTGAAGGTCTTTCGGCCGGAAGAGTCTCTAGCTTATGTGGGTCGGAACTGACACAGCCGCCGGACTCTCAGCCCCGGCGCCACGAACATGAGCCAGACCTCATTCTGGCCGGAAGGTCGATAACGCTTTGGCCAACATCGGCCGATGCCCCACTACATCGGATCCACGTATTGGGCAAAGGAGAGTAGGCTATAATGCCATAGTCTCTGGTGAGGCTGGCCTGTGGTGCTGTCAGAATGGGCCCGATGACCCGAACGTCGCGTGGTAGTCGGAGTCCGTGAGGCAAAGGCAGCTGGGTGGTGGCTTACTGTTGATATGTGTATTCGTTGTTGTGCAAGACATCATGAAACGAGACAAGATGTTGGCAACAGCCGGATGCGGCTGTGATTCTGAGCCCAAGGACTCGATGAATGTGAAGACGGTAATTACCGTTGTTGAATCGGCTATTACTGGCTTCACTGTTCATCGGCTGTGTTGAAGGCATCCCGTCGGCACGGTTTCATGTACCATCCCCACCACACAAACGTGATCCTCTGTGCTTGACACATTTGAGATGTTTTGACTTCATCACCGAGACTCTGAAGCTTATGAGGCGCTTCTTAGGGATGATTTTGGTGGCTTTTGCCTGTCATATGGAGTGCCGGCGCCAGGACATCAGGCTCGCAGAGGCAGAAAGTGGCACCGGCCAAGGCTGAGCCACGCCAACATAATCGATCATCGAAGTCTAACCGTAAACTCATTCGATGTGTCGGTGAATCCAGTTCGACTCATGCGTCCTCTTGTAAATAATTCACGGGGCGCTTCCCGATGCCAGACCGTTGCCAAAGGAGGTCTATGCTGCCTTCCGACGCACGATAATCTCGATTTCTCAAAGAAGATGTGGCTGAATCTTTGCCCAAAATGGACTCACTGTCAGACGAGTTAAACTGCAACTGACTCGGAGGAATTCCAGATTGTTGGAATCGAGCCAGCTCTCTAGGTAAGGTATATCGCTAAAGTTATCGCTGGACCCAAGTCAACGGTGCCGGACGACTACGGTGGCTTGCGCAGAGGCCATGCGGAAGCGAGCTGGCTGAATTGAAGCGGCATGCTTAGCTACAACTGGCATCTTCTCCGTGGCAGAGGTCAGAATTAGTAGATGCAGATTGAGTTGTCATGGGTTTTCTTTGCTACGAGCCGGTGATTGTTTCATGCAATGGTAGTTGACAAAGTGAGAGCCAAGTTGCCATAAGTGGAAAAGCAGTCGTGACATCGCCCAACTTTTGACACGACGCTTGACTATCGACAATCCCCAGGCCAAGTTCGCCAGCTCAGTGCCAGCGTTGCACAGCTTGCTTCTTCCGGCGGCCAAAGCTCTCGGGTCTGGCCAGATCTACCAATGAATGTCGATCATCCCGCGGCCCCTCAGCATGTCTCACCAAGGGAGTCTTGTCTATTAACGTAGCAAAAGCCTTCTAGGACCATTTGGGCCGACAGTGAAAGAAAAAGGCCTGTCCGGGAAGCCGGTAGGCAGGGAATAAAGAAGCAAGGTCCGGATGCGATTGAAGAGTAAGCACGGAGACAATCGTCACTGATCCAGTGATCCCCACTCAAGCTAGCCGTAGATCCTGAACGGAGGGCTCTTAGGAAGACCCCGGACTGCCTTGGCCCCAGACGGTCCGACGCCGCGGCTGTCCGAGCGAACCCTCCAGGCTCGACTTGCCCGATCCTGATTCGCCAATTCCCCTCGTTTGGGCGTGGTGGCCCTGCAGGGGAGCCGATGCAACGAACAAGACTGGTGTCTTGTGTGTCTTGTTCGTCCCTTCATCTTTTTCCCACCCCTCAAAACATGGCAGAAATCCAAGAAAGGAAGGCCAGTCGGTAGGCGAAGTCCCCGACATGTCGCGCCTCTGCGAAGAAAGACGGGACGATGGCTGTTCATGTTGCATTTGCCTTCCAGGAAGGGCCAAGGAATCCGTCCGCACAACCCCTTTGTGATTTATGATGATGTGATGAGTGTTTGCTTGTCACTTTATCGTCTAAGCGAAGAAATACGACTCTGAAAGGAGTTGGGGAAGAAATGGGAATGGGGTAAGAACGCACGACATTTCAAACATGTCCAAGTCTATCTGCATGCTGCACGCTCGGGGCCACTCAAAAAAAAAAAAAAAAACCGTCTAACGCTGCAGAAGGAGAAGAGAAGCAACGGTGAGCGGCATGGAAGAAAAAGAAACGAGGGCGCAGAAGCAAACACCAAGACATTCCCACTATGAGCAGCAATTTTGGGTTAGCCGAAAATTACGTATGTTTGCCATTTATTTTTTAATTATCCAGGGTGTTTCTTATTGACCTGTTCGCACTTTGATCGGCTGATCGGCTTGTGGAGTCCCTCATCTGGTTGGGAAAGTTGGGGAACTGAATCGAGTCTCCATTCCAAGGGTGAGATTTGCGAGGAGCAACAACTAAAGAGGAAGAGAGAGAGATCCGACGGGCACGAGACCACCTCAGCTCGTACACACATGTACGCCTGCATGTACTTACGCAGAGAGGCACTGAACAAACTTACCATAGAGTGAGTGGCAAGGAAGCCTCGAACCTTGAGGACTTCGTCCCAATGCCAGCCATGAGCGATCTTGACCGTCTTTGTCCACGCAAAACGCCAGTGCTATCTGCATCAGGTGAAACAAGTTCGCCAGCAACAAAAAGGCACTTGGTTAGCCGTGTCCCCCAACCCGTTTCCGGAATACCCATACCACGTGTGCAGGGGCCCTGGTGCTGACGGCTTTCTCGAGGTACCGGACTGCAGGGTGTGGCGCGCACCACTTTCTGGAGCTACTCAAACACCCCCAGTCGGGTTCATCTCGAGAACGGCTCGACGGACGGCTTGACTTTGGGAACCATTTATCATTGCTGCCTCTCCCCCCTTCGCTCTTGTCCTACCTTTCCAGCCCTTCTAGGTTGTCTCCATTTAATCTCGAATGAACTGTCTTATTTGATCATCTGCCGACTCTTGCTGGCCAACGGCTGAGAACTCCGATTCGAAATTTACCCGCGAGCTGGACTTCGACCTACGGAATTCGAAGTCTCCCCCCCGAGTATGCAAACGGCAACGGCCCCGATCTCGAGAACCCTGGTAGAATATGGGCGGCTCCATACTTGAATTACTCGGCAAAGCCGACAACCTCAAAGACCCTGTGCCGGTTCTCAACCAACGACCTGCGGTCCTGGCTATGGTCGTTTCCTTTCTGGTATTTGCTGCTCATGAACCGCATCCAGGCAATGTCAGCTTCTAACCATTTGCCGCAGCTTGTCGCCTGGATATGCGGTGCCTTTCGACTCTATGTCCGGTTGTTTATTGCTCGGTGTCCGGGATGGGATGACTTCTTCGTGGTGTTATCTTTGGTAAGTGGCTATCAGGTAACCCTTATGCATTATTCTCAATTTCTAACATTTTTTTCCCGCAGCTCACAAGCCTGCTTTTATCTATCGCGACGTGCGTGGGTAAGTGTCTTCATTCTATGGCGCCTACGAAAGAAAGGTCCTCTAACTCTTCGATGCAGCCACAGATTATGGGCTGGGCAAGCACTTTCTATTACTTGGAGTTAACGGCATGCAAAATTTCATCAAAGCCTTTTATGTCTGCAACGGCGCATACCCAATGGCAACAGCCCTCATCAAATTGGCCTTACTGTTTCAATATCTACGAATGTTTGAACGCAACACGAAGTCTCGATTCGTTACCATTATCGTCATTTACATCACCGCACTATGGGGTGTAGCTTACTCCTTCATTGCCTGGATCCCCTGCCTTCCCGTGTCGGCCTTTTGGGACCTTTCATCGACTACGGATACTCGATGGGCATTTGGCTCCCGCGACCCCATTATCTTTGCGAAAAGCTTCGAAAGCCACGTCGGAATGAATGTTGCACTGGACCTCATTGTATTTGCGATACCTATTCCCTTGTTCCTGGAGGCTGGAACTCGGACGAAGTCGCGCTTGGGCCTGCTTGGTCTGTTCACCATGGGTGTTCTGTAAGTTCCACGCCTCAAACTTCCTTTCATCTCAAAGCGAACACCTCCCGTCTGACTCGATTTCGCTAGTGTGAACGTTCTTGGAATCTTCCGTCTCATCGGCATTTCACACTCGAGAGCGGGCACTTATCCGACCCTCGATCCCAGCTGGTACGGCTGCGTGCCCATCGTCCTCGCTGCTGTCGAGATCAACTTGGCGACGATTTGCGCCTCGTTACCCGTCTTCTGGCCCACTCTACAGAGTAGCATCGGCCAGATCTTCATCACCAAAGAGATCGAGATTACATCGGAGATACGCCGTCTCAGCAGTCTCCGTGACGAAGAGGCCACCGCTGAGCTGTGCGACTTTCCATCACCACAAAAACCGAGCAAGACGTATGGAGGAGTCGAGGTGAATGAGAGGTGGTGTATTAATGAGTCCCCGTTGAGGTCAACAACAGTTGAGGTCGAATCAAGGGGACTTCACACAAAACCGAGCGAGATGTCGCTATTTTCCGAAGGGTTCAAGAGGATAGCGGACGACCAGGAATCACATGATCGTCTCGTTCCGTCCCCATCGCGCAGTCGATTAAGACCATGATTAATAAAAGTTCCGTTTCACCTTCATGAATTACTTGGCGATGTATCTGCATCGGATTGAACATTCTCTAGACGTGTATTATCTACGAAGTGCGTAATGTATGTCGTAGCTTACAATGGAGTGTGAAGATGGGTGCCTCATCCCCTCACCCATACATAGTCTGGCAGTGGTATGAGATTCAATCGTCGCTTGGGAACTCCTCAGTCAACATCGCCGCAATATTGCCGTCTTCAGCGACTTGAAATCGCAAGCTAGGACAAATGGGGATGCCTCCGATGTTAGTTCAGTAGTGGAACTTTATCCGAGCACATCGACACCGTGGCTGTCTTGGTCTTTTGTCTGCCAGACCCTAAACCGCAATAGCCCGCGCCTCAACTTGTGCACGGATTCTCCTCCCAGACCAGAGGCGGCTCAACCTGAACTCGACACACTAAGATAGCGGCCGATGTAGCTCATCAGTCTTGGGCGGCTATTGGTCGCTGTACGACGGATTCGCACAATCGGATGCTGCGACTAGAGTGCAGACGCCGCTGTAACACACTAGACTGAGACGGTATGGTAGATATTTCAAACTACTTATACTCGTAGCAAAACGGACCACCGTGGATATCCATCACGTCGCTAATGGGGATATCCTGTCCAAAGTTCGGGTACTTGAGAAGGTACTGCAACGTAATGTTCTCGTACGGCACGTCACCGAAGAAGTTGAACGGGTACGCGAACATGGTGTCCGGGCCACCGATAGCGGTTTTGCGCGCGGGCCAGTCTATGACCATCGTTAGCAAGATCGAGCCTACGACTCCTTTTAACGTTTCCTTATGCTGGGGGAAACGGGGCGCCTAGCCGCTTGTCTAAGTGTCTTGGTCTGTTCACAAGTGGCACTGAAACAAAAGTCAAGTTCGTGAGCAGAAAAAGATGCTTACCTCGTCGCTGCCAGTCGTTCCAGATCTTGTCCAGTGCACCGTGGACGAAGTAGAAGAGTGGATCGCCGGGGGAGGAGTACATGTCCGCATTCTGGTCCTGGCCATTAACTTCCTCAGATCTCACAACTTCACACCTTACAACGTAAAGGACCAAAAAGGGCCGAAAAATGAGAAAGAATTATCGTCTGATCATACGTACCTCGCCAACAGCACCGCCGATGCCAAGATGCATGCCCGCGTGGAGAGTCAAACCGTCAAACTCGAAACTGTAGCCTTGGATATGAGAGTTGAATTCGCCATAGGTCGGCGCAGAGAGCGCACGGTCAATGATTTCGTCTCTCAGGGCACTGGCAACGAGGGTGGGACTGAAATCTCGACGCAGGCAATGGGGCTGCGACTCAACAGAGGACCCTATTGCCAGGATGTGAAGTCAGCAGATGCCAGGCAGGGGCAAAAGCCTTGTGGTTTGCGGAAATTCACAACGCACCGAGACCCATGGGAACCGTGAGATTCGCAAATGGACCCTCCTGGACGCACCCTCCTCCACTCCTTCCCGGAATTTCCGTGGGGGTCTTGATCGGGAACTCCTCGTCATCACTGATATCCTCGATATACGGCCCGTTACCCCCGAACCCGTATATGTTGTCGAAGATTGGCGACTTGGCGAAACTTTCCGCAGTATTGTCAAGACTCAAGTCCCAGTAGGGTAGTGTTCCTTGGTAAGAGCATTTGTTCCTTAGCTCAGATTCGAAGAGGAATATCATCCACCGATGCCAGCTGCGGTTGACATATTTAGAAAATGATCGAAATAAGTTTGGAGTCATCTCTTACGGGAGGAAAGGCCCCTACATTAACATCAGTATACTGAAACTACCTGCTAGTTTGCCATGCAGATTAGGTTAACTCACATTGAAGTGCACCTGTTCTGTGACATGGATGTGCATTCCCTGGAAGTCGTCATATCGGGTTTTCGCACCAGGCCATAGATCATTGCCTTCCGACGGCAGGGACATCAAGCATTTGATAGCATCGATGTAGCTTAACCTCTGTTCCAATGATAGTTGCCGCCATTCGTATCGGATCAGCGGGTTCCGACAGCACCCGGGGCTGGTATGATTTGATGGGGCACCAGTAACGGTATGGACGCCCGCCAGGCCAAGAATGGCCGGAGCGACAGTCGCGAAGAGCCGCATGATAAGTTAAGAGAGGATGTTCAGAGATGAAAACACTAGCATGATCCGAAGAAAGACAGGAATGAACTGGATCTAGGCCCCTACTTTTGCCAGGCGCTGGAGGCAGATCGGTTCACATTTGAGGGAAACCAACATATTTTCAAGGTCGGCACGCGCTTGCGGACAAAGTGCATTTTCAGTTTGCCTGGAGGAAACGAGATGAACAGACTGCTTTCCGTCTGCCCCGATGCATCTTCGCGGCACAATCAGCCCCTCATGCTGGAACGGCTGATTTTCTTCTTCGAGACTTTCTGTTGGTATCAAGATGCAGGTTATTTGCGATGCGTCTTCGAATACAAGAAGCCCTGCCTCCGGATGTATGTTCCGCAGAAGAACGCGTATCCTTCGGCTAGGGCTCTGTTAGTCACTGACGGTCGATGGTTCGATCGGATGATGTTGTGGAGGTTAACTTAAGACCCGCTCCTAATGCCTGTTTCCCAACGCTTCCGACCCTTGCTGTCAAGATTTTTCCAGGGACCCTGCTCACCGAGGGCGTGTCCGATCACACTAGTTTTAAGCTATCATCGACTGCCCCCTTCAAGGGTAGAGAGATGAGTTGCGGAAGTTTGAAGAAGATTGGAGAAATGAGGTTCACCTCAGGTAAACGGCGGTGGGGAGGTCAAGACTCCTGATTGTGGTTTAGACTTTGATGACTGCTGCGACATCAAATTTGGCACAACTCAGGGACCCAGCAGGCCAGCCCTGGCTATCAGGCCAACGCAGCTCTCAGCAAGGGTTCGAGAATATGGAAGAGGAGCTTTGGATCCTTTTGGGCCCATCTTGTCTGGGCGCCGAAAAGTCCAGTGATGATAAAGGGTGGCTCAGCTTGAGAGTGAGTTTTCTCTCCTTGGAGGCGTGGAAGGCGCTTGGAGCCCTCAGCCAACATCGTGCCAGGGGTCCTGAGGGCTTCGTTCTTATGGGGCGATGGGACCTCATTTCAAAGTAACGAGGCTAATTTGACTTTATGCCAAGACAGACATCCTCAGCACAGACAGCGTATCGTGGGGAGAAAGTTTGTGGATCGGTCTTGCGACTTCACTTCTCGAAACGTTACGTCTTTGCAGCTTTTTGCCTACTGTTGAACCAGGTCGGGCAAGACGCCGTGGAAGCTCAGCAGTTGGCTGGTAACCGTGTTGATCGCTACTCTATGGTCTAAAACCTGCGGTGATGTCCATGCTGGCCCGACCTTGGGGCAGAACTGGTCGATTGCCCCGAAGTCAAGAACTGGATGAAGCGTTGGCAAAAGCATAATCGGCCTTCTAGGGAAAGGCGAAAGGGGAAGGATTCATCATTGCCAGTCGACAAAATCCGACGGCTTGGGTCGTTTGATTGCACTTCACTACAGAGCTTCCTCTTGTGTCAGTATGGTGTCATTTCCACATAATGATACGAGGTTCGAGGGCGCTCTCATCCTCAAGGATCAAAAGAGGTGACGAACACAACCAGCGTTGCGAGAATGGTAGATTGATTGTCAGTTGCGACGTAGTATCCGGCTTCGCTACTTCCAACACTATGCAACAAGGGAATAAGTCAAACCCCCCACTTCCCGGCACCCCCCTGTTTCTGGCACCCACAAAAACGCGAAAATCCACCACAACGCAATGCCCACCCCCAACCTCCTTTTATCACAACATTTTCAATTCGAGTCCAAATGGGCTCATTTTTTGCACATACCTTCTTCTATATCTAATGCCTCAATATACCGAAGATCAGCTTCGTCAGGCTCTCGAGGACATCTCAAACGGCAAGAGTCAAAAGAGAGCCTCATTGGAGTATGGGATACCACGATCAACCCTCCAACTACGTCTCCAAGGTGGTCAGACTAGGAAAGTGGCTTTTGCTGACTGGCAGAGGCTGTCTCCTGACCAGGAGAGTAAGCTGGCACAATGGGTTCGCATTCAGGCTTCGCTGGGCCTCGCACCAACGCACCAACAGGTGAAGGAATTCGCAGAGCGAGTTCTGGCTGCTGGGGATACCAAACCATTAGGAAAAGGCTGGATCTATGCCTTCGTGAGAAGGAACCCTATCATTAAGGTTCAGAGAAGTCGTTCCATCGATTCTAGACGCGTTAATGGGGCATCTACTGAGGTCATTAGGAACTGGTTTAAGTTCCTTGCTATCCCTGAGATCAAGGACATCAAACCAGCCAACAGATATAATATGGATGAGACTGGCATCCTCGAGGGTCAGGAGCTAATGGGTTAGTGCTGGGCATGGCTGAGACGACGTCTGTTCGCAAGAAACAACCTGGGTCGAGGGCATGGGTCTCTATCATTGAGTGTATCTCAGCCTTGGGTAGGGCACTTCGTCCTCTTATCATTTTCAAGGGAAGACGGTCCAACAACAGTGGTTTCCATTACATCTGGTTCCATACGATGGGTGGGAGTTTACAGCAACAGATAATGGCTGGACTACAGACTTAACTGCCATTGAATGGTTAGAGAAGGTGTTTATCCCACAGACTATGCCCGAGGCTGAGGGCGAGGCTCGACTGTTGATTGTGGATGGGCATGGGAGTCATACGACGACAGACTTCATGTGGAATTGCTATATTAACAATATCCATTTACTGTTCTTACCACCACACTCCTCTCATGTCCTCCAGCCACTTGACCAGTCTGTCTTCAGCCCTGTTAAGTCAGCCTATCGGAAGGAGCTCGGTTACTTGTCTCAATGGAACGACTCTACCATTATAGGTAAAAGGAACTTCCTGGACTGTTACCAGAAGGCTCGACTTGCTGGTCTATCAGTCTCGAACATCAGAAGTGGTTGGAAGTGGACTGGTCTACACCCTGTAGCGATGGTTAAGCCCTGATGAACCCTATGGTATTACCTGAGCCTTCTGCTAAGCCCACCACACCCAAACCAACCAGTCGGGGCAAAAAGCGATGCCATAATGGTCAACAAACTACCCTGTTGAGCCATGGGATTCTGCTTCCTCTGCAGTGGTCTGGTCGACACCCAGGAAGCTGGCAGAGCTCAGCGGTCAACTGCACTTATACACCCAACTCGACAATGATACCAGCACTCAACGGCTGCTGTTCAGGAAGGTGAAAAAAGGCTTCACAGAGCAGGCCTGGCAACTGGCAGCTGCCCAGCAGCAGCTGGCTCACCTGAGGGCTGTTACCAACGCTGCAGTTAGGAAGAGGAAGACTGTTCAGATCGATCCCAACACGAAGTTTGCGAACATCAGGGATATCCATCGGGCTCAAATCGAAGCGGGTGAAAAGGAGGTTATTACGGCTGAATCCAGCGACTCTGAATGCCCTAGTGAGGCTGGCAGTTGTATTGTAGTGGGTGTGGTTGAGGATCAATAGTTAATAGTAATGAGGAGGTTGGGTTGTGATCCCATCGTTTTTGTGGGTGCCAGAAACAGGGGGGTGCCGGGAAGTGGGGGGTTTGACTTATTTCCATCACACTATCTTTAAGCTTCTAGGCCGGTCCGATGCGAACGGAGCAATTCCACAGTAGTCGGGAACTTCTCATCTTCTGAGGCATATCTCCGTTTGGCAAGACGTGGCTTGCTGCGAAGCGCTCTTTTGAGCCAGGTCTCGACCAACACGCGGAGCGGAGGCCTGACTAGCGGCCTGATGCCAAGAACCAAAACCAACAACACCGCACACGAAATCGAACATCGTGCCGAGGACGATGTTTTGTCCTGTAGGATCCAACTACTGACCCTTTGATGAAGCGAATGTATGCCCGGCGTGCGAGCTTCGTGTTTCAGACTATCAACTCGCACAAGACCGAAAGAATGAGATCCTAAATTCTACGTAGAACTCGTAGTATGCAACTGGTAGAGTAAGTATACACGTCCGACTATTTAGAATGTTCTCTTCTGCTTCAATTCGTCGAATGAAAAAGGGTTTTCCTCCTAGATCGTGGCTTTTGAAGATCACCTTGACTGTGACCATGATGAGACTGGTGGCAGAGCCTGTATGCATTTGCGAAACTAAATACATGTATGTTGGTCCAGCGAAGGAACAAAAATTCGATACATCTTGCTTCGCGAGAGAGACCAACACTATGCCGACTGTCATCCCACTCTCCTGCATGCACAACGGGTGGAACCAATCCTGATACCGAATGCCAGGATTCGTGTCGCGTCAGTAACAGAGAATGAACAAGACAATTCTGCAAACGTCTTTTGCCACGCATGGCTGCGGCGCAGTAGCTAGCCCCCTAAAGGGCTTGCGCCGAGTCTTTTGAAAACATAACGAGCCGTGAAAAGTGAAAGTACTGATGCCTCGGCTGGAAGGACGATTGAATATGGGCAAAGCCCGTGACTGGTCTTTCTTTGCGATTTCTCTGTCAGAAGTCCATCTCGCCAGTCGAAAATTTACTCTTGCCAACTGGCTGGCGTATTACTGAACCTTCGAGCATATTCTTTCTCTCTTTCCATACTATTTCCCGCCCAACTTCCTGTATCAATCATCACGCCGAAGGACACTCACGATTGCAATGGACGGTAAAGTCCACTTCATGGACTCTCCAGGATACGCTGGTGATAAGACCCTACACCTTAACATTGCCCTGATCATGTGTACAACAGTCGTAGTTGGTCTCAGGCTCTATGTCAGAGCCTTCATGTCAAAGGCCTTGGGGCCTGACGATTTGCTTGCCTTTGTAGCCTTCGTAAGTCGTCAAATAACAGGATTTAGTATCATAGGGCTGTGCTAATGAAGATCAAAAGGGACTGGTAACCGCGTTGTCCGCAATGGATATTAGACGTGCGTTTCTGCTTCACATTCGTTTTGGAGATTGGTTGACCCACTGACTGCAATTTCTCATGCGTAGTTGTTCAGTTTGGCAGCGGTGCACATATCGAATATGTCCCAAAGTCTTTACTTGCAACATGGTTTGAGGTGAAGTTGCGCTCATTCTTTTCTTGCTAACGTAAGGAAGCTTCTACTGACCGGCCTCATCAAGTCTCTAACAACACAAACACTAATCTATTTCGTTGGAACCGGAATGATGCGACTGTCAATTGTGGCTTTTCTTCCTCGACTGAGTCAGGATAGTAAGCTGTCGCCTTTGACAGTCCCGAATCATCCATTGATTCTGACTAACAGTGCTACCTACTCTAGGGACCTACCTGATACTTGTCTACATTACCGGCTTCTTTGTGGTGTCACAGACTGTTGGATGCTTTTTCTATCGCCTCACCGAGTGCAGCCCAATAGCGTATGTGACCAAAGGAGTTCCGTCGATCCATGGCTTTTATTGACAGCTCTTCTTTTAGCGATATCTGGAAACCTCCCTTTTTACCTGGGCTCAATTGCGTTCTACCAGAAGCCGAGAATACAATGATGGTAGTTCATCAAGTGATTGGACTGATTCTGGATATCTCTCTGATGGGATTGCCTATATGGGTGGTTTACACCAAGATGATCTTCTCTCAACGAGCCTTCCAAGTCATCTTAGTGTTCAGCGTGGGCCTCTTTGTAATTGTCACAGGTTGTATCCGCCTCGTGATGTTGAAAACACTACTCTTCTTGGCCGACCCGTAAGTATCACGATACCCAATGCATTTTTGCAAACAATAGCTGACGACTTCCTGAAACAGTACCTTCAACATGTCGACTATAGGCGTCTGGACTGATCTGGAAGGCCACATTGGTCTTTGGGTTGCCTCGTTTCCCGCATTACAACCTCTCGTTCGAATTATCTCCTATAAATTCGGCTTTCGAAGTAAGCTCCAGAGCTACGGTAAAGAAGGACACACGGACACTTGCGGTGGTGCCTCAAGGTCGAGATCAAGGGCTTGGGCTGGTCCTGCTCGTAGCAGAGGCCACGTGCGCAACGGAAGCGGCTTCGATGCCACCGACAGTCACAGCGAGAGGGGCATTATTTCAAACGCAGATAAAGATGTAGAGTTGGATAAGATGGACAACAGGACTTCGGGCATCCACAAACAAGTTGATGTGGAAGTTCGAGTGGACAATGCGCCTGGGATGGGTAAGCCTGTGGCTCACACCTTGGACAAGGGGTTCAAGAGTTGGTTAGCGATTTGAAAACTTTGGGCAACACATAGAGCCGAGACTGAAAACTTTCGCTCTTTTTTCCTATCTGTTCATAAAGCCACAAACCTTGCTCTTGAAGTAGGTACCTCATGCCAAGCCCCAGTCACCAGTGTTCTTTAAGTCTTCAATAAAAACCCCAGACCTCTCCTTCTCCTCCTCATCTTCGATACTCCAAGGTTGCATTTCGTGACCCACAGGCAAATTGGTGTTTGCAAATGGCTTGTCGAGTTTGACTGCCGAATACGCCTTTTCAAAGTTCTCTGTGGCATACTTTTCAGCATGGTGAGTCCAGACCCATTTCCCGAGGAGCATGGGCTGCCTTTCATCTTTCAGAATCTCGTTCATGTCACGGTGGACCTGACGCCTGTTGACAAAACCGTTGTGTTGCAGAAGCGAAGTACGTTCATATCTAGGGAAATGTGATTAAAAGAGGAGGAAGAACATGACACGAAAGCATGCAGACATACCTGAGTAGCTGGTGAGCTCGAACTGAAAGGGCTATTTGATCTTTACCTCCCAACCTCAAGCATTCGGGAAGCGACATGGCGTCCTCAAGGGCCATGGATGCCCCGTTTCCAGATGATGGGATGAAGCTGTGGGCTGCGTCACCAAGCTGAATGATGTGACCGCCATCAGAGTACCACTTTGGTTGGGTATTACGACAGCACAGCTTCCATCGCACAACAGTGTTGGGTGGGGTGCTGTGAATCGCCTCCATGAGAACGGGGTCCCAGCCCTCCTTGTCGGGCATCACGTCCGCCGTCTGCGCGGGGGTCACGGTCGATGACCAGGATTCCACAGCCGTGCCATCATCCTGGATTATCCGTGTTAGGTCGTGATAAAGGATGCGTAATCACACCTACCTTGTGTGTGATGCCGAGAAAAATGTGAGTCTTTGAGAGGAGGAAGACGATGTACATGTCAGGTCTGGTCTTCTGTTAGCCAAACCTTTGGTTCAAATAAGTAGCTTGACACAGAACTTACGCTGTATACATGCGTAGCTGAGGTCGTTGGAGTTCGGTAATCGATTTCTGCAGAGCAGGGGCATCTTTTATGTGGTCGGTCGAGTACATGACACGATCAGCACAATAACCTGTGCTCACGGCGCGAACCGGCTTGCCCAGAGTCACACTGCAGCTCTTGGAACCGATGCCATCTGCCGCGATCACAACATCTCCGGTGAAGCTGCGGCCATCTTTGGCGTGGGCGGTGGCGGTACCCCCCTCATCTTCCGAGTAACGGGTGATGTCTACACCATATGTCACAGGAATTCCCAATCGCTTACATTGGCCAAGGAACATCATGGCAAGATCTCGTCGGCTGACAATTGGCTTGGCTCTGATGGGCCAAATCACATGTGTAGCAACTCCCGGCAGATGATGCTCGAATTCGGTCTTTGAAACGGCGAATCGCCCGTCGCGGTGACAGAAGCACGACTCGGGGTCAAAGGCGAACTGGTCCCATTCCTGGAGCATCTTCGGATACTCCTTCAAGGTGGCATAGCTGTTAGGCCCGAGTCTGATAACATCGCCTGGGCAGCATTAATCGATTGAATATCACGGGAAAGGATGTTTGAAGGCGATGACTTACCGGCCTCGGAGATCGCCTCGCCTTTCTCAAGTATCTGAACCTCATGCCCCTTCCTCCAACACTCGACGGCTGCCTGCAAGCCTCCCAGGCCTGCACCAACAATGACGACATTGATTCCAGAGGGAGGATATCGCACGACCCCGTCCACGATTGAACCACAGTCGGGCATTTTATCAATGGAACTTACTTCAAAATAGAACTGGAAAGGTACAGAGATATTCGGTAAGGGACGTTTTCAAATCTTGAGCTTTATACTTTGCGAAGAATCAAGTCTATTCCGTTATAATACAGTGGGATGGTCTCGACGGACTTGCGTTACATCCCGACCCCGCGAATGACCCATGCATATACCAACCACTATGGACGGCATTTCCATGGGCTCTTTTGAGACGCAAGAGTATTTGTAGGTTGGCATTACGAGTCGTAGCGGAGCTCCATTGCAGTCACCTCCCGGTGGGATACGCTGTTGTCGCAGGCTTCTTCGCAGTTTTACAAAAGCCCGGGACTAGCTCCACTAGCCAGAATTATTTTTCCCAGACCTCTTATGCCCCAGGATTATTTGCCGTGTTTTCATTTCTCCAATTCTTCTATCTCCAGATATCTGTCTACAACAGCTTGGTGACACCTTTCAATCTCTCTGTATACTACACAAAAGTAAAGCTGAGTTCATGCTATTCATTCATTCTAACCAGCTCAAAACTAGCAATTTGCACGTAGACGGTAGGTTTCGAAATTTTCAGCATCGAAGGTGGATGTAAGTAGCCGGGGTTGGGCCTGCCGATGTCCTTCAGCACTTTGTCGGCGACCTCACACAGATCCCAAGCTCCTCGGAGAAGGGATGCAGGGTTTTTTTTCACCGGCTTCGCCGATATTTGGTATTCAAGTCAGCATAGCAGCTATGAGTAGGGAAAAATCCAGGCCTCAACTGGGACTATGAAAGAGCTCAATACGAACTATCTTAATTGACTAAGTACCCATAATAAAAACCGAAGGGGACTAAATCTATGACGTTCAGGTTTTCTACTTCTTAGAACGATCGTGCAAGACACGGAGTAGTAACAGATCCTTTAACTTTACTTCCAAGACTTGAGTATACCCACAGCACAGTCTCGATGAGCGGCAAACGAAACAAGCTATTAAGCAGATATCTTTCGTCTCTAGTGGCAGAATCCAATATCCCTTAAATAACAAACCCACTCAATGACTGCTGGTCCCTTTAATACAGGGGTCGCTTGTAGCGTTGATAGAATATCCGTCGTAGATGATGAGACTGCCACCCTGCGGAGTGAGATTTGCCTTCCCGGTGTCCGGGTTCTTCGCAACGGTGAAGTGTGATTGAAAGCTACACAGATGCAGAGTTTGTCAGTAGTCTGTATAAATAATTGAATGCGACCGGAGAGAGGACTCAGGACTTAAGTCAAACCCCCCACTTCCCGGCACCCCCCTGTTTCTGGCACCCACAAAAACGCGAAAATCCACCACAACGCAATGCCCACCCCCAACCTCCTTTTATCACAACATTTTCAATTCGAGTCCAAATGGGCTCATTTTTGCACATACCTTCTTCTATATCCTCAATATACCGAAGATCAGCTTCGTCAGGCTCTCGAGGACATCTCAAACGGCAAGAGTCAAAGAGCCTCATTGGAGTATGGGATACCACGATCAACCCTCCAACTACGTCTCCAAGGTGGTCAGACTAGGAAAGTGGCTTTTGCTGACTGGCAGAGGCTGTCTCCTGACCAGGAGAGTAGCTGGCACAATGGGTTCGCATTCAGGCTTCGCTGGGCCTCGCACCAACGCACCAACAGGTGAAGGAATTCGCAGAGCGAGTTCTGGCTGCTGCTGGGGATACCAAACCATTAGGAAAAGGCTGGATCTATGCCTTCGTGAGAAGGAACCCTATCATTAAGGTTCAGAGAAGTCGTTCCATCGATTCTAGACGCGTTAATGGGGCATCTACTGAGGTCATTAGGAACTGGTTTAAGTTCCTTGCTATCCCTGAGATCAAGGACATCAAACCAGCCAACAGATATAATATGGATGAGACTGGCATCCTCGAGGGAGGGAGCTAATGGGTTAGTGCTGGGCATGGCTGAGACGACGTCTGTTCGCAAGAAACAACCTGGGTCGAGGGCATGGGTCTCTATCATTGAGTGTATCTCAGCCTTGGGTAGGGCACTTCGTCCTCTTATCATTTTCAAGGAGAAGACGGTCCAACAACAGTGGTTTCCATTACATCTGGTTCCATACGATGGGTGGGAGTTTACAGCAACAGATAATGGCTGGACTACAGACTTAACTGCCATTGAATGGTTAGAGAAGGTGTTTATCCCACAGACTATGCCCGAGGCTGAGGGCGAGGCTCGACTGTTGATTGTGGATGGGCATGGGGTCATACGACGACAGACTTCATGTGGAATTGCTATATTAACAATATCCATTTACTGTTCTTACCACCACACTCCTCTCATGTCCTCCAGCCACTTGACCAGTCTGTCTTCAGCCCTGTTAAGTCAGCCTATCGGAAGGAGCTCGGTTACTTGTCTCAATGGAACGACTCTACCATTATAGGTAAAAGGAACTTCCTGGACTGTTACCAGAAGGCTCGACTTGCTGGTCTATCAGTCTCGAACATCAGAAGTGGTTGGAAGTGGACTGGTCTACACCCTGTAGCGATGGTTAAGCCCCTGATGAACCCTATGGTATTACCTGAGCCTTCTGCTAAGCCCACCACACCCAAACCAACCAGTCGGGGCAAAAAGCGATGCCATAATGGTCAACAAACTACCCTGTTGAGCCATGGGATTCTGCTTCCTCTGCAGTGGTCTGGTCGACACCCAGGAAGCTGGCAGAGCTCAGCGGTCAACTGCACTTATACACCCAACTCGACAATGATACCAGCACTCAACGGCTGCTGTTCAGGAAGGTGAAAAAAGGCTTCACAGAGCAGGCCTGGCAACTGGCAGCTGCCCAGCAGCAGCTGGCTCACCTGAGCTCAAGTTACCAACGCTGCAGTTAGGAAGAGGAAGACTGTTCAGATCGATCCCAACACGAAGTTTGCGAACATCAGGGATATCCATCGGGCTCAAATCGAAGCGGGTGAAAAGGAGGTTATTACGGCTGAATCCAGCGACTCTGAATGCCCTAGTGAGGCTGGCAGTTGTATTGTAGTGGGTGTGGTTGAGGATCAATAGTTAATAGTAATGAGGAGGTTGGGTTGTGATCCCATCGTTTTTGTGGGTGCCAGAAACAGGGGGGTGCCAGGAAGTGGGGGGTTTGACTTACTAAGTAGTTGCGCAGCTTGAGTCGATCGGGCGGCTTATCTCCGGAACCCCGGCAACCTCAAATGTCTTATCCGCTGGCGTTTCTGAAGATACGAAGGTTCGATTTGGGAAATGCTATGCGTAGAATGTCAGCCGACTTTCCATTCCACTGTCTGTAAGATGAAAATTCCGAGCAACCTACGTTCCATTGCACTGAGCCATCCGTGGGCAACATCGCTCCTCTGGCCCGCAGAATCTCTCTGTTGCCAATGTTCCTTGTTCCGAGAATGATCAAAGCACCGCCGGGCGCGAAGAAGTCGGTGGCGCGATCAGTTACGAAAGGGTCCTCAAAAGCGCCCAGAAGCCTGATTGGAATCAACGTTTCATCAGCACGTATGGATCGAAGAGACGCTTGGTCTGGCTTACTCTTTGTACCAAAGCCGGAATTCTGGCTCTACGCCACATGACGGCGCGTAGTCTCTCATGTCAATTGCGTAGGCCGCCTGCAGCACAATGCCAATGCTGTAAATGGTGTGAAACCGCATTCTGATGGAATATTGACAATCAATTTGATTCGGCAGAGAATTGAAATCGACAATGGATATAATTATGTTCTTATACTCACTCCAGCGGCATCAATGGTGATATTGAGGGAATGAAGTCTCATCGTTTCCTTGCAAAGCCAAGTAGATTGACTGCCTTGGCTCAATCTCTGTGTTTAAGTTTCGCTTTTCCACGGACGGCCTAGATGACGAGATTGAATTCTCCCTCTTTCTCTTTGTCCATCGTTTACTTTGCTCGAGTTGCTCCATGGAGATTTGTGTCAGACCGAAACCGACTACGTGCTCGGTGATGCGTGGTGAGGACGCCGGGTAAGTGGATGGAACTGAGACTAAGTTCAAACCATGAGACAGACCGCGCTAGATCGAATTAGGGAAACAATCAAGTCTTGGCAAGCGGGTCAGTGCTTCGAGCGGAAGCTCTTAATGTCCGCATAGTTCTGACGGAATTAGGTTGGACTTCCCGTCAACAACTTCTGATTTCCAGTTGTTTTCCTAATGAAGACATCGACCAAAAGTCCGTGCCGTCACTATACTCAGAGAGTCATGGCTAGTACTGGGAAAACTACACAAACCGGTAAATTCTTGCACGCGAGCATTGAACGATCACAAGCGTCATGAACATGCGAGTTGGGTGGCTGACATGGGGACAAGTAGCAAAGGGACTCGCTTTTGTCGTCACCACGGCAAGCGACTTGCCGACAGACAGACACCGAAAGCTCATAAGAAGCCATGTCATGAGGGGCAAGAATACTCGGAAGCGGACGCAACCAAGATTGCAAATGCGGCATATCTCCCCAGTCATCATGGGGCTTCCATCCACAACGAATGGCCTTGATGGCGGCCTCCAGGAAGATGAAGCCGGATACGAGCTGCTCAATGATGGCGACGTTACCGGCATACAACGGCCTCTGCCATCTCCTCCCCCAGCTAGCATCTTTGCTTTTGTTAGTTTCCCCGAAGAAATCGACGTTAGTGCTCGCAACCTCCTCTGTACTTGTGAGTCTCACGCAACTCATCCCAGTGCTATGTGCACTAACGCAATCCTCAGATTTCACCTATTTGAAAACCAATATGTACCCAATCGCCAAGTACTCTGCTTCCGATCCCACCGACATTTACTGGTTCCATTGGACCCAGCTCGATCTAGCCTATCTCCACGCCATCCTGTACACCACCTCGTTCTTCTTCGATGATCTGGCAGGGCGGAAGAGCGAAAGAACGAAATATCACTCATATCGAACTGTCAGCGAACTCAATAAACAGCTCAGCGACCCACAGACTGCCTTGACTGACTCCACAACGACGGTGGTCATGTTCATGCTCTTTATCACGGAGTGCTTTGGAGATATGGAGAGCGCCCACATGCATATGATGGGGCTAAAAAAAATCATCGATCTTCGTGGGGGCCTGAAGTCGTACGAAGAAAAGCCTCTCCTCCAGGAAAAGATCCGCCGGTAAGCATCCAGCGTTCCGTCCTGCCTTCCTTCTCCTTGAAACGGCAGCGAATTATATGTACTAACAATCCCGAATGAAGAGCGGATTTGATTTACAGCATGTGTACCGGATGTAAGCCAGTATACTGCCAAGGCATTTCATCTTCTGCTTGTAATTTTTCCAGTCAGGTCCGTGATTTTGAGCACTGGTCAATCGATCAGAGTTGCTTTCCCCGCTCGCGCGACCTGATTTATGGCCTTGACCGACAGCTGTACATCTGCGTGAAGAATGTCCAGATTCTTTCACAGATGATCAACACAAGTCACGAGACAGGTGAAAAACTGGCGGACATGACTTTGGAGAAGTTCTTAACATCTATCCAGTCACAACTACTCGTCCTTGACTTTTATGACGATGCTAGAAATCCGTTAGTGGAAGTTCTCAGACTTTCACTTCACGCCTACTTGACTACTGTTTTCTGGAGTTTTCCCGGCCTGAAAACTGAATATCCTCTTCTGGCCGTTCAGTTCCAAGAGGCTTGTCTGGCCTTTTCACCCACCACAGCCGAAGAAACCTTCTTGTTCGCCTGGGCCTTGATGGTAGGCGCCATCTCAATATTCCAAAATCGAGATCAAGAGTGGTTGTCAGAAATTCTCTACCCTCTAATACAGACCAGTCTTGGTACCTTGTGGCTTGAGGCGAAAGCCAGTCTGCGCCAAGTAATGTGGATAGAAAGTCTTCATGATAGCGGAGGAACGGAAGTTTTCAGGCGATATATTACCAGGAAGAATAGTAAGACAGCCATCTCACTAGGACGGGTTTGATGTGGTCTAGGCTATCAGTGTGCTACCATCGTTGTGAAAATTCATCATATGCCCCATAAAATGGGAGTCTCTCCCGTTTCTGATCATTGGTGCGTCGGAAAGGCTCACGTGCGGTCTTGTTTACTTTTACGATTCAGTTCGAAAATTGGATTGAAGAGCTTTTGATTCAGAAGTCTCCAGGCTGAAGCCTAAAGGTCGAGGAGATACGACTATTGAAGTAAATGTACCCCTAGCTTGCCACATTGTGAAACTTCTGGATTGGTCAAATCTTGCCGTGTCTCTTGATACATGTTTACACCTTCCTCAAAGATTGAGGTGTGTTTTGAAAAAGTCCGTCACATTAGCAACCGAGGGCGCAACGTACAGCTCCCGGTCATAGAAATCCATGTGGCGTCCACCAGGTACCAAAATCTTCACTGCGTTCGGATTGGAATCCTTGATCTTCTCGTAGATGTCATCAGTGCCCCAACGACTATCGGCGTCCTCCCCGGCAATCAAGATCGTTGGTTGAGAAAGAAATTGGTCTGCGAGGTGCCAAGAGTCGAAACGATAAATAAGAGGGACAGAAGCGGGGTGCATACGGTTCTCGGACGTGTTGTAAAAGCCGCGAGGTGTGCGGTAATAGTCCCATGCGTCGACCAGGTCAGGGGGTGTGTCGGCTTGGGGAGGGTCGGGAACGTATTGGAGGTAGGTAATGTTGCTACCCCCGGCGATGTCTTGAATGACTTCCGCCGCGGACTCGACCGTAGCGTAAGCATCCGAAGTGTTCAGAGTGTTTAGCCAGCCCTGGCGATTCGTGTCGCCAATGTTGACCAGGCTGATTGCGGCTACCGCCTTGATTCGGTGGTCAGTGGCTGCCGCGGCGATTCCGTACCCGCCGCCCGCGCAGATCCCGAGAACTGTGATCGCGTCAGGATCAACGTAGTCTAGGGTCTGTAGGTAGTCCACAACAGAGGATACATCCGAGACCCTAGAGCCTGGGTCTTCCAGGTAGTGCGGGCTCCCCTCGGATTGTCCTTGGTAGAGTGCGTCAAAGGCAACAGAGACGAATCCCTGTTGAGACATGCGCTGAGCATAAAGGTTGGCAGTCTGTTCCTTAACGCCCCCGCCAGGGTGAACAACGACGAGACCTGGAGCCAAAGATGAAGCGTTCTCCGGGCGGTGGAGCAGGCCAGCTAACTGGAGGCTGCCTTTGGCGATGCTGATCAGAGACATGATTGAGGTTGTGTAGGTGCAGTGTATGATTTGAGTAATGGAAGGGATCTTTTAGAGCTGCTATGTCTTGAGTGATCCAAAGTCCATCTGAGGTTCAGCTTGTCGTCAGTCTTAAGTACTTTTTCTCGCAGATTGGCCAAGACCAATGCTCACGCAGTCTAGGTGGCTGAGATACTACTGTGTTGCCGCCAAAATAACAACATACGTCGCCTATACTGTTGTCGCCATAGATGAGCATGTTGCCAAGAATGCAGTTCGGATCTTGGCTTTGATGATGGATTAGGAAGTTGACTTTGCCAGGCCCATAGCTTTCGAAAGGGGGCTTAGCGTCCGGTCGAGAGAGTTATCAGAATTCCGGACCTCCACATGACATGACGACACAAGGCGAAACATCGGCATTGTCCTCGCATGATAACTTTGTGAGGTTAACACTCTTTGTCTGTAATGCACCTTACTTCCGATATGTCCGCAATCTCTTCTCAAAGTCCGCTGACTGGACGAAGTCTACCTTGTTGAGCAAAGGCCGCACGCTCTCTTGATTTCAAATCCCTTAGGCCCAGCTCATCTTATAATATCCCACAACTGCCAGTCCCTTCGTTGAATCGTGTCTTCACATTCATACGCAGGCCTGACAGCACAGTATTCATACACAATAACCGATTCACCATGGCTCCTCTTGTTTGGCTCATTACAGGAAGCACCTCAGGCTTTGGCGCCGAGTTCGTCAAGGCACTCCTCGCCAAAGGAGACAAGGTCATCGCTACAGCTCGCGACACTTCCAAGATAGCCCACTTTCGTGAAGCTGGCGCGGCTGTGCTTAAACTGGACCTCCTTGCCAACCAAGCCGAGTTCGACAAGCTAGCTCAGGACAGCCTTAGCATCTATGGTGGTGTTGATGTGCTAGTTAATAACGCAGGCTACTCCCACTTTGGAACTATCGAGGACGACAGGTTAGTTTCTTTCACTTGATCCATTTCTTCGCCCTTCTTATTGAAAATACATGCACTTAACTCTTGCAATGTCAGCCAGGAAGACTGGAACAAAGTCTTTCAGACTCACCTATTTGGACCACTTGGTGTCACTCGAGCATTCTTACCTCATTTCCGAGCACGCAAATCTGGGACGTTTGTCTTCATAGGTTCGACCGCCGCCTGGGGAGGTATTCCTACCCTAGGGGCGTATTGCGCTTCTAAGAGCGCCCTGAGAGGTATTTCCTCGGGTCCTCGAAAGAAAGAATTGGGCTGAGAAGACTTTTTGACTAATAACTCCTGGAACCAGGTGCTGTCGAGACCCTTAATCTTGAGGTTGCACCATTGGGGCTCAAGACGCTTCTTGTAGAGCCAGGTTTCTCCCGCACCGAGCTGCTCAACGCCCATAACACTGTCTACGTTGACACGAAGATTCCGGACTACAAACCTATTGTTGATCCGCTCTATGCCCAGTTTAAAGGAGCTCATCAGCAGCAACCTGGAGATCCCGCCAAGGGAGTTGCTCGCATCATTGATGTGGTCGAATCCAGAGGAAGTGCCCAGGGACGACCCTTGCCTATCAGCCTGGCCCTTGGGCCGGACGCGGTTTCTCAACTGACGAAAAAGTGTGCTGACACAATTCAACTTGTGGATGACTGGAATGAGATTTCTTCGGGTACTTTACTATAGATCTGCGCATGGGTGGGAATAGGGGCATTCGCATGAAGGGTCAAGACGCATTCTGAGATTTGTGATATACCTAAGTCAGCTCAGTAATCTAAGGTACCTTGGAAACAAACCAGATGCAATCCTGCGCAACGCACGTGTCGTTATTGCTAGGGAGGCTCTATGATAGAGGAGAACAGGAGGCACCCGGCAACCCCGGTCAGGGAAGGAGAGCCGAAATCTGTGAGCGTTTTGCACGTTTTGGATAGCACCCATTTTGTGAAGACCAATCCATAACAGATCTTATTTAGAGTTGGTAGCGAACCAATTGCCTAATCATCATCGTCGTCGTCATCATCACCACCCTTTCCACCCCCTTTCTTCTTATCGTCATCTCCACCCTCCCCCTCTCGGAACGCATTGGGGGTCACCGCAACGGCTCTACTTGAGCCAGCAACGGGCTGCCCAGCGGTGGCAGCTACAGCATCAAACTGTGCAGACTTTGCGTTGCCTAGCCGCGCAGTAAATGGACCGAATCCTCTCTCGTGGAATCCCAAAGTTGCCCCAGGGTTTCCGGGGTTTCTTACGGCCTTCTCTGACAGAGCCCATCCCATAACGGCGTTGGCACTCGTGGCCTCCGGGCCGAGTCCCAAAGTCGCATCTAGGCAGTTTTCGCAGAGAAAAGTATAGGTCAGAGACGTTGCGTTAACGGAGACGCCCTCGGCAATCGGCCGGACGGCGAAGTTGCCCTTGACTTCGGGTGGGTTGTCCTCGTTGGTTCCTTGGCGGAATGTAGCCATGACACCACCATTGCCATCCGGCCATGCCGCCAAGAAGAAGTTTCCTTCCATGTCGCCAGTCAAGCCCATCGCGCCCCATCCAGCACCGTTGACGAGCGGGAATGACAATTGGCCGATGAAAGATGATGAAGTCGTTTCTGGCAGAGCCATCGCAAAGGCGAACGAGGTACGGGCTCCGAAGAAGCGCTCCATAGCCAGGCCTGTGGCCTGGTCTACGAAGGGTGCGCTTTGCTGAGCTGGTGAAGAGGTGGGATCTTCAGCCTTGATAAGTATGGCGATGGAACAGAAGAGAAGGATCGAATAGAAGAAGGCAGGGCTAAATAGCCTCAGTGGCAGGAGAGATTCGAACGTCATAATGGTATCGTGGAAATAGGCTTTGTATCGAATTGAATGATTATGATATGCCGGCGAACCAGCGCACGACCGAATTTGATAGATAAACTCAAAAGGGAAGACGCGTTGGAGGCTGAAGACTTTCTACTCGAAACTAACTTTGAGAGAGCTTTCGCACTACCTTATATATCTAAGTCGTCCGTAGTCCACCATCTAAACCTTAGCCAAGACGCCATTGTGTTGTGACAGCTCCGTCTCATTGAGGCATATGGGAGGAGTTGGTGAGGCCATGTTTGAGCCAAGATTAGCACCTGTCCAAACTTCCATCACCTAATGGACAACCATCGGACGCATCGTGGTTGACCTCTCAAGAGGCTGATTTTAGCAATCAGACCCGGGCTATTCTATTAATACGACGAGGTTGGTTGGCAGGATTTAGCGACACACTACAAGTCAAGGTGTCTGACAGGCAAGCCGTTTCGGGTTGTCTGGGGTAAGGCCTGGTCGCGCATCATCCGTGATGTGCAGCCAATGAAACCGGTATGGAGACCCATATTTTGACCGTTTCATGGACGCAAGGCGGGAATAGTCTCACGACAAGAGAAATCCGATCTTCTCCCTATTTCTTGCCTGTAGCACTCCGTAGCTTATAGCTGAATCTATTTCGAGAGAGAACTTCGCAGTTCGGTAGAGAGCCAAACAGACTTTAGGAGTGATCCTGCAAGTGGGAACGGCTATGACGGCGCAGACAAACTTGGCAGCGCAACAAGTGAGAGGTGATGAGCCGTGCGATGACTTGCTGGGCTCACGCACGAAATATAAGGAGTTTTACCGTCGTATCGGGTTACACGGTCAACTTGGGACTGCAACTTTTTACCGGACGATATGGGTTATTACCCCGCCAAGATCGCCTGTTGGATAGCTTTCCGCTCAGCTGTCCGAAAGGGACATCATTTCATGCCAAGTATTTGGCATCAGGTCAACTTATCTTCCTGATGAACCCGGCGGTACGGTCTGATGTGACGAAAGTAAGACCACCGCGAAGTCTAATCGGCGTTGGGCTTGGCAGGATATCAACCACTATCGCATGCAAGTATTGTTCGCAAGATGTAGCGACAGCAAGCCTTGGCCCTTCACGCCATGCCAGGCCTTGGCAAACAGGAGTTCTTCAATGTCTGAACGTGATCTCAGATCTGCACTGGGTATCTCAATCAGACAGCCCCAGTCAATGAGAGACCGAGGCGCTCGCCTGGTATTGAGTAAACGTAAGAATAAGGTTAAAAATAGCAAGAACAAGCGGAGTTGCCCACAGCTCACAAAGACTACAGCGCTGTTCCTGATTACATCAACTTTCCGAAGCTCATGCCAGGATGCATTTAGAATAAGAACGGACGACAGCCAGCTACCGGAAATGACATGGGTTCAGGCGTTTAAAAGATTTCAGACCCCAAATGCTCCATGCAGCCCCGCCGGCTGGACTTCCCCTCTCCAAAAATTTGGGTGACCCCGTTCGTCTGATCGGCTCAGGGTCAGGGGCAGTCTCGACCTCGTGTCATCTTGCACAATTTTTCTGGTACCGCCAGCGAGTGCAGAGTTTCCGAGGATCCTGATAACCTTGGCGCCGGACAGTCGGCAAGTTCGCATTCGCCAACGGTTCGAGATGCTCTACTTGGCGAGGAGAACAGCGGTTACCTCTCGCGTCTAGGAAGCAAGCACGCGAGTTTGCTTCTAACATGAGATCACGGACTTCGACCCCGAAGCTGTGGGGGGCCTGAGGTTGGTAGAGACATAGTTTGAAGAAGACTTTAGAAGATTTCAAGCACAACGCTCAAGTGCAATAGGATGTAAGGCAACAACACGTTAAGAAACGCCTGCTCAGGGCAAATTTCTTCTCAGCACCTCGCAACTTATGAGCTAGTGACATCTCATCCAATATCCACACCTGACGCGGGCAACTCCTCAGGCATGTACCTTCGCCACGTCCCACCTGGGATCATGAAGGACAGCAAGCCGGTTTCCACCATCCCCGCCTCAAAGCGGGTTCAACTACACTCCGGCGTTGTGGCAGAGTGGTCTAATGCGCAAGACTAGAAATCTTGTTCCTTCGGGAGCGTCTGTTCGAATCAGGCCAACGTCGATAACTTTTGTTTTTGGCAACGATATCTGGTGATTAATGTTGTCAGGTCTGAGTTGCCAGGTTTTGCCAGACTTTGCGCGTCTGAGCATCAGATTCTGTGCATTGGGGTTCCCGGAAAAGCGGAGTCTCCAATTTTTGCCTTTTGTGTCTTTTTGCGACCCTGTCAGATAAAAAAACGCCACTTATGTCAGCCCCTCATCCCCTCGACTTACAACATCGCCGTCCACCGCTTGTGCGCACCCAACTCAATCCACCCATGTCACAATGTTGACGGTTGGGGTGCATCAATGTTGTTCATAAGAGGACGTCTTGCCGAAAGCCTACACCCGAAACAATGCACACTTAGGTACCTACTGAAATTTGCTCACGATTCAGATCCGTCAGACGGCAGGAATCCCGTTCAACCGAGAAACCTTTACCACATATGGCGGGCTCACTCGATATTCGACGACACCATCACAATGCCAACACATAGGACATCAGTTCACTTTGAATAGTCATTTAGTGGAATTTCAGAGTCGATTGATGATACCCAGGAGCCATGAAAGATCGAATGGTAGTCCTTGTATACCAGCAAATTACTATCTAGGTAGTGGCTTGACAGGCAACGATTCTGACGTTCCATTCTCACAGCCTGCTTGACCCCAACCTGCCAATCTCGCAAAAACCCGCAAGCGATGCTTAGAACCCAGGAATGCCAAGCCGCCAACTCAAAAGCAACCTCAAGCCACAACACAACTTACACAAGGGTCCAACTGCGACTCTGGGACTAGCGAACGCCTCTCTTGAGGATCCCCTCAACTCCATTCGTCACAGTCGTCAAATTTGACTCAGCCGCACCGCGCCAGTCGCCGTTAGGGCGTGAAAGATCTGACAGGACCTTACTTCGCTGGCCAAAAAACTGTGCCGCTTGAAATGTTTGTACTATGTAGTACTGTGCATGTACGATCGCACCCTTGAATGCGTTGTTAATATGCCTCTTACCAGTCATGTAGTTCTGAGCGGGGCATCTCGTGCCCGAGTCAGAGTAAGCAGTCGATACGTGTTGACGATCTGGACCTTGAATCGGCATTAGCTTCAGAGCTTCACTTCGCTTACTCGCAGGAGCTAATAAGCTAGGGAAGCTAGAGAAACAAGGTTAAACGAGCTGAGCTTCGCTAGCCCAGGCTGACAGGAATGCGGGGACGGGGTCGACAGGCGGAGGCGGACTCGGACTCGGAGTCATGCCTTGAGGTGGCAGGTGATGTCAGTCGAGCGAATAGCTTTGACTGAATTCAGGCAGGATTGATGATCTGAGGCTGTAGAGGATACCGGCAATCTTCACGGCCAGCGATTGACTCATGGTCACTCCTCTGATAGCTGCCCAACTGTATCGAGTCTTCTGGTGCCCCTCGACATCGCCCTCCTCTCGGGGCACCTTCTACTCACCCGTGGTCTTTAACGTCTAAAGTCGACTATCTTAACACGAGACGCCACACATGATCCTCTAATCAAACCATGTGGAAAAGAAACATCTTTAAGAGGACAGCATGCGTGAATATCATTAAACCCTGCATGTCTAGCTCATCCTCACAAGGCTCACCCGCACTTTCTAATCAGCCCACCCCCTTTTACCCACCAGTATCCCAGACCTCTATCCGTCCCCGCCCAAAGGGTCGGTAAACACCCGAGTTCTTGTACAGAGTACAACGAACCCGCCTTGCCAAGAGACAATCGCCTTGTCAATCAAGGGATTAAAGGACTTGGCAAACAAGGTAAACGCCTCGCCGTATTGTCCATCCCGCCTGCTGTCCGTCGGTCCGTGTGACTTGACCGCAAGCAAGCACCCAAGAAATAGAGATGGACGTCGGGTAAGCCTCAACAAGGGAGCTAGCGAGCGATGAGCAAGGTCCGGGGTTGGAAGCTTGAATTCAGCTCTAAATCCTCGGGAAATGGTAAGGATATGCCTCAGCCTGATCAACGGCTTTGTGTGAGTGGCTATTCTTGAGCACCGACTCGGTAGAAAGCCGCGGAGATGCCAAGGTAACGTCCGTCTTCCAATGCCAGTCTTTCTTCTTGAACTTGGGGCTGGCCAAGAACTACATATACCAGAACACAAGTCTCTAGAGTTGTCCAACAACTTCGTGTTTCCCGCCCCCCCTCAGAGCCTTTGAGCTTCAGGCGAACCTACCCAGACACATTGTCCCCTTTCAAGACCGAGTTCTCAAAGAGCATACACCCACAAACATCCAACCATGCTCCCCAAACCGCTCCTCCTATCCCTTTCAACCCTCATCCTCCCCCTCCTCATTCGTGCCGACGAGCCCCAAAACTACGACGGCTCAACATCCCTCTCGACCCCAGCCTACCTCTTCCCCGGCACCGGCTCCACAATCCCGATCCTCAATCTCGGCGCCGCGGCCGTAGCCTCATGCGACATTGGCCAAAAGTCCTGCGACAACGGGTGCATTCCCGTCACTGGAACATGCTGCGGCACGGGCTCAGGCGGATATTGCGAAATAGGCAAATACTGCACGTCAGGCGGGTGCTGCCAGAACGGCAAGACGTGCTCTGGTCCGCCTCAGGGGTGTAGTTCGGGAAAGGTGCTCTGCAACGGGCTTTGTATCCCCTCTGGCACGGTATGTTGTTCCAACGGAGGGTACTGCGATGCCGGGAAGACCTGTACTTCTGATGGGTACTGTACCGGCGGCAGCGGAGGCGGAGGAGGAAGTTCGTGTGGGAATGGGCAGACGCAGTGCGGGAGCGGGTGTATGCCCTCAGGACAGACGTGTTGTCAGACGTACTACTGTCCTTCCGGGGAGACGTGCGCGGGTGACAAGAAGTGTAATAAGGGAGGCGGCGGTGGCGGTGGAGGCACTTCTTGCGGAGCTGGGGAGACGCTTTGCGGCACTGGATGTATGCCTACAGGGCAGACTTGCTGCCAGACGTATTACTGCCCTGCTGGGAACACTTGTGTGGGCGATAAACGGTGTAACAGCGGAGGAGGCGGTGGTGGAGGAAGCCAGTGTTCGGCGGGGGAGACCCCTTGCGGTACAGGATGTATGCCGGCCGGTCAAGTCTGCTGCAATACCTACTACTGCGATGCCGGAGAGACGTGTGCGGGAAACAAGAAGTGCAACAAGGGTAGCAGTGGCGGCGGCGGTGGGGGAGGAGGAGGAGGTAGTCAGTGTGCGGCCGGCCAGACAGCCTGCGGCACCGGATGTATGCCAGCCGGTCAAGTCTGCTGCGATACATACTTCTGCAATGCCGGCCTGACTTGTGTCGGGGACAAGAAGTGTAGGAACCCCAACAGTGGAGGCGGCGGCGGCGGCGGCGGAGGTGGTGGTGATGATACAAGCGCGACATCCAGTCTACTCGCGACGATACCTGGTGGTGAAGCGGGGACTACGTCTCTGAGAGACTTCCCACAGCCTACGCAGACACTTGGTGGCGGCGATGATGAGCCGACAACTTCGTCGTCGTCAAGATCTTCGACGTCGACAACAAGAACAACGACGACGACGACTAGCACAGCGCCGACGTCAACATCGGTCCAAGGTGCCGCGTTTTTGGGAAAGAATCTCGACGGCTCCGTCTTGGTTGCAGGCCTCCTCGTTGCAGCGCCCCTGGTAATCTGAAGATGATCAGAAATGGTATATATTCGAATGGTGAATGAGCAAAAGAGCAACACAAGCGTGATTGAACATCATAGGGATCAGTCTATAATTTGAATAATATTCCCCTAATCATGTATCGCTCCCATACGCCTAGAAAATCCCGGTAAACGCCAAACTTTTTCGAGCCCATGTTGATGCTAGAAACGTCCAGGCGCCATGTGTAGTGCTACCCAAGCAATGCTGCCTACGCCCGCAAATGTGTCATAATAGTCCTACAGATACCTGGGCCTCATCCACTCAAGATTACGAATGCTCAGGTTGAGCCCGTTGCTGGCCCACCACTTCCGCACTGGCTCTTGATCACCGATACTGTCCTCCAAGGCCTCTTCGATATCGCAGGTTCGGTATTCGACACGGTGTTTCCGCCCTTCCATTCCTTCAAGCTCGCCATACGCGAACTTGCGCCACCACTCCAGAACCCCAATGTGCTGATGGATTGTGGGTTGAACGAGGACCTCGCCATCGAAAGCGAGCTTGTCGTCACCCTTTAGCTTCCTCCAAAGTTCGAGAACGCCGACCTGACCCCATCGTGAAGCAATCTTTGCTACGCCGTCTCCATTGGCAACAGGAATGCCAGAGGCCACCCACCAACGTATGACGTCAACCTGGCCGTGCTGGGCGGCCCACAACAGCGACTTTCCAGGTCTAAGCACAATATTCTCGTCCTGGGCAGCGGCATCACGCCACCATTCGAGCACGAGAAGATGACCTTTTCCACTGGCCTGCTCGAGAGCAGCCTCGGTAAAGCGGAGCGGTAAGCCGGAGCGCCGCCACCACCAGTCCAGGCTCTGTATATGGCCGTTTTTGGACGCACCATCAAGGACTTCAGCATCGTAGCACTGTTGGTGGCGACCACGGAAATATCGGCTCTCCTTCCAGTAATCAAGGACGTCAGGGCGTCCAAAGTATGCGGAAGCCTTGGTCGCGAGGACCTTGCCGTCGAAAGCCTGGAAGAGATCAGGGCGGTTGGCTTCCATCCAGGTAAGCACTTCGATCAGCGAGAAGCGGATAAGAAGCTTAATGACGAGCGCTGGGAGTTCGTGGAAGGTAGGCGGCGACTGAAGCAGCTTTTTGCAAATAGAGGTGGAGTCGCAAGTAAGTACGAGCCACTCCAATTCGTGCTCGTAGACCTTGACCGGATCGTTGGGATTCCTGGGTTGTAGTTTCCAAGGATATGGCATGGGCAGGTTGGTGAAAATCCCTAACGCCTGCGCCAACTCCCAGTCGTCGGCAAAGTCGAGAATAATAGTCCAGATCTCCGGAGGCAAATTGGAGTATACTCGCGGATCACCCGAAGCGAGGTAACCGAGATGGGTGACGACGTCTACATCCCGATCCAGGCCAAGCAAGTCGGCTTGGTTCTTGATGATGCCCAACACGTCGTTGAAGCCGTTCCAATTGACGATTCGCTTCGGGTGTTTGTGGGCGCTGTCGTAGTGCCACAGTATAGGTGGCATAGCTCGTACCCAAGGCCACTTGCTATTGATCTTGTTCAACTGCCTTTTCGTGACCGGGTTCTCCCACATGTGCGTGCTCATCCCAGGGACGAGAAGCACCTTTTTCGCTGTGTCCCAGCCGCGAAGCACCTCGAGGAGGAAAGTATCCGCGATTCCCACCATCATCTTGGCAATGTTGTCGGCATCGATCGGGGCGAGAACCAGGAGATCAGCCCACTCGACCAGCTCGAAAGCCTGCTGGCGGTAAAACTCGATATCGTCAACGTCTGCTTCGGAGCCGGCACGCGACGGACCGAGCGGTAGTGTCATGGATCGGTTCTGCATAGTGATGACAGTCTGGCTTAAGCGGGGCACGGCGTCGTCGACGATGGCGCGCATCTCAATGGCCGAACTCTTGGAGAGACGGACGACGAGAGCCTGTGCCCATGATATGTCTCGGGGCCCATTAGCGGCCACTAGAAGGTGAAGCTTTCGGTCGCGCGGCTTGAAATGAAGTGACGAGGAGGAGGAGGCGCTCCTCGTTATTCGGAGCGGCAAGGGGTCGGGGGGATCCATCGTGTCATGCTTTGGGGGTGCTTGGGATGATTCGTGGTGATCGAGGAGGTGTCGTCGGCCGTCAGGTTATTGGATTCGAGCCGATAGACGGCAGCTAAGAATCGAGAGGCAACGAACGCAGTGGTAGATATCGAGTGTCGTGTCTCACCACTCTCTGGCGTGGCAGTGATCGGAGGTGGGTGTCGAGATGATAAGGACAAAAGATGGACTCTGGGCGCGTGTCGAGTTGGCAAGGAGTAGGTAGTTGTCGCGAGTCGGTGAAGAGGGTCAAAAGTTGTTGATCGGCAGTCGTAGATAGCAGGGCTGCTGTCAAATTTCGGAGACAGGAGTGGTCTAGTGGGTTTGTGATTTATCGGCGGTTGGTGGTGTGTTGTCCGCGACAGCGTTTGCGGTGTGTGCAACGTCGCGTTGGGTAGGTCTGCAGTAGTGGTGGTCCAGCAATTATCCGGGGTCCGTACGGCCACACAGGAAGTGATGAAGCAGGCAAGGCGGGATGCGTGTGTAGCGTGTGCAGGTAGGTATCCGATCCGCAGAGTAGCGAGTGATAGCGTGAAGTCGCTCGCAAGTCAGATCAGCGAATAATAGTTTGAAGTCTTAGAGAGAGAGTCGTGGGTAGCAGGCTGGAAGAATTGGACATGGATAGGTCGCAATATGTGGCATCACCATGACATGGGTGCGAATTCCTTAATTCCACTCTCGGGACGAGGTGCATGCGGTGACCGACCGACCGAGTGACGAGGGGAAGAGGGGGGAACGCAGTTGGGTGGTCCTCGCTTCGTCGGTGACCGGGAACAAGCTGGGCTTGTCTGTCGATGGTGTTGGTATCGCTCGGTGTCGCTGGTCTCTGATTTCGATCTAGGCTACGATGATTCGTCGGGAGATGAGGCAGCGAAGCGAACTGAATGCGAGAAGAAAAAAAAAGTCCGGGCTTGTTCCTTGGGACGACGAGAATGCGAGCAGCGGCGGCGGCAGGCGAGAAGAGACGCTGAGACGCAGAGACGCAGATGGGGGTTTTCGGGAAGACCAGGACGAAGGAGTGGGGACTTCCTGCAGGGCAGAATGGAAGGGGGGCAGAAGGAGGAAAAACAAGGGGTTGTCGACAGGGAAGAGTCGAGTATCCGCAAATGCGGATTGAGGAGGGAGAAGGAATCTTCCTTTGCTAGAGATGGAAGCAGTGCACGTCCACATTCACAACTACGACTCCAAGAGCCCCAAGAAAAAAACGCCGGGAGAAAAATGAGGAGAGACCCAGACGGTGACGGTGACATTTGTGGAGACCTTCCGGGCGGAAAGTCTGCCATTCTTTCTTTCCAAATTCTTCCATCTGTCATTTGTGAGACCAGCACCTCTCTTGCCTCTTGCCTCCAGTGACACCTAAGGTGCGACGAGGAGGCGTCGGTGAGCAGCAATTACCTAATCTGCCCCGCCTTTTCTGTGCTTATCCCACACTCCTTCCTTACCAACTGGCAACCACAGCATGGGCAGTCACTTTTTTTCGCAGGAGCCGGACTGAGCCTCTGAGGTGCGCCTTCCTCAGCAAACTCCCCCGCCTCTACGTCACTGGCGCTCCTGCCTCCTGAGACAGTTTGACCAGTGACGGCAGGTCCAGAAATGTAAGCGACCCTTCCTTCCCTCCCAAAGGAAATTCTCCGCGGGTCGTTGTCATTGCCGAATTGACTCTTAGTCTCGGACCGTTACCTCCTTGGTATTCCAGGCCACCAAGACAGCTTTCATTCTGAGACTCATTCGCATTCTCACCTCATCGCTCATCATTTCCACACACGACACTTCAGTTCATCACATCGCCGCTTCAAGTAACTCATGAATCACCAGTCATCTCAACCTCCCCGATCGACTGCTGTCAGCCTGCCAAACCCAGCCATCGGACCGGCACATCCTGGCTGCCACAAGGCAAAATCCAAGGCGTCACGGTGAATTTCGAGCAAAGACCCCCTTTTTTGCATCTCTGACTTCCATTTGCTAAGTTTAGCGCAATCCGGCTTTGCCCCGCAGGGTCCTCCGTGTCATCGGTGCCGGATCCCCACCCAAACGGCGATTAAGTGTGGATTTCGTCCCGACTTTTCATTCTTCACTTAGGAGCCCCTCCAAGCGAGACCCCGGTCGACACCCCCGGACCGGAGAGAATTTCTATTGATCCATCAGGAATAAAGAGTGCTGACATAACTCAACAAGTCGCATTAGCTTGAGCCGCGACCTACATCTTTGCATTCCCTACGGAGTAACAGGGACTTTTGTTGTCGGATCCTCCCGAGAATGCGACATGCATGCTCTAGTGCTTTATCTCCTCCTGACAGTGAGTGCTGCTCCTGATATGTTTGAAGAACTCGTATCCCGTTGAGCGATCTCTGCTCCTCAGTGCGATAATGGATGAGCCTCTCTTGGGTAAAAGTGGCGGCGCGTACGGTGTTGGTCCACCTGAGAGACGCTTTAATTCTATGCGCCGCCAATGCCTCACTGAAGAATATTGCCTCTCCCTACTAATGTGGCAGTTCGCGGCTTCATCGGAGTACTGGTCCATATCTCTGATTCGCTCATCGGTAGAGTTAAGCTTCTCCAATACACCCACAAGCTAATGAACTCTATTCTTGGCACACACCTCAACCTCGTTCTCGGTCAACTACCACAGGCCAACCATGTTATACGTATCAGCCTTATGAATTAAAGTGCTCATTCGCTACAGCTTCTACCGACGAAACCAGATATGATATGACTTGGAGGTTGCCAAGCGCGTCAGAACGGCTGTTATCAAAACTGGTAAGGAGAGCTACCGGATATAATTCCCTCATCCGGCTCCACCTGGCATATGAGATGAAGTTGAGAGCACTGTTGACCATCATGGTTGGATCATCATCGTTCATAAGTAGCTATGAGGGCCATTGGACTTTTTCCACTTCCACGCACGACTAGTGGGGGTCGCATCACAGAGCACAATAGATGTGGATATTCCAGGCATCCGTACGGCACCGCCTCCATGCTTTGCCAACAAGTTCCACTTTGCGGACTCATAAATCACCGGCAACAACTGATGGAATCTCAATTCGTAACTACATACGATGGTTAAGAGACTATAAAACAGCGGCTATAGTGTGTGAATGACATCTCCCAGGTTTTCTTAGAATACGCTGGTTGGGAACTTTCATCCATCCCTTACACTTCCACATGGAGTATTTCTGCCCACAAGTTTGAATTCGAAAATAAAAATGCTGCCCAATTTCTCGTTCTTGGTTGTGGCCATGACCTGTGCCATCACTGCCGCCAGTGCTACCTCTGCCGTCCCCTTCACCTGGCCCCCTCCGCAAGGATCCATGTCCGATTTCGAGTACAACTTACGCTACGGGTGCGATTTCATGACATGGTGCGGAGGCTTCGATGGCGGATGCGAAGCCGAGGTATTCGCAACCCACAATGCCATATAGAGTTGCTGAGCACTTACTGATATGTCTGGGTGATATTAGTGCCAGCGTCAAGGGAAACAAGGCTGGACTTGCACGAGTCCCAATTGCGAGTGTCTTTGCGAGTAGAGCTATTTGCTATTTAAGAGGCCCATGCACATTGCATATGTGGTACCGCCCATTGGCTAGATGCCACTCAGTTCCCATTACAAACCCCAGTTGAGATTGAACGCTTGAGTAGTGTGATAGTAATCACCAGATCAATCTAGATAGCACTGGACAGATAGCTACACAAAACATCAATGCAACATCTTTGGGAGTCGAAGAAGGCTCCGCAAAACAATACAAAATGACCGCGGACTTCCTCTAACCAGCCAAAGACCTGGGTTACACTGGGCTACGAAAGCAGCGTCCATTATTGGGATCAGCTCTGTGAGATTTCCTGTCAGCTTAATGCTTGATCCAAGTTTTATAGCAAGTATGAAAACTTACATGTACTGCCAATTGCCGTACGCCGTTTTCCCCCCTTGGGCACACTTTGCTTCCTTTGAAAACCCACCCACGCATTCAGGTCCATGGATAGTACGAGTTGCACCACCACCAAAATACTGCAAAGCGTCAGAGACAACTAGCAATGGCTGCGAAATTCAAAGTTGATACCTTCAGCTCAAAGTCCCACTTGATGCCATTTTTGTCATGCACGCAAATCCGTCGGAACTCGCCCTTGTTGTAGAGGCCTGTGAGCAAGCTGCAGACGGCGCTGAGATCGAGAACGTTGTTGTCATTGGCGTAACCTGTTCGTGGTCCTGATTTGAAACATTCCCCAAGAACCGAGGAGGATCCAGCGAGAAGAGTTAGAGGGAAAATGTGAGTGAGACGCATTTTGCTAAAGTAAGGACTGGAGAAAGTGACTGTTTCGTTTCGGGACTCGTGGGTGAATGAGTCTTTGGAGAAACAACCTTTTCTACGACAAGCACACTAAGTACTTATAATGAAGCGCTGGATATCTAGGAGAATGATCCGCTGGATATCTAGGAGAATGATCCTATGAGCATGGCGAGCTGCCATGGAAGCGAAGAGCAGTGTCCATCTCATCAATTGGAAACGAACAATGATGACCCTCGTGTTCAACTGTTCATTGCCTAGGTGTCGATCCTTCGTATCGGGAATTGGATTGACCGCCATTCAATTCTCGCTATGAAGCAGGTAGCAAACGCAAACTTTACTGATCCGTCGAATGCCCAAGCCTGGAACTGGTGTACAGATTGCTCAGTAACACAACAACACATGATCCCCTTTGCTTATGTTCGCGCTGTTTGTATTATGAACCATTGTTCCCATCGCATTAACCCTACACGTACCCTTACCTCGTTGTATTACCTCTCTGAAAGGCAGCATCTCATCACATGAGTGTGGGATTCTGCCTTGTGTTACATTTGCAATGTTGTCGTTTTGTGGCGTTTCCAGATCGCTTGGCAGATGTTGCACCATACCTTCCAGACAACGGGTTGCGAAAGCAAACAACGTATCGACAGACTCTGAAGCTTAAGCACCAAGTTGTGATCTTGGGATGCCAATGTTGAGAAAAGGTCCTGTTTAGCAGCGAAGCAAGCCCTGGCCGCGTCCTCAAACTTTGATCAATGTTTGCTTTTCTGGTGATCTTGACTCCGATCGAGGCCGTATTTTGTTCGGTGTCACCGTTGCTATCTCAATACCTAGAAGCGACACATGTTGCCGCAAGGTAGATCACTACCTAAAATGTAGATAGGACTCTCGTCCAGTATTTAACCTTGCTCAGTTCCCTCATAGTCCCGCATAGTAAAACATCGGCCACGCTCCTATTCCAGCCAACGTTGTATTCGGCTTTTGATCACCATTTCAATCATCCTCAAAGAACTTGGCTACTCCGTCAAAAATGAGGGCATTGTCACTTTCTCACCTCCTCGTACTCGCTCCCTGGGCCGCCTTTTCTTCTTGTGCTGTTCTGGTAAGGAACGCTGGCGAGATCGACGACACCTTCAGAGGTGTTTCACAGCTGATGACAAGTCATCTTGAGAAACGCTCAGTTCTTGTCGAGGATGGCCTGGAATATGATGGAGCCGAGGTAAATGATGGGTAGTCCCTGCAAGGTAAGATCAGATCAAATATCGAGCCCAAGCTACTCAAGTAACTGACACTTCACGGAAAAGCGTTGTGCATCAAATTCAGAAAGACTCTGTCACAGAAGATCTGGCTTCACGAAACGACGACGATGATGAGTTTGCCCCGACGGAAACAAACCTCTATGCTCTTTGTATGGAGCTTTGTAGGCAGGATTATTCTCAGGGCGGTTTTGTCCATTGGGATTTGTAAGTTTTAATGTCTTTCTGACTCGGCTCGGGTCATGATGCACGTCACCAAACGTTAACTTGAATCAAAATAGCTGTATCACAAGGTGCAACATGAGCTTTCATCAGGACAGAAGTCATGATCTGAACATGAACTATATACGACGATATGGGATTGCTAGATTCGCATCTCTGGCCGCCATCAGACCGCTTATGGCGGCAGCGAAAAATTGGTGAAGGATTCGCGGTTTACCAGTCCGCTTCGAATCTGATACTCAGATTCGATTTGAGTCACTGTAAAAATGGCTAGCCGGCTTGCATTCTAAAACGTTTCCTTCTGGATTTTTAATTCTACGCTCTTTGATCCTCGCTTCACCCACTTAGCGGGTCGCGACTAAGATTGTTTGCCAGCAATGTGTGTGTCGGTACCGGCGCGTGATAGCTTCCCTCTCTGGCCAAAGCACTGCGCCATGCTTCCGTGAGAGCAATTCGAGCACAATCTTCTCGAAGTCATCCCATCGTTCCGTGATATGCGTGACCTTTGCTCTTACTTTGTTCTGGTCATCCTTATTGGCAGTGTCCTTCACAATTTGACGTAGACGACTGATTTGCTCCTTATCGCCGGTCATAAACTCAAGCCGAGTTATCGCGAGTGAGAGAGCTGTATCACCTGCCTCGATCTTGTCTATTGTTGCGTTGCGAGGAGAGCTTTCCGCGTCGTAGTATCTCGGTTGTCTTTTCGACATTCTGAAGAGTGCCTTCCCACCCTCTGACAGAGGCCCCGCACCAGCGACAGCCTGGAAACGTAGCGCACCACCGTGAATGAGGGTCTTGACAGTAGTAATGTCGCCTAGTAGTGAGGCCACCATGAGCGGTGATATACCATCAGGTGTCACCTTGTTCGGGTCAACGCCAAAGTCGAGAAGCCTTGAAACTGTCCTTCCCACTGCCAGATGAAGAGGCGTTGCCCCATTAACACCTGAAGATGTAGGATCCGCCCCTTGGTCTAAAAGCCGAATCATCAAGTCAAGATTGCCCGTCATGGCAGTGATCATCAACGGGGTTTCACCGTCACCATTGGGGCAGTTCACATCGGGGTCTTTCGCAAAGATGTTGTTGAGGGCGTCTGAGATGTCTGGATAGTCTTTGCTAATCGGATCGCAGTAGACTCTGCACGCAAATTGGAACGCTGTTTCTTTCTTGGGTCCGTATTGGCGCGATGATCGGTGGGGATTTCCGTACCACATTGCGTCAAAAAGCCGCAAGTCACGTAGACCCATGGCTAGAAAGAATGGAGGTAGGCCTTCGTCTGGCGTCGCGATGATGTCAGCCCCCATCTGGGTCAGCATTACGGCTAGGTTCCTGAACTTCTTTTGAAGACACAGCTGCAAGGGGCTGGAGATTCCCTGGAGACGGGCGCCATCTGGATCTGCCCCTCGGTTTCTGAGCAGTGTTTCTGCAAGGTCCTCAAATCCATGCTCGATAGCGGTGTGTAGAATGGTGGAACCGTTGCTGAGGGTAGTATCAATGCTGGGGAGATAGTGCGCAAGAAGTAGCGCAGATTTGATGCATCTATCCCTTTCCGCTTCTTCTTGACTTTCTTGTTGAAAAAGTAGAACTCTTGGTATCCCATGTCGGGCGATGGTACCAAGAGCCATTTCGACCGCAACTGGGTCTTTGAACTGGCAATATTTGTCGCCGGTGCCAAAAGGCAGGCACTCCATTTCGACTAAAGAATTAAGCACTGGTACATCGATGCCCATATGTAGTAGGTATGTAGGGACCAAGAGCCCAGCGTCTTCTCCGGATAGAAGGAACTCGTGCCGTAGGTAGTGGTGGTGAAGTTCATTGAGTCTTGACATAATGGGATAGGCCTCCGCTGTTGATATTTCCATGTCCACTTTATACTGCTTGATCACTGTGAGAGTAATCCGAAGGACCTCCTTGACGACGACGGCGTCGGAGCTACCCAACAAATGTCGGAACAATGGTCCGTGACGGTTGTAGAGGGACCATTTCGTTGCATCGGCCACGGAGCCTGGAGACCAAGGGAGACTGGATGATACGGACGATACAGAACCGGACACCAGGTTCTCCCAGAGTGAATAGATCAATTGGTCGATATCCTCGGAAAAACATTTGGTAAGTCTGAGCCAGTGTTTGCTGGCATAAGGGAGAAACAGATGGATATCGTCTTGGATTTCTGATCGATACTGGTGTAGGTCATAGTTCAATCGCTCTAGATCTACGTTGGAAGCTCTAGCTCGCCTGTCGAGGGACATAAGGGAAATGAGTCTTCTTGTCAGGGCGTTTGGACTCAAGATTGAGTTTGCCACAGTACCAGGAATTTTGTCAAACGAAACATTCTGGGCATGTGACAGGCTATTCTCGAACACCCCATAGTTGAGATAAGTGACACAGATGGCCCCGAGTTCAAACTCTGCTTGATGCAAATGAAAGTGGTAAGGAGAAGCTGCAGGCAACGCCGGGGTTTGAACGAGGTGTAACAGGACGCTGTGATGAATGAATCTGATGCATGAGTCCTCCTCGTCGATCTCCAATAGACTACCACCATATGTCGAGGCCAAAGTGAATCCGGAGGGATGCAGAGCTGAAGAGTTCCACATCGAGGATCCGGGTTGGACGTTCAGAGCCACACGAAGCTCATTCAGTGAAAGGCATGGGTCTGCTGACGCGATAAGCTGGAAAATTCGCGATCCGTACTTTATGTCCGGGATCCTCAGAATTGCTTGATCAAACGCCTGTGGAAGATTTCGGGGAAGATTGTTGATGATGTCGAGAATTTCAGACTCAGACCGAAGCTCTCGTGTGTACTTGGGGCAAATGGCCTCGATCTGCAGTGAGAGCCACAGAAACATGCCCTGAGAACGTACTAGTAGCTGTTCCTTGACAAGCTGTTCAAGCCTGCTTGATATTGGCCTGATGAGCTTCCAGTTTTCGACCTCAGCCGATATGTAACTTTGCAGGTCTTCGGATCTGTCGACACTTTCGAAAGAAATAGTCTGGGTGATACCAATTGACGATGCTGCAACGGACTTGCATCCAGATGTGGGTCGGGAAGAGCAGCACAGTTTGACTCTTCTGAATTGCATAAGTCGATGAAGTTGACCGAGAACTGATTCCACCTCTTCTATAGGAGCTTCGTCCAAGCCATCCAGCACCAGTACACATTGCCAGGCTGGTGGTGTTATGGAGAGAAGGAGGTCAACACAAAACTCGGCGTGAAATACTTGATGCTTCATTTCGTGTTCATCTAAAAAGGTGTCCAGGAACCGGGCCAGGGACGAACTTCTCAAAACTTGATGTACAACGCTGCCGAGGATATTGTGGTCTTGCAAAGTTGTTTGGTTGCTGTTTTTGCAAAAGAAAAATGCTACTGATTGGAATCCTCTTGGATCTGTCGCAGCTAGATATTTGTGGCTGGTCAGCTTCTTCGAGATCAAGGAATTGACAGCATAATCGGACCAAGTATGTGAGAAAAACGTGAGGTGTAAACGACAAGGAAAGTGGTTGACTGACTCTCAGTAGGATTCTTATGTGCGATCAAACGATCTGCCACCACGGAGGCCATAGTGACAGTCTTTCCAGACCCCAAATTACCCTGTAGCCACAATGTTGCTGAAGTCTTTGTGCCCAGCCATTCTTGGTAGCTCTTGTCGTTTAGGATCCAACTAGAGGTCCCTTTTTTTCGCTCCCTCGTCCAAATGGACTCGAACTCCTTCTGATTGGGAGCCAAGGCTTCAAAAAGCCGATGCGCACGCGTTTCTCGGTCCCGATGAGCGGCATCTCGAGAAATCATAATCTGGAAACGGCTGAATTTTTCAACAGACGATGTGTTGCTTTCAATATTGGCCTTTGCAACGAGTACTGCTACGCGATTTTCAATCAATTGACCCCATGATCGTAAGTCGTCTTCCAGTGGTTTGAAGACCGAGTCGAAGGTGGAAGTGAAAGACGTTGCGAGGTGAGACGCAAATGATTTATGGGCGTCGATGGTGATCTTTTTGCATATCTTGATGAAAACAATGACATACTCGCACATGTACGCCTGAGTCTGGCGACAGGTGGGAAACAGCAAGGCGAAATCCTTGTGGAGAGAAGACGATTTACCAATCCTCATTAAAAGAGTTGAAACTTTGTCGAAATACGACAGGAAGCTCAGTGATATCTATAGCTCTCGTCAGCCATCCCAAGTATCGAAATGACAACTTGCAACAAGGTAGTTCAGAGAAAGGCTTGACGAACATACCTCCAGAGTCATCCTGACCGTGGCCCAGACCCCAGACGCCAAGAGGTTTTGGGCGCCTCCCACAAGCACGTCGCCAATAGGGGCAAATTGACGAATTCTCTCCAGAACAGTGACGAGACGGGTGGCGTTGGGCCTCCAAGACCGGTGACGGTGAGCCCCATCTCGATTGATCTCTTCTGTTAATCGCAAAACCTCCATGGCGGTTGGTGGGCTTCTTGTTTGCAAGTTCTTGAAGCGGATGTGAGAGTCATCTTGATGGCGCTTGAGAGAAACGCTGAATTCTGAGATGGTTTGAGCCAGACGAATTTCAGGTTTCAGTTTCCCCACGGTTGCTACCGCCGTAGAAATGTTCTCCATTCTGGAGTTTTTGGATTGATTAGGCGTATTGATCTGGAACTGGTAGAGAGACTGAAGCTTCCAAGGAGGGAGAATGGCGGTTCAACGTTGACTGCAAATGCCCTGAAGGAGCTTGGAAGTTGGACAAAAGTAAGCAACACGGAAGGTCTCTGGTCTCGTGGTGAGCTCGTCAGACCGAGCCGTAGGACTGCTTAGGTGGCAGTGCCTCAATGTGCCTGCTGTGTAACTGCATCGGGGCCTTCATTCCAACTCATTGGCTGTTCAAAATATCGACCAGTGAGCTTTGGAGGATGCATGCAGCTCATAAGACAGCGGGCGCAAGGGGTGGCTAGGCATCCATGGATTCAGAGACGTGGTGTTTTTCTGCGGAATCACAATTGATTAACCCGGCCAAGCCGGCTTGGCTCCCATGCATTGATAATATCATTCGTTCTGGAGTAGAGCCTGGTCGTAAAATTTCCGAACGTGGTATATGGTAAGATTGACAGAGGTACGAGAGACGTCCTAGATCAGGTTGAGCTGACAAAAAGTGATAAAACAAACCATGCGCCCACAAACACCTCATGCTATGCATTTAGAGAGTACCCTTGAGTCCGTAAATCTTGTGTGCTTTCCTTGGCACTAATCTGAATCGTCACTGTTGCTTTTCTCCACCCAATTTTGAGCCCTCGATGCAAACTTGGAAATACCCAGGACCAAAACGCCGGCGAGGAGTGCAGAGGTTGCGGCTTAGATGAGGTCAATATGCGAGCAGAAGAATGAGAGTTATCTCAAGGAACTTACTGATGGTAAAAGACCAGCCGACTCCAATGGCGTCGATCATTGGCACCAGACCGCCCACGCTGCCAGCTCCGAAACTGTACTGAACGATGTATTTACTGCTGATGACGGCTGTCCTGCGTTCCGGCATTGCCTCTGACGAAATGTATTAGTCCAGGTCGACTCGATGAAGACGCAACAAGATGCCAGGGAAGGCTTACCGGCAGAATATGTGTTCAGACCGCTAAAAGACCACATGAGGCCGAGACCCTCAAAGAAGCAGCTGATGATGGGCAAAGCGATTCCGCCAACTTCCTTTTGCACGCTCCACCCGTAAATCAGAGTACCGGCAGGGAGAACGAAGAAGATTGCTGGCAAGCTGCTCTTGAGTCTGTCCTGGGGCAAACGGAGACCATTACGCTTCCGGATGTATCGCTTAACGGTGTGGTCTGAGACTCTGCCGCCGATTGTGCTTCCCATTAGAAAGCCCGCTCCGGGGGCAAGATAGAAGAGTCCACTGATAAGAGGCGTAGTAAGGCCGAACCGAGGGTTGATGACTCGTCGTATGGAACTCAAAAGGCCGTACTGGTTGAATCCCAGAAGTCCGCAGGCGAAATTCTGCGAGATAGATCAGATTACAAGCTAGAATCAGGTTGGGGAAGAGCAACTCACCGCCGCCACGATGTTGGGATACTTAAACTGGCGGAGAACACCCATCGGATTGAACGCGTGGGCCAGGTCGCCCAAAGACCGAATAGGAGCTCTCTCTGCAACAGCGATCTTGAGATGCGCCAGCTGGCTCGCTTTTGGCACGAAGAAGAAGGCCATGATGAGACCGAGAAAGGTCATGCCAGCCTGAACCCCATAGATGACTCGCCAACTGGTGAAGGTCACAATGACGGCTCCCGTCAACGGCGCTGAAAGCTCGTCAGTTTAAAGACTCTTGGGCACAATGATGGAGTAGTCAACCGACGTACCAATTGCGTTTGCCGCCACACAGCTGCCCAAGAAACAACCCACTGCAGTCCCGCGGGTTGTCTAAACAGAAGTTAGGCTCAATATGCTAAATAGAAGTGATACAACATTCAACTTACAGGCTCAAAGATATCTGCCAAGATTGTTTGCCCGGCAACTAGGAAGAATGGACCAGTTGTTCCCCCGATGACCCAAATCGCCGTGAAGCAGGCAAAGCTATTTGAGAGCGCCGATCCTATCGAACACAAGGTCAAGAGGCAGTTGGCTACGAGATACGTTGTTCTGCGACCAAGGATATTACTCGTCGGTAGCCATATCAAGGCAGACATAGCCATGGCAATGAAGACGCCAGCATTAGCTGTGGTAATGGCATGCGTTGAGACATTGAAGTCGGCAGCAACCTCTGACGTCGCTGTCAAGATGGAGCTACCAGAGAAGGTGACGGGCAGAGCCATCCAGCAAACCACCGCAAGCGTAACCCATTTCTTCCATGTTGGCATCTCCATCACCTCGTCGTCTGCTGCAGCCACGGGCCGAAGAGGGGCTGCCGCCGCCGGAATGGGGCCGGTAAGCGGATCGGGGCTTAGTTGAGGGATCTTGACAGCGGAGGTCAAGCCGTCCGGCTTTTCGACATCTGGGGAGCCCATTGCGAGCAGGGTCACATGAAAGAATGAAAAGTAAGCTGATAATTAAGCTAAAGTATCGACAGAGGAAGATTACTGCCTCGGGGAGTCCTCCGAATGTATATAGTCGAGAACTCCTGCAGCTCTCCGCCGGTCGGAGGCACGCCTTCGGCAGGCGAATTTTCTTCCATTTTTTCACTACACCTCCAGTGACTCAAGTGTTTCGTTAAGTGGGCCTTGTAGGGCGACGTGATGCACGCATAGGCGACGTGATCAAGGCCAGCCCGGACTTGTGACGGAAATGCGAGTGAAATAGGGCGCCAATGGTTGGTTGCTTGGTCTGAGTAGTCGGCAACATGGCATGAAGCCGACTTGAGAAACTGGTTAAACCCCTGGATAGTTTGTGGGGTACAGATCGTGACGGGAAATTCGGCGAAATCCTCATTATGCCGATAATGTGGAGAAACTGCAGTTCTTTTCTCGGCATGTTGCGCGATTTATGCCGAACCATCTCGGCCGGGCTAGAGCTTTCTCCCCCAAACGTCTAGCTATGACAACAAAGAAACCTTTACCAAACTAGTGCTGATGACTATCACGTAGTGGTGGGATTCTAGGGATACGTCACAAATCATTGCAACTTTGGAAGGTGAAGGGGTGTCTTCAAATATCCCTTGAGCCCCTCGGTATCCCTACACGTTTCCCGAAAGCTTCGGACCTCACGAGGGCAGTATCCTAATCCGGCGTACCGATTGACCACCATGACATCGGAAGGCGACGCGTCCAGTGCGGAGGATAGGGTTACTCTGAGATCCGCTCCAGTATCCTCATCGGCTTCATCCCGACCAAAGACCAAACCTACCGCGTGAGTAATACAACTTGTCGCGCCGCAAAGCTGCGGAAGGTATTCTGGTGATTAACAACGGCGATGCCGCCATACCAGTTGTCGTAGGTGTCACTCGCGCAAAGTGAGATGTTCCGGAGGTCAACCGTGTGAGAATTGTCGCCAAGCAAGCAAGGGTGCAGAATGCACATACCCTCGGCGCAACCGCATGGTAAAAGTTAGCCAGCGGTATGTTGGAACCAGAGAGATTCATACTTCGGGCCCGCGATTCTAAGAGCGACTGATGTACCGAACTAACTCGATCTCCCATAGCTATATCGATGACCTCATTGCCGAGAACCAACGGTTGAAGAGCAACAGCGGCATTGGAAGTCAACCTCGGGCAGCCAACCTACTCCCAGATCTTGCAGTCGTTGCCCCGGTAAAAGAAACAACAGACACTAATGCAACTGCCATCCCAGCGCCATCGCTTGATGAGCGACCATGGTTCTTCGACATGAATATTCCACACACGCCAATTCTCATCGGCGAGGCCTCGGACGCTGCATTCGCTACCCGCTTCCGCCAAGCAATCTCATCAGCTGAGAGCAGTCACATCCCGCGGGTGAACTATGCCACAGATGAGAGGCTGCTCGCTCTGTCTGATACAGACTGCCCTTGGCCTAGTCCGGCAAGAGCACGTTTCCTTGTCGGGGTTGCCCTGAGATATGTTAGCCGTTGCTACCACATCATTCGCAAGAGCTCGATTCTGGATGCCCTGGAACAGACCCTCCAGAACCCGGCTGAAAGTGATTCGCTTCTCAAGAGTAAGCTGTGGGCGATGTTTGCTATCGGCGCCATGTACTCGACCCGATCTGCCACGTCGGAAAAGCACTTCCCTGGCATGGGCTACTTTGCACGGGCAACTCGCATCCTCCGCATCGTCAGCGAACGACCGAGGATCGATGTTGTCGAGTTGAGATTGTTGCTGGTAAGATGGCTTTGATAATTGAGTGGTTTCGATCGCCTCTGAAGTTTTGACAGTCTTTCTACTCTCTTGCGCTCAACCGGCGACATACCGCCTACACTTTTGCCGGTTCCGCGACCAGGCTTGCTGTTGTCATGGGCCTTCACCTAAACGTCCCTGAGACGCAGCTCAGAGATGCGGCCGCTCGAGAGCATAGAGTCAGAGTTTGGTGGACAGCCTACATCTTTGACAGAATGTGGGCAGCCAAGTTAAGCCACCCAGTCGCTGTCCAAGACATCGACATTGAGGTGGACCTGCCATCGAATCCGGTTGTCGATGATAACATAGCGGATGACTTTGCCGATGCATCATATTTTGTTGCTAGTGTAAAGCTCGCTGGCCTACTGGGGAAGGTGGTGCCATCCATCTATCGAAGAAGGCTGCAAGACACCTCCTTATCCCACAGAGTTCAAGAGGCCTTGAAAGATCTTCGTGGATGGTCTGCAGAGCTCCCTCCACAGCTTCACATTGACTCGAAGCCTACATCGGAACGCATGCCAAAGCCCATCTCGCTACATCTTAACTTCAATCAGGCAAGTAAAGAAGCGCGACTGTGAGACGGCGTATGTCAATGCTGACCTCCATTGAAGTGCGCTATCAGCACCACCCGCCCGATTCTGCTCCATGTGCTGCGAACGCATGTCGCATCTTGGGGAACACCAGAGACCCCAGAACCACGAGTTCCGGCCACCGCCATGACTCTCGCAGAAACTTGCATACGTTGCGCCCGCCACACCTGCCGACTCCTGACAGAATGCTGGATCGACGGGTCTTTTGCAACGTTTGACTACTTCTACACGCAGTATCTCTTCTCGGCCGCCACCATCCTCGCTGCATCTAGCCTTCTGAGCGGCAAAGAGAGTCACAATGACAGAGAACAATTTGAAGAAGCAGCTCAGTTCTTGTCTCAGCTGAAGGATAATGGCAACTATGCAGCCGAAGAGTTCTGCCATCATATCGACGCTATGAAGCCCACAATGGCTGCAGCTCACGTGCGCCGTGGTGATTTCGCCGTGGCTGGAGACTCGGCGGCTTTGCTGAACGACACAACAGCGGCTTTCACGGATGCTGCAGTCAACCTCAACCAACCTTTCGCGGAGCAAAACACAACCGCTGGTATGGCGCTCAACGAGCCGTCGTTGCAGGAGCTACTGGCCCAGCCACTCCTCGACTTGCAGTTTATAGATGCGTCGATCTACAATGATGGGGCTCAGGGACTTTACTGGCCAGATTTCAGCCCGGAATCATGGACGCCTGAGACGTGGACCGCAACTTGAGTACCTACCAGATGACCATCAAGCACGCGGACGTACACTTGACATGCAGATATTGGGCAACAAGAAACAATGATTTGGGTTCCAAACTACTAATACCATCTACACAGAGGCTATGGATACTGTTTACCCAGCCGTTTTTGGTACATCTCTTCCCAGAATGGCCCGTCGTCCAGTGCGTTTTACCAAAACTTGAAAGGAATTGCCAGCCTTCCAGCCGCATTCGGCGTCGCACTAGCAGAAGCCGAAGAGCCCGAAGCACCTGATGCCGTGCCGGCTTGTGAGCCAGTCGCGGCCGTAGTCGCTTGGGTCGTCGTCGTTACCGTAACCACATCGGTCGTCGCGGCTGTGGCAGACACGCTTACACTACCAGTGCAAGCCTCCTCGCCAGAGACAATCGTGTAGCTGGTGCTGCAGCCCACCCTAGGGCAGGCACTCTTGTCGCAACCAAACGTGAAGGTCTCTGTTGCTGCTGCACTGGGGCAGCCGCATGACTGCGTCAGAGTCGACACGGTCACGCATTGCGGTGCCTCACCGGTGCAACTTGGACACAGTGATAGCTCTGTTGCCGTGGGACACCCGTCTTCCACCACGGTAGGAAGCGGCACCGGGGTTGGGAGAGGAGTCAATGAATCAGTTGGCAGGATCGAGTAAAGGAACGACTCCGAACTTGTCTGGGCAACAATCGGTGCCGCGCTATCAACGTTAGCGATAAGTCTCTGTGCCAACGGTTGACAGATTCATACACGAAAAAGAGCGTTGCTACTTGGCTGGTCACCTTCATCTTGATTCTTTTGAACCTTGCCTAACAACTATGGGGAAAATGTTGTTTGATGGTATCACGAACAGAAATTGAAAGTAATCTGATGAGGGAAGAAGCTAGTCCCACGGTCAGCCCAGCGCGATCGAGCTCTTATGAAGTAACGAGCCGGTAACACCACCGACGATCAAGTCCTCCTGACAAGACGTCCGTCATTCGTTCATAATCGTCGGTGTACAAACCACCATCCTTTTTCGGCATTGGGGTCTTGGCTTGCAGGGATGCTATTGCGGAGAGCCCGTATCGACTGGCCACCAACCTCTTTGATTCTACCCTATTGCAGCACCCTTCAAGGAAAAACACGTATTCTCACTGCGGCCAATCCCCCAAAAGCAAGAGTCACACCAGCCGAAACTTAGTCTTCCAAGGCGCTCCTCCTTACGTTTCAGAAGTACGTGGACACATCTAGGGTGCTGATGCCAAGGACTACCGACCCGCGAATCGTTCATTGTCTTCATCACCTTCCTATAGAGGCACGAATGCAGTGGCTCGTGCCCGCGCCGATTATGACGCAGATTTTCAATTGTACTCGCTCGTTCACCTGTTTCAATAGGTATTTACTTGACACCGAAACGTACATGTACATGCTCGTCGGGAGTTGAACCAGCAGGGCATGATCAGCCCAACGAGAGAATTGACAAGAACAATGTGCATAAAGGGAAGCCCAGAAATGTGCAGCGGATCCATTCAATTCTTGGCAGAGAGATCAGGGTAGGGAAAAGAGAGTATTATAGCCACAATCGGCACCATGTTATACTTGAGAACAAATCACTAAATAGCCGCGATCTTTCACTGACCGCCGACGAATATGGTGGCATTCAAATTTCGGCGCAGTTGATTACCCTGGAAATATGTGTAAGAAAGAGGGCCAATGCTTTGGGACCAATGACCGAATACGGGTACGCACTGAGTAGGATTTCAGATACCAAAAGCGTTTGTAATAAATGTTCTTCGAAAAAGATTTAATTAGTTGATTGCAGCGAAAGGGTCCACATTCTGGAGAACGCTTCCTTCGAAGAACTCATCATTCCTTCCCATCCACGGGAGTGAATTGTGGAAAGAGTACCGAAAGTAGGCCATTATTCAGGCGATAATCGGAACATTAGTAGTAGAGAGCAATCGCGTAGCCGATATAGTTGAGACGACACAGGATCTGACCCTTAGCACGCTTGTTGGCTTGATGCCACGCAAGGACGTAGCCTCCTCTGTAGCCTCAAACAATGCTGATTTGGGGAGGCAACGTTGGTATGGCTAGATAGTAGAGTGAAATAAGGTAGGGAATGAAGAATTGGAGGGCATGATTGCCGAACACGATTGAGGGGAATCGCAAGAGGTCGCCGAGACCGACTATCCCTCCCACGGCGGCGAATATAAAGGGTATTCTGAAGCCTCAAACATCACGGCCGTCTTCGCCTTTGTCGGTAGTCGGCGCGAAGAGATTGTAGAGTTTCTTCCCGAAGCTGACCATGTTTATCAAGGATGGCTCGACTTTGGCTGAAAGATGCGGAAGTGGTTTGTGGAAGCATCAGGGGGGCACGCCTAATATGATGCCCTCTTCTAATTACACTTAGCCAAGCAGTTAAGAAGCCAGGCAGACTTCTTTGCGCGTGCAAGCACAGCCCTGTGATAGAAGACTGAAATGGCTCGAATAAGCCGGCCAAGGCTCTTAGCTGTCTTGTCCAGGATTAGGACCTTCCAAAATCTAACTTGATACTAAAGAACACAAGGCCATCACAAACTGCAGATATAAGTCGCCATTAGACGAGACAAAGAGGCCGAGCCGTGGCATACCCTCGCCAGATCTTAAGAACATAGACTGGGACTTCGTCGGCTTTCCGACTGTACGCTGATGTTCGCCCAGCTCGCCGGCGCCATCATCTATTGTTTTTGGCCAACGATACTTATCATTTGACTTGCAAGAAGACTCAACTTCCCCACACCCTGGCAGACACGCGTCAGTATTGACGGTCAAGCATTTGCTGACAGCCAAAGGTCCACCATATTCCGCCAATATACATGTCCAAGGTCTCATGTTGAGCTTCTAAATAGATTTGCGGAAGATCTGATACTGCACCTGATCGTTCGCCTAACAAGCCCTAAGATAATATCTCTATTGGTACGGCCGAGCCACGTTGACGCTTCTAGTTGAAGCGCTACACGTGACAGTTATTTTCATGTCCCGCTTAGACTTGGGTTTTCTGGCACATTTTACACTTGGGAGTGGCTCAAATATAAGAGAAACGGAGATAAGCCGTAGACAATACGTCGCTCGGGAAAGCCGAAGTTTTCCTTCTTCAAAGATGCCGTAATCTACATGTGTAAGTGATATTGTTGTTGAACCCATTCCCTTGAAACTTGCTGCTGTTAGCAGTGGACCTCAGTTGGGAACATATATGAGCTGAAGCTACCTAAATTGATAACTCTTCTACTGCCGTCGTGATTTCAAGTTGATCAAGCTTAGCCAGGTGCAACAAGTGCGTCAAGTCCGTCGGACTCGGCATTAATCTCCGACCATCTGAAAGTTCAGTTGTCAAAGCGTCACATAAGGTAGCGTATTGTCCAAGTAGGTTGTCCCGGATGCAAGGCCATAGTGTAAGCTTTGTTGTGCTGACGAATTGCTGCCTGTCTTAGTAATGAGCTCACAGTTGCAGTTGCCCGAATAAGTAGGAGTAGCTCTTGGCGCATTGTCCGAAGCATATGATTATTCTAGCAAAGTACTTGGACCTTAAACCATAAAAAGCAGAACGATTTCCATCGAATTTCCTAACTGCTTTTCTGATGGTATGTTAACACCAACAGAACTTGTATCATCTTATATTTGCCAGCCTCTCTTCGCTTTGCCGTCAGATTCCAACGATCAGAATGTCGTCAGCCTCTAAACAGCCCGTCAACCTCGTGTTGGGTGTCGCGAACGTACGCTCAGTGACCGAGTGAAAGAGATGTGTATTGATTTTAGCAAAGCTAATGTTCGCAGGTCGGAGATTCATCTGCTGATCCCATGGCACGGTACGACACACCCGACCAAGTGAATGCATTCCTGGACGTCTTCGCTCGACGCGGGTACAAGCAGCTTGATACCTCGCGCATGTACTCACCCCAAGCACCCACAAGCTCGGAGCCCAGACTCGGCGCCGCCAATGCCGGCGAGCGCTTCACCATCGACACCAAGGTTACGTCCAGATCGCCGGGATGTCACACCAAGGACAAAATTCTCAAGGAGATTGACGAATCTCTCAAAGCGCTGAAAATCAAGCAGATCAACATTGAGTATCTACACGTGCCCGACCGAGCGACACCATTCGAAGAAGCATGTGTGGCCATGAACCAGGCAATTGGGGAGGGCAAGATCAAGAAATGGGGTATCTCAAACTACTCCGCTGCAGAGGTTCAGCGGTTTGTCGACATCTGCCAGGAACGCGGCCTCGTCAAACCCAGTGTGTACCAGGGTCATTACAATCCGCTCGTGCGAGGCGGAGAGAACGATTTGTTTCCCGTCTTGCGCAAGAATGGCATAGCCTTCTACGGATATAGCCCCGCCGCAGCTGGGTTCTTTGCCGGCAATCATAAGAAGGTTAAAGCGGGTGGGCGATATGATACATCGGTAAGACTTTTCTACTCGTGTCCATCAAAACACGAGAGACTGACCAAGTGCCCTGTGACATCCAAGATTCCTGTGGGTAGCATATACGCAAAGTTCTATGTCAAAGAGTCCATCATGACGGCGACGGAGAAGGCGATTGATGTCGCGGCTAAGCACGGAATCGGCGGCCATGCTGCGGCACTTCGGTGGACGGTATATCACAGCATCCTTAGCAAGGAATACGAGGATTCGGTTATCATTGGAGCCTCTAGCCCGAAGCAGCTGGAGACCAATCTCGACATGATCGAACAAGGACCGCTTCCAGAGGATGTGGTGTCTGCTCTCGAGGAGTTACACGAGCAGATTGTCGACAAAATCCCGTACCACATGTAGTCTATGAGACTATGATGCTCTGAAGCATTGAGGTAGCTTCATCCGGACTAGTAACAAAGGCTAGGCTCAATGGAGTAGGAGTAGACCTTGGCAAAGCTGACTGCATACGTCAAAGCCGTCAACATCACCGCTGACAAATGGTATTGCTTATTTGGAGTTGCCTACTGAGTGTTGTAGGAAAGTTATATCTTGTTCTTTTTACGATAGTATTCAGGTAAATAAGAAGAAACATCCTCGAAAGAAACAATTTCGCTGCAAAAGAATTTATTTGACACATTTGTTACGCTTCCCGGCATGGAGTTCATCGTCATAGTACATCCTAACCAGAGGCGATCAACCCGCTTGAAGAAACAGGCTCACGCTCACGCAGCACGAGTTACCCATGCACGGTCAAGAAAACGTCAGGCGGCCTGTCATGGCGATCAAGGCCCGAACATTCAAGTTGAAAGTCGTGGTCGATCAGTGATTTTGAGGCAACGAGAGGGAGAAGGGATGAGCCGTCCACAACAAGACGTTGTGGAATCCCAGCATCTGGTTGAGCCTTCGATCCCAAGCACAATACCTGGCGCGTTCGAGCATGAGCCATTGGCTAGCTTTCTAAAGTCTTCCACAGCCGAAGAGAGAATGCTATTCTTTTACTGTACGTCAGGATGTACATCATCAATGCCACTTTTGAAGGCCCGCTCACGCGAAGCTATTGGCATTGCAAAAGCGTTGAATACTGACGGTCGTAGATGGTCAAGTCATTGTCCCCAACATGGATTCGCAATGTCCTATTTTGTGCTACCTCGGCGAAAATTTCGATCACATACGGAGGAACTGGCTGCTCTGTGGCTCTACCGATATTGACCTCTTGCAGGGCTTCTTGCTCGCAGCCAGCCGTCATTTATGCCTCTTTCATGGGGAGCAGTGGGAGAACTGGGCAGCCAAGTTCAAGCTGAAGCACATAAGCGACCTGCGTCGTGCCCTATCCTCTAACGATATGTCATTGCGAAGAACTGGTGTTGCGAAAGCATTGGTGTTGTCATTCGATGAGGTATGCAAGCTTCAATATAACTTCCGGTTCTCTATTACGATCAAGTGCGTTATTTTAGAAAGGGCTCTAATTCTGCTTTATAGATCATGCTCTGTGACATGCACATGGCCTCAAAACACGTTCGAGGTGCTATCACAATAGTCAGGGATTCTGGAGGAATCGACGCCCTTGGATTGAGTGAAATTGTTCGTTGTGTTCTCTTCAGCTGCATGTTCGGCAAGGGCCTCCTGGACGGACAGCCTTTGTTCGAACTGAGCCCAGCACCTCTATCTACAAGTCAATAGACTACCTTATGTTGTAAAGCATGCGATTGCTGCTTCTTCAAACTTTCTCTAAGACCACGTTCCGTTCGCAGGTCCAAAGTAGCCTACATCCGGCATCTGCAGCCACGGTAGGCCTTGTCCATCAGCGGTTTCACTCCATACGGTGTTTCCCCACCAATCAGGGAATTGTGCGTTAGGGCCTAGGTGAATATTAGTCTTGGGTGCCTCAATAAACTCAGCAGAGCTATCTATGCCGACTTACCATATGTGACAGCGAAGAAGATGACGATACCACTGATGGCAAGTCCGGTGTCCAGCGCCGCGGCGAGGACGTAGTTGTACTTGCTCCACCAAGCGTAGAACTTGCGGTAGATGATCTTGTTGAAGATCAGGTTCACGATGTACCACGAAGAATAGTTGATACCCGTGGCCGGAGGCACGTTATAGGTTCCCACAAAGATGAGCGGCCAGTTGATCTTGCGAATGAAGTCAGACTTTGTCTTCTTGAAGATGAAGTACGTAATCGGCGGCAGGATAAGTCCGATCCAGAAGAAGTGCAAGAGACCGGAATAGATAGCGCCAACGGAGTAGAGACGAGCGGGCCCGACGAGACCCCAGATAACCGAAGACGAGAAAACGGTGCGACCGTTGGGGCAGGAGAAGCCATTGGGCTGGTCCTCGGTGCAGATACCGTCAACATTGCCAAGCATCCAAAGCGTGACACCAGTCTGGGTCAATGCTCCAAGAATCGTTGCGAGACCTTGTGCAAAGAAGAGGGTCGTGGGCGGGATCTTGAGGTAGTGGCCGAGCTTCATATCGGCCGCGAAGTACAGACCTTGACCAACGACATCCGTGCTGAGGATCTTGAAGAGGATGTTGGCAATCGGTTTGCCCTGGAACATGTATCCTCCGATGAATTCGGACAGCACGTTCAGCTGGTTGGCGTCCACGTTCGTGACGCCCTGGATCATGCCGCAGGGGACCATGTAGACTGCGGGAATGATGAAGGCGAGGATGACTCCCCACCACGGCAGACCGGTGTCGTAGCCCTCTGCGGTGCCGACTGCCATGCCGAAGACGACCAGGAGAATGACCATCCACCACCACCACTTGACAGTCCTGTATGACTGCATCAGGCGCGCGTGAATGTCGAGTTTGAGCGTTCCCTTCATGGCATGCACGATTTCATCGAAGTGGAAGAAGTAGACATGGGACAAAACACTATAGTGACAATGTTAGACTAGAATTGTCGGCAATTGATACGGCTTAGCACATACCTTGTGATTGAAGCAAAAGACAGGCCGTATACAAAGGCGAACGTGGCTGGCAGATACGGGGGAGAGTACGAAGAGTACTTTTGCTGATCGAATTCGTTGTTCGTGAGAACCTCCGTCACGTTGTACAGGCTGCCGAATCGATCGTAGACGTCGGCTGTGCAGAACGGCATGTACGAGGTGAACCAGGTGTTCGTGTAGTAGATCGCCGGTGTGATGATCCAGAAGAAGAACGCAAAGCCAAAGAAGACATTTAGCGCGGCCCAGTGAGGACTGAGAAGCGGGTTCGTGTTATACGCAATCATAGACCAGTCGAAAGTCAGAGGAAAGAGGCCCATGCCAGTGACCATGCCAAAGACTTGGTTGACCGCCAGGTTGTTCGGCGCAATCCAGCAGATCCAGGTGAAGTAGCTGAGGCCCGTGAAGATGAGGCCCGGGAACCAGTACCAGACGAAAGCGCATCCACCCACAATCATGAAGAACTTGATGCGGGTGATTCTCCATCCGTCAGCAATGGCGTTGGCTCGAGAGTGCAGCGAGCTGAGGAGGGCGACATTGCTGAGCACACCAGGCCAGATCATGCTGGCGGGCTTGACAAGCCACGGCATAGCGAGACCTGCGACGGCGTATCCGCTGAGCTGGCAACACAGAACAACGAGTACGGAGAATCCTGGCGGGATGTAGAAGCCATACAGCCTGGCTGCTTGGATCAGGTTGGTCGCATCAGCTGAGCCGAAGCCAAAGGAGACGTTGGACATGATTGTTACGAGAGCATGCTCCTTGATGTTAAAGTGCCGGTCGGGGTTGAAACGGCTGATGGGGAGAATCTTGGCGAGCGCGACGCCGATGGGGAACGCGATCAGTTCTGCGACGAGAGATACGATGTGAACACCGGGGTATCGCAACGAAAAGAACTGGTTCACGCCGGCGCCAAGAAAGACAAAGACCTTTGCTGTAAGTTAGCATTGAGTTCCTCCATAAGTTGCATCGCCAATTGCATACAATTCCAAGAAACCAGGCTCGGAACGTGTTGACGGGGATCGCAGTATCGTCAGTCTCCGGCACAACGGCTCTGACCTGGGGGAAAGGCGAGGTATCGGCATCGTAGTCCCCCTCACCCTCCTCATCGAGCACCCGCTGCATATCGACCTCCAACTCCGCGAGATGTCCATTTTCGAGTTCGATGTCCTGGCCGTGGAGGTTATGTGCCGTCTTGATGTTGAGCTTCTCTCCCTGCGCCAGTGACTTTTCAGGGTCCGCATACTCTGGCGGCGTATGGCTGATGTCGGTGGCCATCTTGTTGAAGGCTCGGGTTTGCGACGATGCGATGGCGGCGGAAACAAGCAAACGCCCAGGACTGCCAAGAGAGTAGCGCCCGGCGCGGCATCGTAGCTATTATGAAGGGCGGATGCTGGTTACACTAATGTAAGTATGATGGGCACAGAGTCGCATCGACTGAAGGGAAGCGATATGGTCCGATGCGCTATGCGCCCGACGCGTACGACAATCTCCTAGACATCTTCTCCCGCTTATCAGTTCGCCCCTGGTCGGTGGTCAGCCGATGATAGGATTCTCAAAAAGTGCCTTTGGGGACTTTGAAAAGTTCCCCAGATTACACGTTCGTCCACTCATGTTGGCTATTCACCCACAACCATCACGAATCGTAATGACTCTCCCATTTCCCCCAACCGCGGCTCCGGAACTGCGGCATTGGCCAATTGAGCATCTTGGCGTTATCTTGGCTTTATCTGCCGCTGCGGGGATCCGCCGTCTGCTTCTGGAAGGCGACCAGGGATTCCTTTCTTAGCGGTCGGGTCCGGCACCACGGGATGAGGGAGGCATTCGGGAAACCTCGATAAGTTTGCCGTACTTCCGCGGTCTCCTATTCCCGAGCGATAAGACTGGCTGTGATCAATTGACCTAGAACGCGGCCATGACGCGGTTTAAGCTGGGAAACATCTGCTCTTGGTCAACCTGAGCTGTGTTGGTTCCTGGCATGACGGGGTCATCCATTCAAGTGTCAATCCGTCAAGCTGTCACGCAAAATAGAGTTGTCGCCATTGGACGCCCATTGTCAACAGTGAGCGCTGCATGCTTACCCGTCGTTAGGTGCTGACATCAGTTTTCGTGACTTGACTAGGGGCACTCAGTCTCCAAGCAGCAGGTTAAGCTTATCCTCTCTCGAGACCAGCTGTCTTGTCTGCAATCAGCTTACCTGCCCTCGAGAAAAGCCAAGTATAACAAAGTGCCTTTGAGGGGGGAAGCCTCTTGCTCTCAACTTAGCCATTGATTTTTATTTGAGTTGACGTTGCGAGTGGGAGATACCTAGGACTCGGGAATTTCTCACTTGCATTGTTTGCGCAATTGGCCGTGTGCATAGCAACTACAGCAGACTGACTCAAGGTCTCAGAGTTGATACACCAACTTCTCGCCAGAGATTGCCCCATCCCGATACAGCAGACTGACTCAAGGTCTCAGAGTTGATACACCAACTTCTCGCCAGAGATTGCCCCATCCCGATACACTTGGAATCCTTTGTCTACACCATCAAGACCCCCAGAGATAGCCTTCGGCTTGTTGGGCTTCAACTTCCTGGCCTCTACCCATCCCGGGAGCTTTTCATAAAACTTGGTACCGAGTTTGTGGTCCTCCTCGCTAGCCTAAGTCGCAGTCAGTGACCACTCTTCTAGGAGTCCTGCAACGACTGTAACTTACGGGCCATTTGAACTGAGCATACTGATGATCCTTCAAGAATGCAGTCCAGACCAAGACGTCGGTCACAGTCGTCTGCTTCGAAACATTTTCAGTGTTGGCCTTCCCCGGGCGCACGGTGCACAGCCGCCCGCCGCTCTCATCGATGGCTTGGGATGCCTGGCCGGAGGAGGACTTGTTGCCGATGGTGTCAAAGACGTATTTGAGGCCGGGCGTCGTCTTTTTGATGGACTCAATCACGTCGTCATCGCGGTAGTTGAAGACATGCTTCGCGCCCAGGGACTTGACCCAATCGAAGTGACGAGGGCTGCACGTCGTGACTACTTTGAGGCCTTGCATCGCTGCTATTTGGATGGCGTACAAGCCGACGCTCGCTGAGAAGGGGATTAGCAAGGGACCGCACGTGCTCAGCGCGTATTTTGGAGCAGCTTACAGCTACCGCCCCAAATAAGGACCGCCGTCTCCGATCCGCTCTCTCGAGGAATAGCGAGGCATCCTTTGGAGAACAGGGCTAGCTCGGCCGTCATGGAAGCCAGGGGTACTGTAGCAGCCTCCTCCGGACTTATGTTCTTGGGGACTCGGAAGCAGATGTTGTCGTCCGCGAGGGTGTACTCGCTATAGCCGCCGAGACCCTTGATTTCACCTGGTGATGTGTCAGAACTTGTTCGTAGATCTCGGCTAACCAAGGATTACTGACCTCCCCAGATTAGGCCAGCAACAATGTCTCCCTTGGACAGCCTGCTGCACTTGTCGCCAATCGCTTCGACTGTTCCCACAAAGTCGCACCCAAGGACGGCGCCGTCACCGAATGCATTGCCGTCAAGAGATTGAACTGTGAACCAAAGTTAGGACACGACACTGCGTTCATCTCTTGATCGAGACTACCAACGGATTCTAGCCTACCGTCTGTCGGGTTTTGTGCAATATGTGACACTTTTACGAGAGCTTGATGCGGGGCCGGTTCAGGGATCGGAACTTGCTTCTTGACCATTTTTGGCGACCCGCCGGCCGAAGACTCGGTCACCAAGGCTTGCATTTGTTGTCCGACCATGTTCACTGGTATCATAAGATATACTCACGATGTCAAAAAGTGATGGGTCTTCTTGCGAGGATCGAATATGAAGTTGAAGCACGTCAGCCTCAGCAGGCATGAATTATTCAGGCAATAGTAGTCGTCTTTCCCCTCTGCTTAATCAGCCTGCAAGCGCCGTGGAAGTTGGAGCTTGGCCCCTAAGGAAACTAAATTCCCCCAAAACAGTGCACTAATATTAATAATAGGGGCTCCTTCATGACGTAGCGGTGATGGGGAATATCGTCAAAGAAATACCTACGTCTTATTACATGAGTTGAAGCTTATGAGGCTGACATGAGCTGCCCGAGCACATACGACAACAAACGAGGACGCATCTTCAATGAGAGTGTATGCATCCATATCAGTGCGGGTAAGGCCCAGCTTTATTCATGTCTACTAAAGTTCTCAAACCAGCACCAACAATTTAATGCAAGAACCGTCTCTCACTGGCACTCTCTCACCGGTGCAACCCCGCGACATTGCTCTGACGTTCCGTACAGGCAGTTGAGCAGACCTCGGCCCATTATCCCCCTCGTCTTTTCAATGTGTTGAGAGGCTTAAAGCCTCGTAATCCAAATCCTCCAGAGAAAGGAAACCATCCTACCCAAGACCGGGCCAGCTCTCCCGCCTCCTCAACAGCTCAAACCACATATCAGGCCTCACAACCTCAAAATCGTCCCCCAACTTCTTCACCATACTAGCAACACTCGTCGGCGTCATATCAAAAGCGCTCACTGCGCCCGCCACAAACAGAGGCCCACGACCCCTCCAATTCTCCGAAATATTCCGCAGCGTCGCCGCACCGCTCTCCTCGTTCCCAATACTCACCATGTTCGTCACCGGGAAGCCCTCTGTAATATTCACCTGCAGCGCATCCACAGTGGAAACAAATGACCCGTAGTAAATCCCCCGCAACCTATTCCTCCCTACGGCGTCGCGAAAGTCAAGAGTTAGCCCAGGTGTGAGCGGGTTATCCGTGGCGTTGACGCGGTCGTACACGAACAAGACCTCGTCCGTTTGTGTCGCTCTCATATACTCGCCGCTCTGAGTCAAGAATGTAGAGAGAGCCCGTCTGGGCCATACGCCAGGGTACGTATATCCCGCGCCGTCGGGTCCGGCAATCAGCAAGTCATTCTCCGTAGACGTCTTTTGATAATACGACAAGATACCCGGCCCAATATCCCGTAGCAATGGGCTAATAGTCCAGCCAAGCGGGACTGATCCCCTCGCGGAGTCGTTCCAGTGCTGAAACATGCTCCGCTGGTCGTACTGTATGTTGTCGCCTTCGAGGTAGACGAGAGACAGAAAGACTTTGGGTGTCTTCTTCGGAGGGGGCGGAGGAGGTCGCCATGGCGGCCCCCCCATAGTAGACTGCTGAGATTGGCTCTTGGTGTTGAACCCACTGAAGATAGTGGGGTTGAAGTAGAAGTCCGTGGCGGCGACGTATAACCCGTTCCTTGCGAGTTGCGTGACACCGGTCATCTCATCGCCATTTGGAAACCAGCCGAGGTAGGCCGCATTGGGCTGGAATTGGCGAAGGAGTTTGTCGAGCAGCGCGGCTTCCCGCGGTCTGTTACTGTCCAACCATATGCAGGGAGCCGCCGTGCTGACGATGTAGTCGCGGAAGATGGAGTTGACCTTGTAGTAGCCCGATCGCGCCGACGTTGCCGAAACGAGAAACTGATTCCACATGGACAGAGTGAGTGTTAGTTGAGTTGTCTGAGGTGGAACGTCAAATTTGTAAATCATTGCGGATGCGCCGTCTGCGAAGCGCCAGCCTCCTGGGTAGTCTGCCAGGTGCGAGCCGCCGTCGTCGAACAGAAAGGAGTCTTCCTCTTCATCACCGGGAGTGAAGTCTGCTATGGTTTTGTTTCCGTCGCCAGTAACCTTGACGCGGTAGACAGAGGGACCATATCCGTCTGCAGGGAAAGCGTCTGTAATATTGACATAGACCGTCCCGTTACCATTAATGAATGACGATAAGTCTGCAATGTATGTGCCGTTATTCGAAGAGTCTGTGACGGACGAGTTCGCCTTCAAAAGTGTGGTCCAGGTCCTGTTGGCATACAATATGGTTGAAAGTGGCTTGATAGCCGTGATGATGCGGTCAGTGACCTTGGGCCACACCTCCCGGGCCGCATGATCGTAAAGCTCGAATTTGTTTTTGAACCGGCCTCGCAAGTCTTCCGTGGTGGAGATATTGAAGCGTCGGGCCAGTTCTTCAGTTGCGAGGACAGCGCCATGAAGACCAGCAAGTGTTGAAGCCAGATTAATCGTGTCTGGTAATTTCGTGTCGTAGATAATGGCTCCGCGAATCTCAAACTTGTACTTGTCGATTAGTTGCAGAGGACTGCTCGTCGTATCGGCGCTACGATATCCTTCAGTCTCAAGGTGCCGCAACCAGGCCTCGTTGACCTCGTCGTCCGGAAAGGCAGAATCCTGCGACCAATAAAGGTACAGTCGTGGTTGCCGTCGGTTGACCAGTCCTTGGAGCGAGACTAAGAGAATCTGCTCATCACCAGAAAGTGCGGTGAGCTTGGCATAGTCTATCTCCTTCGCAATCTCGGGAAACAATGGCAGAGCTCTATTACCTGGCCAATCGAGACCTGAGACGGAAGGTGAACAGAAACAAAGCGGACTTAATAGGGCGATCGGCAGCAGAAATATATGGCGCATCTTGACTTGTGCTGTTGATAGCGCCCTGCTGCCTGCCATTGTCTAGTCACGAAGGCATCAAAGAGATACTGTTTCCTTACGCCAAAAGTCTTTCTCTTTCATTTAAAGAATAATTCGACCATTAGCCTCGCCTACATGAGACAGTCAGGCGAATGAGGCGAACGAAGCGGGGGTCAGAGATCGGACGAAGGTTTGCAACATGATTCTAAGCTTAACTCTGTTTCCATGACTAGCTCGTTTCCTTGGCATGGCAGCGGAAGATTGTTGAGAAGCTGGCTTCACTCGCGTTCTAGCCTTACATGACCTAGCGATCCTAGCTATCACAGACAATACAGCAATATCCATGCATTGGCATTCTAAAAACCGTGCTAGGTTCGATTGGAGATGAGCGCCACCACTGGAATACCCACGAGAATAACCTTCCTTAGCCGATCATCTGAACACTTGCCACTTTTCACATCGCGTTCTTCTGAATAGAAACGCATTAATTGCTACTATTATCTATACTAGTGAGGGTATGAGCCATTCATAGACTAGAAGAAACCCTTCCTGATTTCATGTGCTCTTCACATCCGAGCTTCACACTGTTGCCATTCTCAATGGCACAACCAAGCATGCCGGACGACACATGAGTCTGTGGGCAGATAGTTCCAGAAGCCAAAATCTTTCAGCTTGCCATACCCCAGCGGGGGGCGTTGACGATGACGCCTGCGAGACATCCAGAGATGATACCAGCAGTAGGCAGCGTGATAATCCAACCCATGTAGATCCAGCCAACCATACGCCAGTTGATCGATCGCCACGTGCCGGAGCAAAGGCCGACACCTACGGTGGCACCAGTGATGCACTGTGTAGTAGATACAGGAAGTTCTGTATCACAGTCAGCGTTGTTTCAGCATAGTCAAGATGAGTTCGTCAACTTACTGAGACGTGTAGCCAAGATAATCGTGCAAGCAGCACCCAACTCCATGGAGAAACCACGGGCGGGAGAGTGAAGGGTCAAGCGGTTGCCGAGGTTGCGCATAATGTTGTATCCGTACGTCCAGATACCAAGAGCGATACCAGCACCGCCGAAGCAGAGAATCCAGATTGGAACCTCAGATTTGCTGCCAGAGAGAACACCAGTGTTCCAAATTTGGAAGATGGTAGCGTAGGGTCCAATGGCATTGGCAACGTCGTTGGCGCCGTGCGTGAATGAAGCGGTGCACGCAGTCATAACTTGCATGAACGAGTACAGGAATTCGGCCTTGTTGTCGTAGTGTTGGACACGGGCGTGCATCTCCTCCAAATCGCCAGTGAGCACGCTCTCCTTCTTTTGCATGTTTATGATGTCCTGATCGACACCAGACAGGAAGACTTTCTTGACCATCCAGAAAAGAACGTCGCCGTTATGCCAGGGACCTTCGGGACGGGGGCCAACGATGGGCTTGTGGACGTAGTCTTTACGGGGAGTGTTGGTCGCAGGGGAGTCGGTGGATCCTTGGACGACCTTCTTCTCGCCATCAGCAGAGCCAGTCTCGATATCGTTACTAGGGCTTTGGACAACACCACCGCTGCGAGCAACCTCTAGCTCCTCTTTAGTCATGTGCCCGGCGTAGAAGTCGCGGATTCCACCGCCATAGCCTTCGGGCTGAACAGGTGGCTCGGGACGGCGGAGCAAAAGCGGGCCGAGGGCAATGTGATACCAACGCAGTTGCCAATCGTCCTTGACTACCACACGGTAGAGCCAGGGGAGAAAGAATATTGTGATGAGGAGAGCCCAGGCGGCACCGACACCGATAATCATTCCGGCAGTTTCGGCATCGTTGAAGGTAACCTTGATAGACCCACCCTTCCAAACAATCAGCATGGTCAAGAGGGAAGCGGTAATACCAAAGTAGACAGGAACGAGAGCCAGTCCCTTCATGACTGGGTTCTTCCGCAACATGACGCCGTATTTGGTAATGGTGAAGATGATAGCTGCGAATGCACCCGAGATACCCGGGGCGATGATCCATGCAAGGAAGACCGAAACGACGCCAGAGTCGATGCCGCCGCTAGGGGAGACCCAATGGATGTTTTCGGCACCAATAAGTGCGATACCCATGCCGATGACGCCTCCCATGATGGAGTGAGTAGTTGATACCGGGAGACCGATCTTGGTGCAAAAGGTAAGGTAAATCGAGGAAGCCACAATCGCACAGGTCATTCCAAGCATGAGTAGAGCCGGGTCGTTCTCGAAAAGGTCGATATCCACTGCGTCAGATGATCAGCTTGGGCGTCGTTGTTGATCAAAAGAACAGACATCCTACCAATCTTCGTTCGAATGGTGTCTGCGACACGGGCGCCGACACCAACCGAGCCAGCGAACTCGAGGATGGATCCGAGGGTCATGGCTTGAATGTAAGAGATAGATCGTGACGAGACCGAGGTTGCCCATGAATTGGCAACATCATTGGCACCTAGGTACCAACACCGAAGAGTCAGCTCGAGCATGGCTAGACAAGCAGGTTTCTGATTTCGAAGTTACGTACCAATGTTCCACGCATCAAGGAATGCGAAGATAGTGCCAATGGCGAAGATGTAGTCATACTGATGAAGAGGCATCTCGACTTTCTTTTGCACTGGTTGGGCAAAGCCTGATGTCTCGGAAAGATGAAGATGATCGAAATAATGATTCAAACTGAAGACCAGGTCAAAGTGCCTCAAAGGATGGTATGAATGGATGGAATACCCTGGCTTTGACGCAGTTAGCAAGGCCGGAGAGGGAATGATGTTCGAGCAGTCGACATGGGAGCAGGAAGGTAAGCTTTGGGGTAGACTCTGGCATATATACCAGAAGGCAGGATAGCCAAGACGTTGCTTCTGTGCAGTCCATCCATGTCCATCTGCTAGGATGCACGTGTGCCCCCTTCCCGCCAGGGGACTCTCGGTGTGTGATGCCCGGGCACGGACGAGGAAGTGGCTACACGCCATCAGCAGAGGCAAGACAGGTGAGGCACATTCGATGATTAGAGACGTACCGACCCAACCCACCCAATTGTACTCGCCACATTCGCAATCTGCAATGTTACCGGCGTGGTTCATCTGTGGATTGGTCCCTGTAGCATTTAGCTATGCTGTCTTGCTTAGGCTCCAGAGTGCGCTGCAGCCAATTCTGTGCCAGGGGTCCCATATCCACAGAGAAGAGGAGCATTCGGTGTGTGTGAGCCTGACGACATCTACAGTTGCCACTTGTCATTTCATAATGATATTCAGTGCAAAGAAGACCCTCATCGGCGGGATGTCGAAGGTTTCTGATATTATTGCGGCTCGAACGCCTTTCTGCATAGGTTTCCACAGGCCCCCTCGGCACTAAAAGCCACAGTGAGCCCCCAAATGAGGAGAAAGTAGATGCCAAGTTCAACCTGTTGGAGAGGGTGGCTGACATGAACCTGCATGGGGCGAGATGGATGGGTATCGAAAGGCCGGACAAGGAAGTCTAGAAGTAGCAAGGCATGTTCTGAAGCGTTCCACGTGTCGTAAACAATGTCTCATATTTGGCGGAACTTGAGCTATGGAGAGGAGCTCGGCCTCGTGGGGATGCTTCTGCAGGCGATAGAGTGGAAGCGTGAAGAGGGAATCCACAAATCCATCCAAGAAAGTCCTGCGTTATCGGCAACAGTCGGGCGTTGACTTTTTCTCGCCGAGCTTCTAGTGCAGGCGCCTGAAAATTGAAGAAGGGCAAAGTGGGATGGATGTTGGACGTTGGAAGCTGCCGTGATACAAACGGACGATATCAGGTCGTCAAGGAGGGAAGGAGATACATCCTCGCCGCATCCTTCCTAAAGCATCGACCGAGATCCAATTGTGTGGCGCACCCGAAGCAACTTGGCGCGGTCAAGCGCCAAGACACACGCTCTAAGGAAGCGCCAAGCGCCAAGCGCGACTGGCAGGAGCATGGCGGCCCCACTTCCGACTCCGCAACTGCCGAATCACCAGTCCCGAATCCACCACGTGTTGAGTCCCGTCCTTCTCTGTGGATTTTCCCCGGCTGCATCCCCGGATCTTCTCATTTTCAACATCGCAACTGAGTCGCCAGCGCCATTAGACCTGTTCTTCTTTGACAGCGTATTTTTTCTATAAATCCTGTGCCCGCCGCCAAGCAGCCAAGGGGCCAAGAACACCAACACCTTTGGAACGGCTCCGCCAGTCAACCGTATTCCATCAAATGTCAGCGCCCAACGAGCCCTCGCCCCGTATCGGCCCCTTGGCCGAACAGACACGATCCACTGACTGCCATGACTGGCTCTTCTCGAGAGCTCCTCCCCTCTAATGTTTCCTGATGCAGCTCAATCTCCGGCCTCCCTCACTTGCGCTCTTCCGCCAGCAACAATTACCCAATCCACTTCCTCAGGTTCGGTGCTGGGATCCCAACCGATTGGCTAGATAGTGTTTTACGAGCCATACGTGCCTCAAGCCGTAGCGACTTTTCGCCCAGCCAGCCAACATCCAATACCGCTAACGTGTAGCTTTTGCGAATAATTCCGTCACTCTGGTATTGGCTGTCACACGCTATCCTCTGGCCAAGAAACCCAAGAATGACCCAAGGCGAGTGATCACCTTTCCATCAACGAATCACACTTGCGGCCCGAGGCTCGTGGTCTCTCCTCCACAGCCTGAAGCTTTTAGCTGTGCTTGTTGGTCTGCAAGCCCTGTGTAGTTATAGAAATTGTTCAAGTTTTACCACCATCTCCTCATGCCGGTAGCCGGCTAGCGTTATGTCCTTCGAAAACTCCCACTCGAGTGCAGGTTTCCATGATATTTGAACAGCACGTGGCTATATCTCATTCGTCTTCTGGGTGAGATAAGCAGCATTTTCAGTCTTACTTCAGAGTGATAAGTATTTGACGCGCACACTTTGTCAAGCTTCGTACAATTTCCCTCTGATCGTCGTTAAGTTGAGATCTACCAACAAGACTTACGCGAGAAGTCTCTTCAGGCTGTCTTTCAGCGCGCTCTCGCCTTCGTCCCATCCGGACTCAACTATGTCTTCGAAGTTGGAACCGTAGATATTATCTTCATCCAGCAGTGCCACGGTGGAAAGGGCGGCATATGCCCTGGAGTTGAGTCTGTCCTCGACTCCCTTTTCTGTATCCTCTCGCCACAAAGCACGAGCTTTCTCTGCAAATCCGTCAAATGGCACGTCAACGGTTTCCCAGCCCTCGAGACCAAGATCCTCAATCAGTGCAATCAAGTGATTGGTCGATACAGTGTGGCTGGCAAAATAGGCAGCCCTGTTCTGGTATCTCTCAGGGTTAGACAACACAGCGATTAAGGCCTCGCCATTGAGTGACCGACGACTGATGCTGCATTTCTGGTCTCCGGAGCCGTAACGAGTGATGGTTCGTCCTTCTTTGTTGATCCAGAAGATCCCACGCTCGATTGTCCAGTCGTACCATGGACCAGTGATGATTGCCGTCCATGACAACGACCCGTTTGACTCGGCGACGACACGTTCAAGTTCACGCTGAGCTGTCAACTTCGGACCGAAGATAATCGCATCTTTGGCGTTGGGATGGAACGTATTGCCACTGAAGTCAGGGGTGATGATGTGCCTGACTCCGGTGGCCAAGGCTGCTTGCAGGATGTTGGTCTGGTAGGATGCGGCTGCTGGATTGAAAGCTTCAACAACGGCCTCTTGACCCCCCAGAGCTTGTGTGAGAGCTTCGACATTCGAGTAGTCGGAGGATCTTACGTGCACACCGGCGGGAAGGCTTTTTTGGCTGCCGGGTCGAGTGATGCATGTCACCTCAAAATCAGCTTGCAGGAGTGCTGGGATGAGAACCTCTCCCAATGCGCCGGTTGCCTTTCGAATTGGTCAGGAATAAAGCGTAGGCTTGATAGTAGTTATATCAGCGACTTACACCAATGACGGCGACATTCTTGATGGCTTTCATCATGTTGGCAAGATGTAATTCAAAGTGGGTATGAGAAGAACAGATTTATCACTGGATTATTGACTATGACCACGTTTTGATCTAAGGCTTCCGATTGTTGTATTTATAACAGCTCAACATCAGTGATGTTCACAACGGTCGCCGTGATAACTCCATTGAATGGCGCATCCCTTCGGACATAACGTTATGGGTTCTTGGAAAAGGGATGAGCTCATTGGGCCAGCCAAATCACACCATAGTTGGTGTGTAAGACTTTGACGAACAATAGCATAACGTTATCACCTGCCTTACATGCCATCCCACACCCTGGGGCATCCCCCTTCGACTTCGTTGTGATTCTCACGAGTGCTCGACCTCCACCCTTTCCTTCTCAGAAACGCTTGACAGTTTTTCGGCATCATTCCTCGTCCCCATTGCCTTTGACATTTCCTTCGCAATCTTGACCGGGTTGCCACCCGATGTGAAGAAGTCGTCGATGTCTTCCAATCTGAAATTACTCGTCTCAGGATAGAAGAAGTAGATGATTGGCACAAACAAGAAATTGGTAACAACAAAGATAAGGTAGGCCTTCCACTGAAGACGATTGATGATGACCGGGGTAATCATGACGACAAAGAAGTTCCATAGCCAGTTGGAACTAATGCCTACGGCAGTACCTCGAGTTCGTGCGTGTAGAGGTAGGATCTCTGGAACAACGACCCATGGAACGCAGTTCATTCCCATGCCGAATATTAGGTTGTACCTGAATGTTTCATTAGTCAATGTCATGCAGCACTGTGTGTACGTAGAAGGTGAACTCACAGGAAGAAGAATGCCACAGACGCTGAAGCACAAGCTTGACCGCTGGTAAAGCCAACCCGTGACAACAGGATCGAGATCATGAGCATGCAGACGCCGAGTCACGCACTTCCCCACATCATCGTCTTGCGACGACCCATTCGGTCCAAGGCCAGCGCCGGCAGGATGGATCCGAACATGAACATCATCTGCACACAGCCACCAATGATTTGGGCCATGTGAGGCGTCATACCTACGTTTTGCACTAGTACGGATGGGATATAGTAGACGACAAGGTTGATGCCTCCCAGCTGGTTCATGAACTGGGCTCCCCATGCTAGCAACACGCGGTGGCCGGTTCTCAGACGATCATTCTTGAAGATGCTGATCCAGGAAGACGACTTGTTCTCAGCGGCTTCTAGCTCGATGGCGTGGTGAATGGCATGGACCTCGGCTCGGATGTACTCATCGGTCGGTTCTTTGTCGAACACGTCACAGAGAACCTGGACGGCTTCTTGCTCGCGGCCGTGTTTGAATAGCCACCGGGGAGATTCAGGGAGGGCAAAGACCAGAACCACCACAATGAGCGCGAAAATGATTTGAAACGCGAGGGGCAGTCTCCAAGCGATTGGCCCGCCGACAAATGACATACCAAAGTCGAACCTGTGGACGTTAGCATTACACAGAAATTCACCGGAGGTATCCGTGCAGTCAGGAACAAACCAGTATGCGAACACGATGCCCACGCCGACGAACAAGGTTTCGGCAGAGACAAGTCGACCTCTGTATTTTCGATCACAGAGCTCGGATTGATACCTGTAAGAGTCTTGATGAGGCACTATTCCGCGATTTGGCGTTATGGGTAACTTACATGGGGACAGTCGATGTCTTCATTCCCGTGCCGAAGCCGGTGACCAAGCGCCCAATAACCAGATGAGGCACGGTAAAAGCCGTCGCTTGAAGAGTGGCGCCGACGATGACGAGGCTCATAGCGGTCCAAATGGTCTTGCGGCGGCCCAGCTTCTCGCCGAAGATGAAGTTGACTAAGGAGGGTTCAGTGTAATTCACGATGGCTGCTCAAAGGTTTCAGGTCCATTGAGAATGGAGACTTACGGACACAACCTGTCAGACACCCCAAGTTGTAACACGACACGATAATGCCGGTTTCTGAGTCTGAAGGGTGGCCAAACTGATTTAACCAATCCTCCATTTGAAGAATGCCACCAAATACGCCTTGGTCATAGCCAAACAGGACGAACGCAATTAGACAGCATATTGTAACGCCGACCTGGAGGCTTTTGCCTCGGCCTAGTGTGAAGAACATGGCGTTGTGTCTCTTATAGGGTATGAAAGTATTCGTTGATGATCCAGGAAGTCTTGAGTTGTGATAGATGTCTCCAGCACCAAGATCCTAGATGATGAGGCCCTCCCTCGCAATGTCGTCCGGTATCGGGGCAGTTTGGCAAGGAGGATATGAAGACCCAACTGGAGTGGTGCACCTAGGGCAGTCGACGATCTTCCTGGGCTACTGTTGAAGCTAACAGCTTCGTATGTTTTGGCGGAGGCAGATCTGTGGGGATAACGCGGGGAAGGACCCAGATTAAATCTGAACTCAAACTTCACGTGGCTGGCCACCGTCGAGATTCCCGACTTCCCTCGTCGAACTAATGAGAGGACTGACAGCGGTTGTTCCTGCTTCCATTTCGCTCTCTGCGGGTCACTTCTTCCTTCTTATAAGTTCATATCGGCAACGCGGCCGCTGGCGGGAAGACGGACGAGCGGGGAGATCAAGTTCACGGACCGGAAGAAACAGTGTAGCGCTAAGCACTTCCTCTGCCCCAGTGATCTACACGGCATTCTCTCGTGTGCAACTGACGTGGGGCACACAGGAGTTGGAGCGCTTAAATCTCCTTGTTTTGGTCTTACAATCTGGGGATGCTGCAGCAAAATAACCGTGCGTCGATGGGGTTGGCATGCAGTCATCGTATGCCGCTCAAGTGTGATGACGTCCCGGCATTGGAGGAGCCACACGGAAAAGTAGGTACTGAGACCGTTGGCCCACAACGGTACAACCATGATTGGGTTCGCTTGGTGTTTGCTAAACATCGTTGGCTAGCCTTTGCCATGTTTGACGTTGGTGCTGAGATTCAGACAAGATGGGATTACGCGCGCCAATCATGATTACATTTCTGTAACGCGACATCTGCGGGATCTAGGTCTTGGGGCTTCGGACTACTTTAGGATCTTCATGACGGATACGTAGAGACTGGTATTTAATACCCATAGTTCAGGAGAAACAATTGTTAGATATTGTGAGCGTAACCATACGAATAATGGAATTGTTGGAACAGAAGCTACTCCAGGTGAGGAGAGCCATCCATTATTGCCCTTAAGTACGCAGGCCATCTGGTTGAAGTACATGTAAAGTAGTACCACGAGCATCAACACAACCCTCTTGACTAGAAGATGCCTCTGCAGCTCTAAACTTCTGAAGCTGAAAGGCTTTCAGAATTTGAGCTCACTTTGTGTCTTCAGATCTCGGTTGTAAAAGTGGCGGATGACGAGTACAGTCACTGCCGCAGCTGCTCCGAATCCAGCTGTAATGTAGTTGCCAGTCACGATGAAAGGTTGAAGGTTGGCAGGGAAAGTGAAGATGGGCACCCACGCCGTGAAAATGTAGGCGAACGCGTTCATCTGATAGTGAGATTTGACGTTAGCTCTGATTTGAATGCAAGTAATAGATACAAGTCGAAAACAGTAAGACAAACCATTGCAGACACATATGCCCGCTTTTCGGGGTCGTGCCGGTTAGTCTCGTTCACCCATGTCCATGTGATGCCGGCGCATGTGCTTGCGAGAGCGGTGAGGTCTTTTGAACGGAGAAAGTAAGCAAATTGTGGTAAGTTGTGAGGCGAACTAGATGGAGAGGCTTACAATACAATGCCCATCGAGTTGCAATGTTCGCTGGATGCACGGGTGTAGCTGCCAGTGCAATGGGAAAGATGATCGCCATGACGCTAGAGAACAACATGCCGGGCCATCGAGCTGCTCCAGGCAGGCTGTCCGAGACCCACGAGTTGACAAGAGTGGCGAAGATGGAAATAATATTGATCTATTAGGAGCGTCAGCTACGATGTGGTTGAGTAATAGTTCAGGTGCCTGAAACTCACTCCAAGTGGGATGATGTTGATCTCTGCTACCGAAAAGCGTGGCGGCTTTCCGGCCACGTTGTAGCTCTTGACCCAGAAAATCACTAGATTAAGTATCGACAGTAAGTGGCTGCTCTCTGGCGGGTAAAATTATCCTTGTGTCAACTTACTCGATCCTCCGGACTGGCCTAGTTGAGCAAGGAACGTAAAGAATAGCGGGACTTCATGTGTCAGCTCTCACTAAACGTTGTCGCTGGCGGCATGGATCTCTTACAGAGGTAGACGTGCCACGTCATGTGCCATCGCTTAACATCCTTCCATTTGAACAATCCAGTGTAAGGTTTGATTTCGGTAGGCATTCTAGCGCGGGCGAGCTCGACTTCCTTCTCGGTGAAGATCCTGAGAGAAGGAATCATCATATTAGTCGCTGCAACGGCGTTTCCCTTCTACGGGAATGATTTGGATCATGCATACCAGTTCGCTTTAGCTCGAGAAGGAAGTTGAGGCATGGCAAATGCCGTCCATATCGCACAAGGTAGGGATATGCAACCACAAACGCTGACCTTTCTATCAGCATGATTTCCCTATTGACCAGGCTGTACATGTAGGTAAGGGTTTCTCTTTCACTTACATGTACATCCATCGCCAGCCTGGGAGACCACTCTTTCCGTCTAGGCCAGCATAGACAGCGGCCATCAGGAAGCCAGAGAAAAGTGGCCCGACAGAAGTGAATACTTGGATCAGCGTGTTGCGCCGCGCCAGTTCGTGCGGCTTGTAGTAGCTAGAACACACATACATGACGGCCGGAAAGTGCCCTGCTTCAAACAGACCAACGCTGAAGCGGGGTTAGTAAGTTCTTGATAGATGTGAATGGTAACGGCCTGGCAATGATGCAACTTACAAGAAGCGAAACACGTAAAGTTGATTGACATCTTTGACCCCGGCAGTCGCGAATGTGAAGACCGTCCAGGCAAACTCGAGGAATGCGATGTAAAGAGGAGCATTGACCTGAGATGTTATCAACATGTGTATACTCTTTTTCGAAGGTGGAGTTGTTAAAACTCACCCGGGTGAGAAGTAGGTTCGACGGTATCTGTCCGAAGACGTATGCTGCACTCCAAATAGCGTTGGCGTAGTTGAGTTCTTTCCCGAACAATGAAAGATCTTCTTTCATGCCACTGTCTAGAGCGATATTTAGAAACGCCCAGGAAGAAGACTAGGTTTAACACTAACTGAAAGCATTCGTGATGTTGACTTGGTCGAGATAGCGACACATAACGCCAAGAGCCGATGCTGATATGAGTGTCAAATCGAGCTTGGTCAGAAACCGTGCTTCATCTTTGGGAACATCAAGTGCTAGAGTGAAACATTGAAGTCAGCAAATTGATTCCCTATCACTTCTTTCTGACTTTGTAATTCAGGCGACTTACTCGACCAGAAGAATGATCTCCACGTCCTCTTGGAGTCCACGTAGACTGATCTCTCGGTATCTGCATGATAAGGGACTTTGACTCCATCATGAGCTTCATTTTCGCTTTCGCCGATGACGAAGGCATCTTTGGGGTTCTTTTCGTCAGGAAGCGACATCGTATGCAGACGAGAGATGCAACGTGAGACTAAATGTGCCGCAAGGCATGTACCTGCACTCTCTACTTTTTCGCATCGGAAATCTGTGAGCTTATCTACAGGTCCAGTATCTGTGACGCCTTGTTCAAATCTCGTGGCTCGGAAGCTGGGTTGATTGTCGTCTTCGGCGGGTCCCATGGCGACATCGACAGTCAGGTCAGAGTGCGTCTACTAGTCATGATATGTAACGCCACAGAACCTCCGTCTACCTCCCAGTTGTCGGAAGACCAATGAGTAGCCAAGTCTTCGGTGCACCATTTCGATAACGCAAACGCCTCTTTAGGAGCTACCGATGTCGGAAACATGGGTTGGATTATTTCTTTTGGTAGGGTACCTACAATCAGCGTGCAGATGTGACTCCGTAAACGCCAATGATATCGGCGAAAGGCAGGCATACAATGGCGTGCTTGATATTTCGGCAAAACTCCGCGTCTATTAATCGCGAAACCCGTGAATAGGTATTGGACGGGGCTTGAAAGGGCATTTCCTCCGATGTTACTCGAACGGAATAGGATTTTCTTGGCTCGAATCGTTCAAAATTTGCACCATATCTCATACGTGCAAAGGCTTGTATTTGTTGCTCGTATTTGGCGAGGCAGTTGGAAATGGCGTCAATGCCCTTATTACATGCAACAAACGGCACGAGCCAATATTGACATTCGATCATGCGTGCTCTCAGTAATACGGAAGCTTGCTACCTGAGGTTATTTGAAATACAATTTGGTGTTTTCCAAAGTCCAAGTTCGATCACTACGACTATTCCTCTTGATCAAAGCGATCAACTGTATGGAGATAATCTGTTGGTCTTTTGAACTACAAATAAATCCATGAAGACTTGGCCGTACCTCGATACAAAACTCTAAGTAATTCCTGCGCTGAATTTCATTCTCATATTATTTCATTCCAATGCTGGGTTACTGTGCTGAGTCAATCGACGTTGAAACAATGACCACCGCTCCACACCGGTCCCTCCAGACTTCATCTGATCTATTCACGACTCAGCATGCCATTAGCGAATGAGACTAGACTCTTACCGGATCATTTGATACGATACCGAAAACGAGCTCGCGGCGCTGTACGCAATGCTTGATGTTGGAGAGCTTAAGCTTTATGATTTCAACGCGGGGTTGACAAGGTGAACTTTACCCCCTCCCGATAGACTGATAATTGCAGTAGCTCCATGAGTGTCTGAGCATAGTCGCAGAAGCTCCGCGCGGATGGAAAGCTCCCAAGCGAGGTTCGTTGGGGTTGCGTGCTTTTCATCTTGTTTGACCCGTCCAGTACATTAGACCCTTCCACTTGTGCAGCTATTCACGACTTGTCTACATCCGCATTTGAACCATCATGAACCAAATCAGCCTATCATCGGTCTGGCAAACCTTAGGAGCAGGCTGTCTACTTGCTACTCTCTACTTTGTTTACTCCTTGTACAACGCCCGCAACTTTTTCAGGTCACTTCAGAGTCAAGGCCTGCCAATGCCCCCTCACGATCCAATCTGGGGCCATCTCAAGCTTATCGGAAAGATCCTGAAAGATTTACCACCTGACA